AGCTAGAATCGGCTAGAACCGACCAGCCGGACCAGCGCGTTAGTGTTCGAGAACGATCAGGATTGCTTTGAACGGGATAAATACGCACGGCGCGGCTACATTGCGCTTAGTTTAAAACTGAACGCGTAACCAACGTCCAGCGGTTGGGTTAGTAGAGAACAAAAAAAAATAATATTATGGCAAGCAGTTGTAAGAAGGTAAAGACATACCACTTTCATTCGGAATGGGAAGAACAATACTTTTTTACAGAAGTTAAAGATAAAAATGTGTGTTTGTTATGTAATACTTCGGTCTCCGTTGCTAAAAAAGGAAATATTGAGAGACATCATAAAACTGTACATTCTAATTTTGAAAAATCATTCCCACTACATTCTGCCGCCACAAAGGAGAAACTGAAACAGTTAAAAAAGCAGTTAATTGGACAACAATCAATATTTATAAGAACAGTCGACAAAAATGAGGCTGCAACTAAAGGATCGTACCGTGTGTCCCAGATAATGGCACAAAAAAAGAAACCTTATGAAGACGGGGAAATGATAAAACAGGCGTTTTTAGAAGCTGCTGATTCGTTATTTGCCAACTTTAGAAATAAAGAAGAGATAGTTTCAGCTATAAAATCTATGCAACTTTCTGCTAATACAGTGATGAGACGTGTAGAAGTAATGAGCAATGATATTTTTTTACAGTTAAGAACTAACTTAGATAACTGTGTTTATTTTTCACTTCAACTGGATGAATCAACAGATGTCGTTGACACTGCCCAGATGGTCGTGTTCGTCAGGATGGTTTTTAGTGATTTTACGATTGAAGAAGATCTTTTGAAGTTTATTCCACTGAAAGGACACACTACTGGACAGGAGTTGTTTTCTCATTTAAAAAATATTTCTTCCGAGAAAATTCCAATATCGAAAATGGTAGGCTTGACAACCGATGGCGCTCCAGCTATGGTGGGTTGTGATAAGGGTCTGGTGGCGTTATGTCGTAAAGATGAAACTTTTCCGCAATTTCTCTGTTACCACTGCATTATCCATCAGCAAGCATTATGTGGAAATTTCCTGAAACTAAATAACGTTATGAAACTGGTGGTAAAAATTGTGAACAAGATTAGAGCTCAAGCGTTACAAAGAAGATTATTCAAAACCTTGGCCGATGAAGTTGACTGTTAATACGGGGACCTACTACGTCACTCTGAAGTCCGATGATTAAGTAGAGGACGGGTGCTGAAACGTTTTAATGATGTCCTATCTGGCATAGTTCAATTTTTCAAACATCGCGATGAACTGACTCCGGAACTAGAAAATTCAATCTGGCTTAGAGATTTTGGTTTTCTCGTGGACATTACAGAGAAATTAAACGAACTTAATTTGCAGCTTCAGGGGAGAGACAAAGAACTAGCGGAATTGATTTCTGATATAAAAGCATTTATCAAAAAGCTGGAGTTTTGGGAACAAAACCTAATCAACAGCGATGCCAAGCATTTTCCTATTCTTTCAGAAAAAATACCTCAAAATCCATTAGAACCCTATGACAGCAAATATCATGTAGAAATAGTTTCTACCCTGAAGATTAGCTTCAAAAATCGTTTTAAGGATTTCAACGAAATGGCTTTAGTAGCGCAGTTTGTTGTTTCACCCTTTATGGAAATTGATATCCAATAGTTTGCAACTTGTGTTATGCAGAACTTTGGCGAAGACATCGCTGCAACAGAAATGGAAGTAATTGAGTTTCAAAATGATTTAGCCTTAAAATCGTTAGTCTCAAGTACCAAATGTATCTGGCCTATTGTAAGTAAAGACAAATATTCAGTTCTATGCCGTGTTGCCTTGAAAGTAAAAGCATTATTCAGTTCAACCTATTTGTATGAATCTTCTTTTTCCAATATGAAGTTTATTAAGAACAAATATCGCAATCGACTTACAGATGAACATTTGGATAATTGTATTTGAATGGCTGTATCAAATTATACTGCAAACATTAAAAAAATTATAGATGAGTCTGAGTGTCAGCCTTCTCATTGAACGTGCTTTTTTATTTTTCAATGTTTATGTTCATGATAGTCGTTACTTTTTTGTTGTTATTATTAACTATTTTTAAATCTTACGTGACATGCCGTTGTGGCTGGATAAAAGTTTGTGTTTATTTTTCAAACACCTTCGTTTGGTAGGTAGGAATGTAGCTATGATCAAGTACGTACTAGTAATATTAGTTATTTTGTTATTAGTTTATTATTAGTACCTATGTATTATGTATTACCAGTTAAATAGTAAAATAAATACATATAATGATAAATTAACTGTGGATTATTTCATTTACGTTGCGTTACGTGGCTTCCGTGTGGGTATCTCGCTGTTTATTCCGAAATTAACAAAGTAGCTCAACACATTGAGAGGTTGGCGACCACTGTTCTAGATGATATAGTGTATTTCCTTTAGTTTAGTTGAACTTAGTTATGAACAGTGTTGCCAGTTTGTTACAATTGTAACAAATCTATTACATTTAGGAATGGTTTATTACATTATTACAATTCCAATAAATCTATTACATTTTCACAAGCCTAGAACAATGAACGATTGATAAACTTGAACCTAACCTAAACGTGTCTTGATTTTATATGTTCCTAATATATTTTGTATTATTTCATACAACTAATACTATCCCAAACATGTTTCCTGCTTGATTAGATTCATCCCAAACCTGTTTTCTCGAGCATGCCCAAAGCGCTTAAAACGTTTCTATTGTCACTGGACCTTGCATTGGATGTTGGATGCCGAATTTCTTTTTTCTTCTACTTTTTCTTCTACCTTTCCTTCTATTTCTTATATAAAAATGCTGTATGTCATGATACTAAATTAAGTACTAAATTTAGAACTAAATTAATACATTTATTAAGTTCTAAAAAAATATACGTTTCAAACAGCAAATTTGGTACTAAATTTAGTACCAAAAAAATAAAATAATTAGAACTTGTTATATTTTTAACTAAATTTAGTACTGAAAATGCATCGAAATGTTGCGCAGAAGTTTTCACAGAAAAAGTTGACCGTTGATACAGAGGCTTTTCTGTACCATTTTGTTTTTGGTTAGCGACAACTTTGCATCATCGCCTTGGATAAATTTCACTTGTGTTTGATGATTTTTTTATGATTATTCAAAGGATTGGTGTATTTGGTTGTTGTCAAGTAAAAATAATCAAATTCATAAAAGGTCTTTTCATTTGCATCAAAAGTATAACACTGAGCTACGCCACTTCTGAAAATATCACTCCATCCATACAATTTGTATAAATGAGAGAGGGATATTACATAAGAATCGCAGTCTGTCGAACGATAAGCGTCTCGATACGACACGTATCGAAAGATGAGAATTCCACTGCAGTTAAATCGTACTACAGTACTACTCATGCGCAGATAAATTCAGAATGGTTCTGCTGTTGCAACAAACCTATAAAAGAATGTGGACAAAATACCCTCGTTCTGCATAATGATAATTGAAAAATTGTCGTTGTTATCAATAAATAGGTACCTATATGTATATTAAAAAGTTTTATCAATACAATTGCCGCGTTTGAGAATCCACATCCGATGCATCTGAGATGTAAAAAATCTTTGATCACGTGATTCAGTATACGTAAATGTAATGGGATAGATGTGTCCGATGTGGATAAAAAAACGCTCGAGATGTAAAAAATGCATCCGATGTGGATTCTCAAACGCAGCAAATGAATCTATTTTTTATGTATAGTTGTTCATTTTACGATAACTAAAATTTTTATTACATTTTCTTGAAATCTGTTACAATTTTGAGAGTTCATCTATTACATTCCTTCAGAGTACTCTGGCAACACTGGTTATGAAGAAACTGCTGCCATGGGAACGCTTGTCATGGTAACGAAAACGTAACACGCAACACGTAAAACGTAACACGTAATACGTAACGTAACACGTAACGTAACACGTAAAACAAAGCGCAACGGTGTGTAAAGCCTTCTTTAATAATTGTACCACATAATAGTGGTAATTCTATAAGGAATATGTTAAAATTTAACGGACGTTAAAAATATAACGTATGTTAAATATGAAAAGCAATTCTGTAAATTCATTAAAAATTTTAACTTGTCATAATTAACATAATAGTTCATTTGTGCCGCAAAAATCTATTCTATAAGCAGAAATATGTTAAAAATTTAACATAAATGTGTTAAATTTATGCGTTAAACCGAAGATATTAACAGGTACTAATTAGTAGGCTTTAAAACTTAACATATAAGAAATTATGACTTTTGAATGTTTAATTTAACTTAAAATGCAAGAAAATCATGAAAATGAACCATTTTGAAAGTACTCAAGTAATTTTAACAGTTGAAATTACACAAATTCTGTTTAGAAATTATATTTTTTATAGTACATAAAAATTTTTTGTAGTTAGTAATTGCTTTGTCGTAGAAAGGCACTATTATAAGGTTACTGGGGTTAGTTTTGCTTATATTGAAAATTGATGGCCTACCAAATATTTTATAAAATAAATTCGGCCGCTACTTTTTTCAATATCCTTGTGCAAAAACAGACAGATACAATAAATATGACAAGAGGAATGACATTTATTTGACAGACCTTAAAACTTAACCAAACTTTTATGGCAAATTTGAACTACTTTTAACGTATGTTTATTTTTTCCATAAATTTAACGTATGCGTTAATTTTCTTTTTACAGAATTACAATTTATGTTAAAATCGTAAAATTTAACACCCGTTAAAAATAAACGTATTGAATTACAGAATTACCACTAACGGGTCCTATGATTGAACATTTACGTTATCCGTAACGTACATGTTAGGACGAATTTTAAAAGTAACGAGGCAAGTTCGTATGATGGAAATCTGTTAAATTAGAACATAACAGACGGAAAATAACAGTAATGTGTTATGAAAGACTTTACATCATACGAATTTGTCTCTTTGCTGTTAAAACTCGGCCTAACATGTACGTTACGGATAACGTAAACGTTCAATCATAGCACCCAATAGCGTAAAAAATTACAAGAATTAATTGAAACAACAAATCAAACCAGTTTTTTGATTTAGTTACGGGTACAAAAACAGATACATTTCTTTACAAAACTTATTCATTTTAATGAACTTCTTTATTCGAGTGGCTTCATGTCGTTGATTTGTATTTCATAAATAAAAAAATCACCTCCTCTTAAAGTTAAAGTTAACACATGAAGCATCCTATTTAAGGTTGTCATACGAAGAATATAAGCCACATCTTGGTGCTCCACAAACATTGGCATTCCTCGGCAATCACAGTCAAATATAAAATATTCTGAATCTTGAATTTTTCCAAAAGCAATTTGTCGCTTATACGTTGTCTTCGTTAACATTATTATGCCGCAACGGCAATCAACATTTGCGAAGAAGAATCTGAAAAATAAATCAATAAATAGTAAAACGTATTTAAATTAATGGAAACCGGTCATTTTTGCAATATTTATAAACGTTTAATACAATTGTAAAAATATGTATATTCTATAAAATTTCATGTGTTCAAAGTGTTTACAAAATATTAAAGGATTATTATAAATCAAAATCACTTAAAATCAGGTGCAATGATTTAAACTTGAGCATATTTTTTAATTCCTATCAACATCTTCAATTATTAATATTTTGTTATATATTGGAATTTAAAACATATTTAATTCTCCTAAACCAGAACTTCATTGGGACTCCCCTGCAAGAAGTATGTTTTATTGAATTTCGAAAACATTTTCTAATTAATATTACTTTTATATGGTGATCAAATGGTTCATCGAATGATGAGTATATTGAAAAAAGAATAAAAACTCAGCTGGTTTGGACTAAAGATAATTTCTGAAGTCCAGTAACCTTTATTTTTAATTAAAATCAATAAAAACATATTGACGGGGTGGGTGGTCCAGTGGTAGAGTCTCTGCCTGCGGATCCAAGGGTCCCAGGTTCGAATCCCACCGTTGGCCGCGATTTTTTCATTTATATATTTAAAATTAATTCTGATGCCTTGGTAGGATTCCCCACTCGACCATTCACTGTTGGGGCTATATCAAGGTAGCGGGCACTCTGTGGCGGCACCATACAAGACTTGGTGGGTTTTTTGTAGCTTTTTTGTAGCTTTTTTGTTACGCTATTTGCGGATTTGTAGCTTTGCCCAGGTCCGAAAAAACAGCGGATCCGCTAGCTTGAATTTCCATAAATTCCATAGTAGCGGCGCAGATTCAGACCCAGCTGGTTTTTAGTAACTTTTTTGTAGCTTTTTTTTACGCTAGTCTCCCTTTTGTAGCTTGTACTGAACCTGAGAAAAGCGCGGATCCGCTAGCTTAGCGGATATTTGTAGCGGCACCAGCTCGGACCAGACTCATTTTTTGTAACTTTTTGTAGCTTTTTTGTTACGCCTGTCTCCATTTCGTTGCGAGGCCTGAAAGTGAGTAATAATCGTTTCTCCATGAGCGTGAGAGAAAAGTGCGTTAATTTAAAATCAAGTTTCGGCATCTACAAGTAATATGTGCAACTCGATAGTGTGACTATCTGTTGATAGATGGCACCAGTATTGCATTTCACGAATTATGGCCATCTTCCATCCAATATATTTTTGAGAAATTTAGATATAATCTCAAAATCGGACATTTGTTTTTAAATGTTTTTTAGTGTTGTTTATGTATTTATACTTTTGTTGAATCAAGAATATTCTTACATCTTTTTTGAATGATTTCCTTAACCAATCGTTTTGCAGTATTTATGGACCAGTGTGTTTAATTCTGTCGGATCACAACTATACAGTGTGTTCCATCTCAGACGAGCCACCCCGTATATTTCTTATCCCATATAGTAATTGGAAAAATGTCCCGAAACACGTCGGATGATTTTCTTTGGGGGACATCTTTTGACCTATATATAAGGCTTGAACCCCCTATGAGGGGGCGCTTCAACCCCTCAAAATGGAATAGGGAAGAAGGGTTAAGTGATACATCATTTGTAAGGTCTTGAAAGCCTCTTTACAACGGTGTATGAAAAAAATCACCTTCTTAAAAAAAATTAATTGTTTTTCGCATCAAATGATCGAAGAAACGAGATAAACACCTTCTAGAACAAAAAATGAAGGCAAGATAAGAAAATGTTTTGATTTTTTTTTTATTTATTAGTTCGAGAGAATTTATTATTGCATGGAAGTCAATGGAAGACAAATTGAACATTTCATTTAATAACGCAGTTTTAATTTTTTTGATTGTAAGCATGATAAAACAATTGATTTTTTTTAAGAATGTGATTTTTTCATACACCGTTGTAAAGAGGCTTTCAGGACCTTATTAAAAATGAAGTATCACCCAACCCCTCTTCCCTATTCAATTTTGATGGGTTGAAGCGCCCCCTTATATAGGGGGTTGCTCGTTCAAGCCTCAAATATAAGTCAAAAGATGTCCCCCAAAGAAAATCATCAGACGAGTTTTGGGAAATTTTTCCAATTACTATGGGATAAGAACTATACGGGGTGACTCGTCTGAGATGGAACACCCTGTATATAGTGAGAATAGGTAATTGCTATTACCACCGGTGTGAAGTTAGCAGTAAGTTTTTAGCAGTAAAAATAACCGAAACGCCCGATCGGGAAAATAGTGGCGTCCGGCATATAACTATTTTAATAATCTTGTCAATATGTACATTAATATCGGACAAATAATTAATATACATACCGTTGAAAATGTCCGATTTTGAGATTATATCTAAATTTCTCAAAAATATATTGGATGGAAGATGTCCATAATTCGTGAAATGCAATACTGGTGCCATCTAGCAACAAATAGTCACACTATCGAGTTGCACACATTACTTGTAGAGGCCGAAACTTGATTTTAAATTACCGCACTTTTCTCTCACGCTCATGGAGAAACGATTATTACTCACGTTCAGGCCTCGCAACGAAATGGAGACAGGCGTAACAAAAAAGCTACAAAAAGTTATATACAAAAAATGAGTCTGGTCCGAGCTGGTGCCGCTACAAATAAGCTACAAATTTACAAATAGTGTAACAAAAAAGCTACAAAAAAACCGCCAGGTCTTGAATGGTGCCGCCACGGATTGCCCGCTAGCTTGATATAGGCTCTATCAAGCTAGCGGGCACTCTGTGGCGGCACCATTCAAGACCTGGCGGGTTTTTTGTAACTTTTTTGTAGCTTTTTTGTTACGCTATTTGCGAATTTGTAGCTTTGCCCAGGTCCGAAAAAACAGCGGATCTGCTAGCTTGAATTTCCATAAATTCCATAGTAGCGGCACAGATTCAGACCCAGCTGGTTTTTCGTAACTTTTTTGTAGCTTTTTTGTTACGCTAGTCTCCCTTTTGTAGCTTGTACTGAACCTGAGAAAAGCGCGAATCCGCTAGCTTAGCGGATATTTGTAGCGGCACCAGCTCGGACTAGGCTCATTTTTTGTAACTTTTTTGTAGCTTTTTTGTTACGCCTGTCTCCATTTCGTTGCGAGGCCTGAACGTGAGTAATAATCGTTTCTCCATGAGCGTGAGAGAAAAGTGCGTTCATTTAAAATCAAGTTTCGGCCTCTACAAATAATATGTGCAACTCGATAGTGTGATTATCTGTTGATAGATGGCACCAGTATTGCATTTCCCGAATTATGGCCATTTTCCATCCAATATATTTTTGAGAAATTTAGATATAATCTCAAAATCGGACATTTGTTTTTAAATGTTTTTTAGTGTTGTTTATGTACGTATTTAAACTTTTGTTGAATCCAGAATATTCTTACATCTTTTTTGAATGATTTCCTTAACCAATCGTTTTGCAGTATTTATGGACCAGTGTTTAATTCTGTCGGATCACAACTATACAGTGTGTTCCATCTCAGACGAGCCACCCCGTATTTCTTATCCGTAATTGGAAAAATTTCCCAAAACACGTCGGATGATTTTCTTTGGGGACATCGATCTTTTGACGTATATTTGAGGCTTGAACAAGCAAACCCCCTATGAGGGGGCGCTTCAACCCCTCAAAATGGAATAGGGAAGAAGGGTTGAGTGATACATAATTTGTAAGGTCTTGAAAGCCTCTTTACAACGGTGTATGAAAAAAATCACATTCTTAAAAAAAATTAATTGTTTTATCACATGAAATGATCGAAGAACAAAAAAAATGAAGGCAAGATAAGAAAATGTTTTGATTTTTTTTTATTTATTAGTTCGAGAGAATATATTATTGCATGGAAGTCAATGGAAGACAAATTGACCATTTCATTTAAAAACGCAGTTTTGATTTTTTTGATTGTAAGCATGATAAAACAATTGATTTTTTTTCATACACCGTTTGTAAAGAGGCTTCCAAGACCTTATAAATGAAGTATCACCCAACCCCTCTTCCCTAATCAATTTTGAGGGGTTGAAGCGTCCCCTTATAGGGGGTTGCTCGTTCAAGCCTCAAATATATATATACATCAAAAGATGTCCCCCAAAGAAAATCATCAGACGTGTTTCGGGAAATTTTTCCAATTACTATGGGATAAGAACTATACGGGGTGGCTCGTCTGAGATGGAACACCCTGTATATAGTGAGAATAGGTAATTGCTTGGTAGCTATTACCACCGGTGTGAAGTTAGCAGTAAGTTTTTAGCAGTAACAAGTATTAGAAATTTAAAATTAAAAAAAACCGACTTCAAAAACGTTCCAAATTTATATATGGGACCACCCCGAGGTACCCCCTTACTAACAAAAAAAGAATCATATAAATCGGGCAAGGTGGTAAAGCATTATCGCTAAACATACATAAAAAATGAAGAGTTTGAGGATTTTCTCATGGACCCAATTATTAGATTTTGGCCAAATATATATGGTACCACCCCTGAAGTACCCCTTTTCTAACAAAAAAATAATCATTGAAATCGGACACCTTGTTAAAGAATTATCGCTGAACATACATAAAAAAAATATCGCGACGAATTGAGAACCTCCTCCTTTTTTGAAGTCGGTTAAAAATAACCGAAAACACCCGATCGGCAAAATAGTGGCGTCCGGCATACAACTATTTTAATAATCTTGCCAATATGTATTTTACATTAATATCGGACAAATAATTAATATACATACCGTTGAAAATGTCCGATTTTGAGATATCTAAATTTCTCAAAAATATATTGGATGGAAGATGTCCATAATTCGTGAAATGCAATACTGGTGCCATCTATCAACAGATAGTCACACTATCGAGTTGCACACATTACTTGTAGAGGCCGAAACTTGATTTTAAATTAACGCACTTTTCTCTCACCTCATGGAGAAACGATTATTACTCACGTTCAGGCCTCGCAACGAAATGGAGACAGGCGTAACAAAAAAGCTACAAAAAAGTTACAAAAAATGAGCCGGGTCCGGGCTGGTGCCGCTACAAATATCCGCTAAGCTAGCGGATCCGCGCTTTTCTCAGGTTCAGTACAAGCTACAAAAGGGAGACTAGCGTAACAAAAAAGCTACAAAAAAGTTACGAAAAACCAGCTGGGTCTGAATCTGTGCCGCTACTATGGAATTTATGGAAATTCAAGCTAGCGGATCCGCTGTTTTTTCGGACCTGGGCAAAGCTACAAATTTGCAAATAGTGTAACAAAAAAGCTACAAAAAAGCTTGAATGGTGCCGCCACAGAGTGCCCGCTAGCTTGATATAGCTCTTGATATAGCTCACTGTTGGGTAGAATACTAATTAACACGAGTATTCCTTAGAATTGTGGAACGGTCTCTATAATCGATTCGCGCCAGGCGTTGACATTTGACATTGACATTCATTCGCAAAAAACTTAAATTTGAATTAATAACGTATTTTTGGAAAATATTGAATAAAATAAATTAAAAACCAAAACGTGGTAGTTTTTAATAAAATTATGGGCGAAAAAAGTTGCAGTCCGTCGGAAGACCCTTGCCTTGTAATGAGTTTAAAAGGCCATAAAAAAAGCGTTACAGATATTGCTTTCAATCCAGACTCATCTCAATTTGTTAGCAGTAGTGAAGATCAAACATTAATGATATGGAATGCTAATAATAATATCAGAAGCTACAATTTTTCGGGACATACAGACATTGTGACTAGTGTTGATTTCTCAAATGATGGTAAACTTTTAGCATCAAGTTCAAAAGACCAAACTGTAAGATTTTGGGTTCCTTCAGTTAAAGGAGGAACTTCAGCATTTAAAGCTCATTCGTCGAGTGTAAATTGTGTAAAATATTCTACAGACAATTCAAAAATTATCACAGCTTCGAATGATAAATCTATAAAAAGTTGGGATGTATCGAAAAAACAATTCTTGTCTAGTTTGTTAGGACATACTAATTGGGTGCATTGCGCTCAATATTCATCAGATGGAAACTATATTGCTTCAGCTGCCGAAGACCACACGGTTAGAGTTTGGGATGTAAAAACGAGCCAGTGTGAACATAAATTCTCAACCCCTAACAGTAGTCCAACTTATGTAAGTATTCATACAAACAATAACACAATTGCTGTTGCAATGAACTCTGGTTCTGTTAGAGTATATGACATTAGAAATAAAAAATTACAACAACATTATAAGTTACATAGTGGTGCATCAATGTGCGTTTGTTGGCATCCAACAGCAAACTATTTATTAAGTTGTGGACAAGACGGAAAGATTAGGATTGTTGATATAATGGAAGGCAGACCATTGTATACATTAAATGGACACAATTCTGCAGTACAAACGTGTAAATTTAGTAAGAATGGAAAATTCTTTGTATCTGGGGGCGAAGATCAGTTTATAATGGTGTGGAAGACTAACTTTATAGAATAAAATATTAATATATTAGTGTTTAGTGTATAATGCAAAAAGGCATAATTTAATTAATGTTAACGTTTTTTAAATACAGAGGTAATTATTTGATAGAATGTATTTCACGAGAGAAGAACCTACCTGAAGTTGCAGTCATATGCGTGAACGTGTCGTCATAACCAGCGCCATATTATAAATTTGATGCTTGACTTCAAATTAGTAGCGTAAACATTTCAAATATAAATATGAAAATGGTGTTGTCATTTTCACCAGTTTTAATGCAAGAAATAAAAAAAAATGCAATGTGCAAATCCCTTATAGACTTATATTTAATATAGAAAGGAATGATATTTTTTATGGGTTTTTATGGCATAAATCATGCAAATGGTCAATAAATATTGAATTAGTGGGTGGAAATAAATCGAATTATTTAATTTTTTTTAGGAAAAAATTATAAGAAAAAAAGAATTAAATAGCTAAAGATCTATTTTTTTACTTTTTTGTGTACAATTGCTATCTGAGCAAAACAAAATTTATGTAGTAAATATATTTTTTTTGTAAATAAATATAAAAAAGAATTTAATATGCAAAAATTCATTTTTGTTTTCACTTTTTTGCTTATATCTAATTGTTTTCTGAGTAGAGGTAGGTGCAGGCATTGCTTCATACAACAAAAAGTATATTAAATTTCCTTTAAAATCTTGGGTTATAATATAAACGTTTTTTGGATAAAAATGGACTAGCCAAAATATTGACCTCTCAGGACATAATAGCCTATTACTTCAAGCCCTAAATATTTCGTTTAAGTAATAAAAAAGGTAAAAAAACACAAAATAGAAACATAAAATTGTTAATTTTAATTTAGGAATGCTTGAAAAATATTGGTAACATATTAATTATTAACTGGTTTTTTAAATATTGAAAAGCAGGAAAAAATATGTACATTTTTAAAACATTTCACATCTAAAAACTTTAACTAAATTCGCAGCATACAATAGTAGTTAATCAAACGACAGGTGTAAGAACAATGAATACAAAATAGCTTAGGGATAATAAATGTTTGTTGTATTTCTTATTCAATTGACTGCTAGTTATTGGAAAAGTATATTATGAAAAAATTTAAGATTTTTTGTTAATTGACTTTAGTGATATATCGATTTTAAAATCATCAATTTGAACCATATCACAAAATTTGAAATATGTTTGCCTAGAATCTAGGTAGGTATGCTGGAAAAAAATATTTCTTGTATGCCTGTATTATTAATCGCTTTCAGAGTCATTAAGCATTTCTAAAATACTCCTACTGCTGTCACTGCTGCAATCATCCTCTGAAGGAGATTCATCAGACAATCCTGTATTTACAGTAAACACAAGAGAATCTACAGGGTGTGTTTGTTTTTAATCCATTCAGATTCTCATTTCTTTACATGTTCGCAAATAGAACACCATTCTTGATCAGAAACTTCAGAAAATTTCTTCCTGGCTAATTTCTCTCAATCATTCAGTTTAAATGTGGTATTGTGCACTACCACCCAGTTTTTAACCAATACCCAGATTTTTTCTATTGGGTTGAATTCTGGATGATTAGGTTTTAACCCATGTTCTTTCAGAAAACAGTCCAATTTATAGAAAATAGGAATACCTAACCAATTTTTTTTTATTAATTCATACAAAGCGGATTTTGTCTTATTGGCAACATGGTCAACTTTGTGGGCCCTAAGCCATTCTAACATTTCTGCTTTCCTAGATGCTGAAGTAATACTTTTTTCAGTTTTCACATTGTGGTAAGATTAATTATCTACAACCAGAACTGATTTCTCAGGCATATTGGGCAATAGTTGTGAAAATAATCCTAGTCCCTAAACAAGTTAGTTGCTAACAGAGATACAATGTCCTGTTTGAAATTAAATTATGGCTAAAAACATATCTATGCTAAAAACAAATAAGATCACATTTCAATAAAATGATATATAGGTAGTAATAAATATCTATATTTTATCAAAATTTATTCTTAAGTTTTTTCTCAAGGTAAATAGAAATTGTGTATATTAAAAAGACTCAACTAGGATATATATTTTACGAATTAAAGAAATGTAACACTATAGGCTTGTCTTGCAAATATACCAAGACACATAGTTTTTCATTGTATAAAATAACAAATATTTTCTTTACAGGCAAAATCATATAAGTCGAATACTTTTTAGTAGAATTCAATTATTTTTAAAATAGAATACTACTTTCCTAAAGACCAATCTTAATGCTACAAACTACTGACAAAATTTAGCAATATTTGTTTTACAGATAAAATTTTATGTCCAAACTTTATATGTTTATGACAAAATATGTAATTAGATGGTATTTGCACTAAGGGCACGATTTTTAATCTACAATAACATAATGAAACTACAGATCTTTTTTGTCCAAAGACATAATATGTAGTCTATTACTAAGTATATAAATTCTCCAAAGAATACTTGTAAATTCTGATTGATCTGGTTAGGAATAATAAATTACATTATTATACTTTTTTATTCTACTGATTTTGTAAAGGAATTTGAAATCCATCTTCAACTTCTGTTTTCATAAAAGATGCGACATTTTTTATAATCTACTGACCTTGACTATGGATAATTTTTCCTTTTAAACCAACAAGTTTTTTAGGAGGCATGCTTTTAGATTAAATAAAACACACATCACTCACTTAAAAAAGTTGAAAATAAAAAATATTTAACAAATAAACGATTCCAAAAACACAACCTTTTAATGTCAAACGCTAATGTAGCTAACAAATAAATAAATGGCTATTGGCATAAAAATGTTCGTTCTACGCCAGTGGCATGATCCTGTCGTTACTAAGCGACGTAGGTAAACAAGATAATTTGGTTTCTGCGACTGTCATTGTAATTTCAGCTGGGTTCTTCTCTCGTGAAACGGAGTTTAACTATTAATTGTAGATATTATATTTGTAGTTTTATAATTGGAAATAAAAATATATTACTGGAATCATTAATTTTGTAGGTATAAGAGAATGACTTAAACTATGGGACTCTCAATTGAGTCAACTAATTAAAAAGTTTTAAATAATCATCATATTTGGGATGTAGGTAGGGTATATTGAAAAATAAACTTCTATTTTTGTAAATAATCATGCCAAAGAAGACAGTGGAGCAACTAGGGAATTTTGAGTTGAAACCCATGCCACATATTTTTTGGCTATTTTTAGTCTTCAAAAATTGTATGTTCGTTTTTTTACAAAAACCAAGGTGATCGCTAGCTTCAAACGAAGATAGCAGCATCCCGGTTTTTAATTATTTTTTTTTTTAAACAACTACATCACATTTGTAGACTAATTTTAGGCTCTTGAAATATAAAACTTTTCTAAAAAAAATAATTTTTTAGAAAGAGACCAGTAGAACACCTCAGTTTTTTAAGGGATTTTTTTTAAACAACTATGACACCTTTTTCTTGAAATAGTATAAAATTTCTAGAAACATTGCTATTTTTAAAAAAAATACTGTTTTTTTTTTCTTCTAAAAACAACTAAGTAGGTATGTCACATTTTTAGGTTCTTAAAATATAAAACTTTCAAAAAAAAAAATGCTATTTTTAAAAAATACAGGATGTTTTGATAATTTTGCATGGAACCGAGATTGAAACAGAAAATAATTAAATGTTGAACAAGAATTACCTATCTACATTGAAATATGATATTGGTACGTCACGATTATTATATATGAAATGACAAAATGTCTGTTATTTTAAAATATATGGGGTACTTTGCTAGGCCAGTAGAACACCTTGGCGTTTTCAGGTTTTAACATAGACAACTTAGAGGGAAAGCCCACCACGCGACATGTCGCGCGCGACTGATCGCGCGCGGCAATATTTTTGATGTTTTTAAATGACCACGCGACAGAACCGCGTTAATGGACTTTGAGTCATTTAAAAACATCAAAAGAATTGCCGCGCGCGACATGTCGCGTGAGTGGGCTTTCCCTCTAAAGAGATGAATAACTATACTTGAAAATTATTTCTATTAATCCTATTAAATCGTTATCATATGGTTTTCTTCACTTTTACTTATTTTTAATAAATCATTCTTTGTCATGCACCATGAAAGATGAATGCAGGGGGACCCACTCTATTTTCTAAAGACATTGCAAAAATCGTTATTTTGTTGGGAATGCTTGATATTTTTGTATTATTTTTCTTTTTATGGACTTATTAGGAAATAAATTAAAATATAAAATGAAATAGTAGAGTATTTCGCTCAAATAAGCTTTATTAGTATCTCTAAAAACTATAAAACACATCGTTACCTTAACATGTAAACCTTCTTAACTCCATACGTAATTTTACAGGAGAAGCAAAAAACCGTTAGAAGAAGAAAATAAATGAATTAGATCATTAGGTCTTTATTTAAAGGAAGCTTTTAACTTAAATTCTAAGCCGAATTTCACCGACTCATAAATATGAAACCTATAACACTGTCTGAGCTAGGCCAGAGGGTTTTAAGATTCCTTTTTATAAATTTTTTAAAACTGGCAACACATAAGATAACATATATCATAACGTTAACACATAACAGATGGGTTTATGTAACAACATCAATCTTTAAAGTTACCTACTTGAATGTTTTTGATAGTAATGCGCTAGTCTCTTATAATCATTTTCCGAAAAATATTAACCCAGACAGCACACCAAATCCTTTGGATATCTACTGAACATCCCAATATCCACTGAATGTCCAGTCCATGGTGGATATCTATTTTATATCCATGAAATGTAATTTATAGACATGCAAATGTCCATAAATAATTGTAATTATATAGCAAATTATTAAAAAATTACGCCATTGTACTCGCCATTGTGGCTAATAGTACCGTTGAGATATTTAAAATTAATTTTTTTTAAGGTGTATTCAATATCCCATGGACATCCACTATAAATATAAGTATATCAAAGTCTAAGCGCGGACGCAAACCATCGTGGATATCTACTAGATGTAATTTTTGATTTTGCTTCCTAAGTATAGATGGCGATACCACTTTCGTATCTACTCATGCTTAACCCGCCGTAATTGAGTTTGATCGACATTGTTTCACATACAGACTTCATTAGAGACTGAAGTCGAGAAGTTCCATTTATTGCTGAAGATTCCTAATAAGGATGATTTTCTCCTTAGTAGGCAGAATCAAAGGCAGATTGTTGGGAATATTTTTTACCTCTATCTTCTTTCGACGTTATTCAATAACCATTGGTTACTTATGAACCTCTACTAAAAATAATTATAAAATATTTATCTGAATTTCTATATCCTGGGATATAGACGGACATTTGGTTGGATATATCCACAAAATATATTCTATGGATATATCTGGGATTTCTTGTATTGTCTGGAGATACTCATTAGATATTTTGCTGAATATGCATAGGATATCTTCTATATTCTGGATATAGACGGACATTTGGATATCTATATTAGTTCCACGGAATATTTCTGATATCCTGTGGATATATTGGATATCCACAAAATATATTCTGTGGATATCTCTGGGATTTGGTGTGTTGTCTGGGAATGTTTTTTCTGTATCACTTATTGGCGAAAGGAGTATTTTAAACTTACGTAATTTACAAACAATCGGGTATATAATTTGAAAACTGTCAATAACTTAAACTTGTAAACAACTATTATTATTTGCAAATTAATATAAGAGGACGATTACAATTGGTTTTTAATCTTACCTGAGAGCCTTATACAAATTAAATTGAGCAGGTCTAACCAAAAACATGGTGCCTTCGACAATGGGAGTCCATTCTACTTTAAACGAAAATGGGAATATGGAGCAATCGGGTAACAGGTCATCCATAGCTAATTCGTAGTCTTGATCTTTAATTTTTTCTGCACATTCATTAAAGTAATTCTCTCCATTGACTAGTACAGAGTCTACCACAGACGAATTCCATTCTGGTAGTTCGTATATTTTCGTCATACCAATAGCTGTGACTAAATTGGCTAGCGTCTGTTTTCCGCGACTGGTTGCTGAAAATCTGAAAACATATTTATATGTAATATATATATCATTTTTATAAACATCTGGTTTATTCGACGGTATATTGGCGCTACAGAGAAACCTTTAAAAAAAGTCAAAAATGTAATAAAAAAGAAGAATAGAACGAAAGATAAGGTACCTGTCACACTTATTATAGAAAATAAAAACAATAAACCAAGGAAATTTTTATTTATATAAAATGCTATGGTCAGGAAATTATCCTTATTCAAAATAACCTATCCACGCGCTTTTAAAATACAATAAAAGACAATTCAGTCATTCACTAATATGATTATTTTAACAGTAGTGTTCTTAACTAATTGAAACAGAACATCCTTCCAAACTTACTTGAGTATCCTTAACAAATAAACTAAATTTGTAAACTAGTTACTTAAAACATAACAGAAAAAATATCTTACCTGTCATTACGTTGATTAATATTTCCTAACAGAGACCACAAATCATTAGTGTACTCTTCATCCCAGCTGTGCCACATATTTTCAATTGTACCACGTATATTTCCGTTAGCAGCCTTTTGATTCATTCTCGACCAAACGACAGGGTCCATCCTTAACCAGTCAGAGTCCTCATAGAATGGTTTGCCAAGTTTTTCTTTCTTCGGTGGTCGAGGTTTCATCTTAAATATCTGCGGAAAAATTATAGTTAATAAAATTTGATAATTTTTAATGTAAAGATATTATGTCCACTGTTTTACATATTCTTAGAAACATTTTGCTGTAATCTATTTATAATAATGTATCTAACATCAACTACGACCTTCAGCGCACAATAGTTAAAGAAATCAAAAGGTACCCAGACAACACACCAAGTCCCAGAGATATCCACAGAATATATTTTGTGGATATCCAATATATCCACAGGATATCAGAAATATTCCGTGGAACTAATATGGATATCCAAATGTCCGTCTATATCCAGAATATAGAAGATATCCTATGGATATTCAGCAAAATATCTAATGAGTATCTCCAGACAATACAAGAAATCCCAGATATATCCATAGAATATATTTTGTGGATATCCAACCAAATGTCCGTCTATATCCCAGGATATAGAAATTCAGATAAATATTTTATAATTATTTTTAGTAGAGGTTCATAAGTAACCAATGGTTATTGAATAACGTCGAAAGAAAATAGAGGTAAAAAATATTCCCAACAATCTGCCTTTGATTTTGCCTACTAAGGAGAAAATCATCCTTATTAGGAATCTTCAGCAATAAATGGAACTTCTCGACTTCAGTCTCTAATGCAGTCTGTTTGTGAAACAATGTCGATCAAACTCAATTACTGCGGGTTAAGCATGAGTAGATACGAAAGTGGTATCGCCATCTATACTTAGGAAGCAAAATCAAAAATTACATCTAGTAGATATCCACGATGGTTTGCGTCCGCGCTTAGACTTTGATATATTTATATTTATAGTGGATGTCCATGGGATATTGAATACACCTTAAAAAAAATTAATTTTAAATATCTCAACGGTACTATTAGCCACAATGGCGAGTACAATGGCGTAATTTTTTAATAATTTGCTATATAATTACAATTATTTATGGACATTTGCATGTCTATAAATTACATTTCATGGATATAAAATAGATATCCACCATGGACTGGACATTCAGTGGATATTGGGATGTTCAGTAGATATCCAAAGGATTTGGTGTGCTGTCTGGGTAGTATATATTTTTTTTTCACCCTTTCAGGCTTAAGCTCCAGCCTGCTTTTCCCTCCTCTGGGGTTTGTATTGCGGCACTGCAACCTCAATGGCTTATTAAAATACGATTTGGATGCCCTATTCCGTCCTATTCATTCAACTCATGCACCCACCGTTAAAATGGCCCCGAGCCGTGTGAGTTTGGTCATCCAAGATCGTGGCCGGAATGTGTTTTGAATACTTTTTGCAGCGTCCAGCGACCCGAGTAAAAGGTAATAGTACTTATTCCCTATGAGCGGTAAAATAGTGGCCAAATCTATATAATATATTATATTCGCAGTCACTTAATTATTTAAATTTTTTGTTATGATCATACAACGTTATATGCGTTCTAAATCAACCTTAAAACAATTTTAACTATTTGTGCACGTTGTGTCCGATATAAATACGATATTAATCAGATGGAACTACATCCCATCAAATTTCATTCATTACTAAACTTTACCTAAGTTGAAGCCATGATGATTACTAAAAGTAAGTAATATAGAACGCAAGAGAGCTGTTGGTGTAGCAGTGCCTAACTCTACGGCTCGTATACTTTTTTCCTAACCTGTAACAGTAATCTTTGGCTCAAATAGGCAGACGCCAAACCTATTATACTTATCATGTTAGTCACTATGGTAGGTAAAAATAACTATTTTCTGACGCCTTATATATTTGATTACCTCTAATTTATAGCTGAGTATAACGCTTTTAGGGGCTTTTGATATGCGCGTTATGTCAAAATTGTAGAATTGATACGATTCGCCACCAGGTACAATTTTCTTAGTTAATACGCACTTCAGTTGGCAAATATCCTTGCATCTCACCCAACCTGCTGGTTTTCCATCTACTACTCCATATGGATCGAACAAATGGAAATGACCATTTGGGCTCTTGTGAATAGCGTAACATGCATTTGTGAATTGTATGAGGAAATAGGTGAATCTTCTAGCAATGAGCGTATCAATACCTAAAAGTGAAGTATCAAAATCAGTATTCAAAAACTAGTTTCCTTGAAACCCGAGAATAGCGATCAAGGAGAAGCGACAGTAGTTGTCGGTGCCTTTGATATCGGATAGACCTTTTTCACAGCATGACTTTGATTAATACACAACTTAATACGCTGAGAAAACATGCTTATTTTCTACACTGAGCGAAATAGTTTGGTAAATTATCTGAAATCATTGTTATAGTCTATGCGCAAATGTAATGAGATGTAATTAATATTCATGATATTTACTGTTTGTAGTCCTTTGGAAAAGTAAATAAACTTAATCCTTGGCCGGTTTTGGACGAACAAGAACGGTGTGCACAAAAATATCCAGATCCAGACATTCTATTACAATACAAAGAAACACCAAAAAATTATCACTTAACAGCTCACAGACTAAACACAACTTGGACTGACTTTGACAGATAACATGATTTTGAGTGATACACAACTTATTTCCGCACATGCGCGTATCAAAACGGTACACCAAAAACACCAAGCTGTCGCTTCTCTTTGATTGGTATTCTCGGGTTGAAACATTTGATAAATTAAGTGTTAATTCTTCCAGAAAAAATTAAATAAAATAAAGAAAAGATAAAGAAAAATTGCTTGTATATATAGTTATTTCTATTCTTAATAAAAATTTCCATCGCCTTAAACCAAATATTAAGAACTTAGCTAATTAATAAAACATAATATATAAAGAAATTTGTAAGACAAAAATCAGGTAAATCTACACCAACAATCAAATTTCCGCATGTCATTTTAATACCCCGTAACTCTGACGTCAACAAAAATCAGATTTTTCATCTTATAATCCTTACTCATCTTTACAGAAGAAGTTTTTGTAAAATGCGATTTTTGTTCTCACTATAGGTATTAGAATGACAGCGACGAAATATCATGAGCTCTTTTTTCATCTGATCATTATGTTGGTTCTTTATTTATCATGTACCACTTAAAATGTATGCATAGTGTTATCTTACCTACACTCAAATTACTATTGGCCCCTTTGCTTGCTATTTGTAACATTCTAACAATGACATCAAAGAAATTCTTTCCAATTAATATATTTCTGATAGTGCGTTTCTCGGAGATTAACAAGTCAGTTGCATGTGAATGTACGTGAGTACCATAATTGAAAGCTAAATCTACCTACAATAAAAAAAATGCTAATTGATTATAATGTAATAACAGAGATTTTAAAGAAAGTATTCATAGGAAAAAAGGACCCCCAGTATAGTAAAAATTATATTAACAAGATATATTTCTAAAACATTTTTATTGACTTCGAAAGATACACATATAGCTAAAACAAAAAAAAATAAGGTTTTTCTATCTGATACAAAGTAAGTTCAAAGTACAAGCGGATATTACACAATTTAAAATATCAAATGTTTATAAAAAGACACTATAGTAGGTATAATTCACTAAAGAGCACGTAGCTAAACGCAAAGCTGACTCAGCTTCATGTTAAGCTAAAAAAGTACCTTTTTGCCGAGACGACAAAAAAATTTGGATGGTTGAATCAGAGGTGGGTCTACTTTAGGGGACGAGACTTTGATTAGTTAAAATTAATACACTCACCGACTTAAAATTCAATCCATTCAAAATAATGATTTATTTAAAAATGCTCTAACTTTCAAATGCGGAGGCTGATTTATTTGAATTTTTTAGCAACTTTTAGATAAAATACCGTAGTTTTAAGATTATTATTTGGACATCTAAAAGTAACTTAGTACTCGCCGCATATACAGGGGAGAAGAGAAAACAATTTTTCCTCTAGTTTTGACACACCCTGTAGGTTAATTCTGCTAGTAGATCTGCACACAATTAACTTTATCAAGAAGACTGATTTGTTTCCAACTCTTTGTTTTTTTATTTACCCCGATATCTTAATTTGTTTGTGAAATGTGACGGTTTATAGAAAATGCTACATTTTAGAAACGGTCATAATTTAAATAACGGTAGAGAATAAACTACAAAATAAGTAGAGTGCTGTGGCCAACTCACAATATGACAACTGTCAAATATTCGTTACTTGGCAATTGCAGGAGTGCGTTTAGAAACCCCGCACGACGCGTCTGAGCCCTATTCTAATGCATGTGGTCAGACGCGCCGTGCGGGGTTTCTAAACGCACTCCAGTTTTAATTATCAGCATAACAAATATTCATTATCAGCATAACATCATGGTTTTAACGCCTACTGATGCAGCACGAGCAGTTGCTTTGGTAAAAGACGGTAGGTCTCAGTATTATGCTTCTAAAATATTGGGTGTTACAAGGTGTAGCGTCCAGAGAGCTGTACAACTTTTTAATGAAACTGGTAGTTTTTCGAGACGAAGAGGATCTGGCAGACGACGTTCTACAAATGTTCGATATGATCGTTTTGTAACATTAAATGTTTTGCGAGAAAGAAATACTACTGCTGTCATGACTCGAAATCGTTTAGAAGAAGTACGTCAAGTAGCTATTAACGAAATAACGATTCGAAGGCGATTACGAGAACATAGATTACGCTACAGAAGACCTGCAAATTGGTCTGGAGTTACTTAGGAATCACAGAACAGTACGTCTTCGATTTGCCAGGGAGCATCAACATTGGAATGTCGATGACTGGAGTAAGAATTTATTTTCTGACAAGTCAAGGTTTTGTTTACGTTCTCCTGATGGCCGTGAAAGAATATACCGAAGAAGAGGCGAAAGGTTGGACCAAACAAATTTTTCCACAAGACTCAGTTATGGAGGAGGATCGGTAATGGTTTGGGGCGGCATAAGCATGGAAGCTCGTACTGATTTAGTCATTGTTGGTGGCGGAGCAATGACAGCTAACCGATACATTCATGATGTGCTAGATCCGTGTAATTCCATTTGCCCCGTTTATAGGAAACGAATTCATGTTTATGCATGACAACGCTCGGCCACATATTGCGAGGTTTGTATCTCAATATTTGGACGAAACAGAAATTCAAAGGATGAACTGGCCATCACGTAGCCCAGACCTCAATCCAATTGAGCACATCTGGGACATGATGGGCAGACGAGTTCATAACCGAGTTCCTTCTTCAAGTAATTTAAATTTTTTGAGAGATGCTTTGGTCCAAGAATGGGATCAGATTGACCAGATGGAGATTCGACATTTAATAGAGGGTATGCCACGACGCATCGAGGCAGTTATTCGCGCTCGTGGGGTAAATACCCGTTATTTATTTGTAATAATTATTAGTTTATTTGTTGTTGGATTTGTTTATAAAATTATGTATTACTTTAAAATAAAAAAAATTAAGAATGTTGCATTTTCTTTAAACCGTCACATTTCATAATCAAATTAAGATATCGGGGTAAATAAAAAACAAAAAGGTTGAAAACAAATCAGTCTTCTTATTAAAGTTAATTGTGTGCTGATCTACTATCAGAATTAACCTACAGGGTGTGTCAAAAGTAGAGGAAAAAATTGTTTTCTTTCTCCCCCTGTATATTCGGCGAGTACTAAATTACTTTTAGATATCCGAATAATAATCTTAAAACTACAGTATTTTATCTAAAAGTTGCTAAAAACTTCAAATAAATTAGCCTCCGCATTTGAAAGTTAGAGCATTTTTAAATAAATCATTATTTTGAATGGATCGAATTTTAAGTCGGTGAGTGTATAAATAAAAGAGGAAAGAATTTTGTAGGTAAGCCGCCATAATGAAAAGGGCAGATCAATAGGTTTTTGGAGAGGAAAATTAGAACAATTAGGTAGTCGGGTCTCTGGTTTCTTACGCGGTGAGTGACAATATGTTCTCTTCGACTCTAAGCCTCCGTCCACGGTCAAGCGGTACAATTGCCAATATTCCAGCGATTTCTGAACTTATTGAGAACGATAGGCACCTGACGGTGGATGAGATCGCTACATAAGTCATGGTAGTATTCCTACCATCATCACAGACCGCTTTGAATTCAGGAAAATATGTGGAAAATAGATTCTACGACTTTTGACATAGAATCGGAAGCAATGTCGAAAACTTCTGGGATAATACGAACGAGAGAAAGACAAACTTTTACATAGTATAGTTACGTGTGATGAGTTGTGGCCACATCACTATACTGCCTAATTCAAAAATGGGAATACGGAGCGACGAAGAAGTGCCCCGTATAGACAAAACTGTCAGCTGGGAAAGTCCCTACAACCATTTTAGGGACTATATAGGAATATTGCTCGTTGATTTTATTCATGGACGTCTTATTGTAAATGATCCATACTACTGGACGCCGTGAAAATCGCATACAGATTCAAAAGACGCAGTACATCCAATCCGACATGTGACTTTGCATCACGGTGATGCTAGTCCTCACACAGCCCTTTTAACTATACAAAAATTGTCTGAATTCCACTGGGAGATCTTGGACCATCCCCTCTATAGCCCAGATTTGTCACCCTGCGATTATTATTTTTTGGGCTACTGAAAGAAGCAATGGGTGGCCAGCGTTTTGTAAATGACAACGATGTAGTGTTCCTGCACAACTGGGTTTGGGACACAGGCTCAAACTTTTTATGAGGAAGGACTCGAAAAACGTCCTAGGCGTTGCCAAAAATGTGTATCTCTTGAAGAAAAATTTTAAAATTGTTCTTCATTAATACATTACTAATAAAAATCCAGTTTATATTTGACTGACCCTCGTATTTTTAAGTATAGGTTTTAGGGCCAATCGTTTCACTTCTGAGTAAAATTGAAAGTAACTACTTTACTACCTACCAACTTTACTTAGAGGTGAAAATATCGGCCCTTAATGTGTTAATAAATTTTAATTAAAAGATATTATTAAACGTTATACCATTTTTTAAATTTAAGAACTTTATGATGACGCGATAGATAGATAAATATCTACTTACCTTCTTTGTGGACCACTTCTCTACTGGAGTAGTCATCAGCATCAGACAAGCACAAATACACATGAAATGATCTTCTTTTAAATCTTCGGATATATTCGTTCGATCTGGCAGGTTTTTGGTACCCACAATGAACCAACCCAACCCTTCTTCGCATCGATAACTGGAAGTAAATTTTTTTCTTGTTTTATTGGTTTGCATTATGTATTTTTAGTTATTTAGATTAATGTTATGTATTTTTCCGATTAAACAAATGGTTCCCATTCTTTTTAGAAATATTTCGTCCACAAAAGCTCTAGTTTTTACAAAAAATCTTATGTGGCGGCAAAAGAAATTTGATTAAAAATGTATACTTAAAATTTTGACAGGCCCCTATTTCTTTTAATTATAATTCTGACATCTATGTCAACCGTACACACTGCACTAATATTGACAAATATAATCTTCGTGTTTTGTGTGGACTGTATAATAGTATTGCAGGGCCACATTCGTTAGACATATTTATCTAAAAGACTCGCAATATATTTTTGTCAGAAATTGTAGATCACTATAAGGGAACCCAAGGTCCAAAGACAGGAACATACCTGGTACACAGACGGTTCAAAGACTGCGAAAGACACTTGGACAGGAGTTTTTTCCAAAAATGCCAACATCAACCTTAGCTATATAATAAGAAGACACATTTCAGTATTTCAGGCGTAGATTTATGCAATATTGCAATGTGCAAGAACGAACAATAGGAGGGCTATGTCAAATAAGCAAATGCAAATAATGTCAAGACAGTCAGGTGGTGATATCAAGTCAGAAAGTGTCGTCGAGGCTGGTACGGGATTGCATCAAAAAACTGAGAACACTAGCAAACCAAAATAGAGTAAAACTGGTTTGGTCATCAAGGGATCAAGGGCAATGAAAAGGCTGAAAAAGAGAGTCAGGAGAAATACTGGAACTAGATATAAACCTTGGATTACCAAAAATAACAATTCGAAGTTTCATAAAGTCCTAGGTTCGGAGAAAACACAACTATTGGGAGAATGTCCCAAAACTAGCACATGAGAAGACTTTTATAGGAAGACCATGTTCAAAAAGAGCAGAAAAACTACTCTTCATGAATAGGAACCAGTTGAAAACAATAACAGAACTCATAACAGGGCATGTCCCAGTAAAGGGACATCTGAACAAAATAGCCAAATACGTACTGTGCAACTGCGAGGCATTGGATTACAAAAACAGGCACTTTTTGGACACCCCAGGTTTATCCAAGAATCTATAGTACACACCCTGTCAAGAACTTGTACAATTTGGTACAAGGAATTAAGATTAAGTATTTTCGGACCAGATTATAAAATTATGAATTTGTAAACTTATAAAATCTAATCGGATATAGGTAAACACAAAAAAGAGTTGAATGACCTTCTTTATTTAAAAAATATACCTTCTTTATTTTGTAATTAATTAAAAAAGAATACCTATATTAAAAAAAAAATTAAAAAATTATAATAAAGGTGGACAAACTTACCCAACTTTATTTTCAGGACCTTCTGGCGTTTCCTGATCCCCACAGCTTCCTTTGTCTAATTTAGGTTGGCTTCCTTTTTTCTCTCCTTCGCCTTCTGCAGCTTTCTTCTTTTCCTTTTTTTTTGAATCACCATAATCGTATACTCCTTTTACTTTCACGGTACTAAGAACGAATCTGCTGTAGATGATTTCTTCATTGTTTTCTCTCTTTTTTTTATTGAACATTATTCTGTTGGCTAAAGAATGAATGTCTTTGAATCTAGCAAAAACTGCTACACCTTTTGTTCCGGGGCCTAAAAAGAAGGGTTTTACTTTATTTTTTTTTAATATTTTTACAAAATTATGTAACATTCCCATAATGGTGTCAACATCCCTAACCCAGATAGCACAGGACATCCTAAGGACGGCCATTACATCTCCATTTATCGTCTGTAGGTCCAGGATCAATTCTGGACGTTTCAAGTAGGTCCAGTTTAGTAAATCCTCGGGACGTCAACAAATAGATATCCGTAGAACGTCAATTCTATGTTCTTCATTATATTTCCATGGATTCACATTCGCATTGTATTATTGTTTGGTTATATTATATAAACAACATATATAATGAGATAATATAAATAATTATTAAACATGGCATTGTCACAATATCCAATTGAATAAAGGCCAAATAGACAAAAACGAAGAAGGTCATTGCAAGAAAGGAACATTGTTGACAAGTGCCATTTTATTAGCAATTCCTGCGCCCTGCGGTGAATTGTAAAAGCTTGATTATCGTTAGTTTTTCGGGTATGCCGAGTTGCCTCCTTCTCTCTGATCTTCATAGTCATCACTTATATAGCGTATATTGAATAAAATTCTACCATTAAAGTAAAATTTAAATGTGATTTCTTACCTTCACTATGTCCTAGTTCATTGTTTCCAAAGGGATCATAGAGATAATACAGATGATTTCTGAACATCACACCGCATGCGTAAGTTGGTGTTACAATTACACCAGTATTTGATCTAACGAATAGAATTTTATCCAATGCGAGTTCCAAGATATTCTGCCTAGTGTAGCTATCGAATACATACTCAACCAGGACAGTGTAGACATTTGTTCCTAGAGTTATTCTTGGGATTTCTAATTTAGACACCTGCAATCAATAAAGATGGAAAACTTTGACGTCATCAAAATTTATAAACAATCCTGAGGAGGTGAAGTTGTCAAAATTCTACATTTAATTTAAAATCAGGATGTCGGAATTTTTTTTAAATTGATGTTGGTTTGAAATTGTCAGAAGGGATTTTGTATTGTCGATTATTGTTTATGTAAAGAACAAGATGAGTTGGAATATTGAATGCTTAATGGTGTTAATGAATTGGTGAATCAAATAAAGGTAATATAAAAAAAGGTAACTGGAAATTTATTGTAAATATTAAAAGATAGAGGTAGAACAGAAAGATAGATACCAGTACCAGAAAGATTAAGCAAAGCAGATAGAGCAGAAAAATGGTTACCAGTATCAGTTAAATTCAAGCTGTGAGCAGATGAGAAGATAATTAGAAGAGAGAAGAAAATAGAAATTAATTTTTTTTAAATCTTCAATTTTGTTTTGTTAATTTTTAATGAACGATCCATATCTATTTTTTTTATACATGCATTATCAAAAAACGCCAGTCAACGTGGGGCAAGGAAATTTTGGATTGGATTTTGGAAAATTAATAAGAATATTTTGGTTAAGATTTTTTATAATTTCTTCTATTTAATTGTTGATGTTGGTGCTTAAATTAGATGTATGGTAGTGGGAGTGGATGAAAGAGTATAAAATTAGAGTATAAAATTATAATAGAGATAGAAAGGGACAAAATTAAATGGATTTAAGAGGGGGAAAGAAGGTTGGATTGGAGGATGAATAATCTAAAGAAGTGGAAGAGATTTAAAAAGGAGATATAGATGAACAAAATAGAAATAATACAGTTAGTGAAGAAAAGGAACAAGAGAAGCAGATATTAATGGAAAAAATAAATATAGATTTAATCCAATAATGATGCTGCTGCTAGAAATGAAGAAAGATAGAGAAGATAAGGAAGAACTTATAAGAAAAATTAATGAAAATCAACAAGATAAGAAAGAATAGAAGGAAGCTAAAGAACAGATGATTAAAATGGATAGAATGCAAAAGAAAATTAAACAGGAACTAAAAAAGAAGATATAGAAGATATACAGAAATCTGGAGGAATTAATAAGAGAAATAGGAGAAACGAAGAAAGAGAAAAGAAAATTGAACAAAGAACAGTGAACGTTAATAATATTGAAAAAACAATGGAAAGGAAAAAAGACAATTTCTATTAGATGAAAGTAAAGAAAATAAAAATGAAAGTGTAGAAATAAATAATGAAGACATACAATTTACACAAGAAAAAAATAAATTCTTGTATGCAACACGTGGCAACAGGCGGCATCAATCACTCAAGCCACAGCTAACAACTATATAACGCGCTTGGTAGTTAGTAGAGAGATATTGTAAATTTCTATAACGTCGGCCACTAATAGTGACAACGTAATTAGAGGCAAATAAATACCATACTTATTGCAAACCTGAAATTTTGACATTAGAGTCTTTGTCCTTATACATATTTCTAAACTAATTTTAAAAATTTTAAATTTCAGTTCATCTTTTTGGTTGTTTATAATAGTACATAATATGGAAGAAACATTAGACATTACCATTTTAGATGATATTAAATATTTAATATTAAAAAACTTCGAACTGATACGAATGTTGGCGAGCGCACCCGAAAACTATAAGGTAACCACTTAACTGCTTTAAACATCCACAATTAAGGACAGGCACAATCTTTATTAAAGTCAGTTCTAGAACGTAAGTGATCTGCGCATGCTTAGATGTCAAATAAGAGCGGCATTAATAGTGACTGACCTTAAGTGAACTTGCAATGACTCTCTATTATGTACCTTACCTGGTCATATCTGAATTTCGAAGCACAATACAATTCACCTCCACATTTCAAAACATAATCAACAATTTCACGTGTCCAAGTCAAAATGTGGTACTTTCTAGCTACAACGGCGGCCATTATACAAACAAACGGTGCTATATATTCGACAGTGTCTCCCAACTCAGCTACATTTTTAGTACCAAGAATTATTTGAGTATTATCAGGCAAATCAACGAAATTTGTTTGGAAGCCGAGTTCCTGGGATTTTGTAACGTTCGGAGGACAAGGGGGCAAATAGTTTTCCCAATCGTCGTCTCTTAATCTGGATTTTTCAATGCGAGTCTTCATCGCTAGTTTGTTTTTGATGCAGGTTGGATAAAGTATGTCTCGTTTGATAGGGAAATAGGTTATTTCGGTGTTTATCTAAAAATAATTTTGTAATTATTTTTTTGGCGTTTCATAGCAGACTATTTATTCATTATTAATTTACCAAAATTTAATCAAATAGTTGTAAGTAAATTAGTATGAGTGTACCATCGAAAAATGGGGCACATGTAATTTTCACAAGAGCTTAGAGCCATTCGCACCGCTGTTCGTCAAGGGAAGAGTGCTTAAGTAAGTAAAAAAAAAAACATTTTAAAAATAAATCTGACTATACATGTTAAGTGCAGTGAACTGCAAATACTATAGGGTCACAATAAATCAAGAAAACATGCCGCAGGAAAACTAGAGCGGATTGGCCTAGAGGAGACAGCTTCGACCCGGAACCGTTCCAAAGAACATCTCATAATGATAGCCTCTTTGAAATGAAGGATATACGTAGCCAGTGAAGATTATGTGATAGCTACGAAGAAATATAAACATGCATGAATTGGTTCGCTCACATCTTTAAATCGCCAGCGACAGGATGAAGAAGCCACAAAAGTATGTTTCAAGGAAGACGACAAAGTCAGGCTCCATAACCCAAAAAGCTTCGGAAGGTCCGTACCTCATAAAGACAAAAATTAATGATGTTATTTAACGTATACTTAAACAAATTTTTTAACGGTAAACCGAAGGTAGTGCATCAAAACCGGTTGACGCCATTTGAGGGCGACCAAGACGAGACAGAAGAAGTAAACCAGCTCCAAGAAAGTGTATTGTTAGGGTTCTTAATAATAATTGTGTCCGTAAAAAAACTACCAACAGCTACAATTACAAAGTATTCTCGGCTCCATTCTCCTGACTGACAACTGACAAGTCCCCCGATTCCCAGACTAGCGTGCTTTACCACCGTTGCCAAACTTCCCATTACTTTAACCTGACAGAACAGAAACACTTGGCCATGTCTTTGAAGAATTTATGGGTACATATGGAGGTACCGAAAAAGTAAGATATGGCGTTACAACCAAGCAACAACAAGATCTGCTCACGATTTCTAAAGGCTACTCGCTGGTCCATAGCGCTTCCACCAACATCAACGACGCTCGAGGTCTGGCATATAATAATAATAATAATAAACGTCTTTATTATACCAGCAAAACAACATTTACAAAGTATAAATGGCGTAGTCTAGCCAAATGGCCATTCAACTTAACCATATCACAAATCCTAAAACTAACTTAAACCTAACCTACTCTACATTACGCTGAATGTCTACGGATGAATTCAAATTTAAATTAAGAACAAGAATTAAATAAAACAAATAAAATAAATAACATAGAATATGAATTAAATATTTTCATTTGCTTGGCTACCAAGAAAATATGATTTTAACATTATTTTAAATGAACTAGTACTCAAATATGATTTTAAGTGTGTATTTAGTGAATTGTATACTTTAGCGACATTATAGCTAAATGACCGTTGAAACATGGCAGTTCTATGTCGTGGCATAGCGATAGTATGGCGATTTCGCAAATTTAAGGCATGTGCGTCAATCCTATACGTAATCCGTTCTCTTAAATATAATGGTGAATTAGCTTTTAATAAATTGCTTAAAAATAATAAGAAAAGAAATTTGAACAAAGAATCCATTTTCAACCATTTTAATGAAATAATGTAAGGTGATATGTGGTCATATTTTCTTTTGTTACAAACAAGCCGACAACACGAATTTTGTATTTTTTGTAAACGGTTTGCAGTAGCCCTGTCGAGACAAGGATAGTATACAGAGATGCAGTATGTTATTTTAGAGATTACCAAGCTTTCACATAGGGTTTTTTCATGTTAAATGTTAAATATTGTTTACTTGCATATAAGAGTCTTAGACGAAAATAACAATTTTTTGACACTTGAGAAACATGTTCAACAAATTTTAAATTTTCATCTAAATACAAACCCAAATTCTTTTCACAAGGAGAAAATTTTATTTGTTCACCATTTACCTTAATCTGCATGTCCGATTTAAGCATATTCTTATATATTTTTGGAGAAAACAACAAAGATTTTGATTTTTTAGCATTTAATTTCAAACCATGCCCTTTCACATATTCGCTTATTTTATGCAAATCTTGATTTATGCGGACATTAGCTATTTCATATTCGGAAGGATTAAAATGAAAATATAATTGAGTGTCGTCTGCAAATAACTGTTTTTTGCAAAATTGTAAATATTTAGTCATATCAAACGTGTATAATAGGAAGAGAAGGGGTCCTAGCACAGAGCCCTGTGGGACGCCAGAGCAAATAGATTTTAATTTGGAACATTTACCACCAATAACGACTCTCTGTTTTCGGTCTGTAAGGTAACATTTGAATAAATTAAGAGCCATATTATCAAATCCAAGATATTTGCATTTAGATATAAGAAGTTTGTGATTAATCGTATCAAAAGCTTTACTAAAATCTAAAAGAACTAATACAGTTGACATATTTTTATCAAATGAACCGATAATGTCATCACAAACTCTTGTTAGGGCTGTTACTGTACTATGACCACTTCTGAATCCGGATTGATCACCAACTATCAATTTGGAACTGTTTACGTAATCATTTAACTGAAGATAGACAACTTTTTCTAATATTTTTGAAAGTATACATAATAAGCTGATAGGACGTAGATCATTGCATGATTCAGGATTGGATACTTTAGAAAGTGGCGACACTAAAGCTTCTTTCCAAGAATTAGGAAAGAATCCTATCTCAAGACAACAGTTAATAGTATGAGTGATGTAGTCACCTATAACTGGAAAACATAGTTTAAGCATTTGTAAAGTAATACCATCTGCTCCTTTAGCACTGCTTTTGATTTTTTGAATTATTTTTAAAATGGTTGATGTATCTGTCATTCTAAAAGAAAAAGTGTTTCCTGAATTATGAAATTTAAAGTGACATAGAGCGCATTTAATTGATTTAGTACAAACAATGAAATTATCAGAACAAATTTTGCAATATACATCCACATCTGGTGCCATATCGGCTTAAATATATTACCAGATTTGACTGGACTATAATTTTATACAAATGATAAAGTACTAATTACTGTTAGACTTTTTCTAGATCAGGTTTTTTAGTTGCAATTCATGATAAATTAATGATTTGTAAGCAATTAAAGACCTTATTATACCAATAAATAGGGAAAACTGAAATAATTCATCTAAAACACAATATCTACTCACGATTCTTTTGTGGTAGCTAATGCACTCATCCCTGTAGTAACTGGTTATATTTTTAAAATTTTCACCATTACTTTTACCTAATTTTTAGACTATACAACGTCCCGCTAATCGGTCCGCCGTGTCTTACCTTTGCACAAGCAAATATGTGTTCAAGAAGAAGTTTGATCCATTGCCAGAACCCCAAGGTCAGTTACCAGCTCCTGTAAAAGCCTTAAAACTTCAAGATGGACGTTACCTTTTCTATTTGGTAACAAAGAACATCTTCCGAGATCAATCCACTTATCATGACGTATGGGAAGCATTACTTTATATAAGGGAGTACGTACTAGAGTCCAATGTACAGAAATTAGCCATGGCACAGATGAGCAACCAGCTAAATTGGAGGATCATTTGAAAAATTATGGAAGTAATCCAAGATATCCCTATCCAAATACTGGTCTGCAGAATTCGGTGGTAACTGACTTCAAATTTTATTTTTTCACAAGGATGTTTCTGATTTTTTAGAAAAAAAGATGATTTACATAATTTTTGTATCTAATAAACATAATTTCTCAAATTTCAGATAAAATGACTATCACATTAATTTTCTACAAAAACATTCTATTCAAGTGGAATTTAAAATCATAAAAAAATAAATAATAAATTTTTCGATGGTACTTTCGTTTAATTTAACCTGTTCTATAAGAGAAATTATTATAATACCTGTGCAGACATTTTTCCTCCTGCCATATCATACTGAGAATACCCTGTTTTACCATAATACCATCCACCTTCTCCTTCTTCTCCAAACATTCCTTCTATTTCGTCCATACTAAAAATTAATATCATTTTAATTCTTATTCTTATCTTATTATAACATTCTTGAACCTAATATAGAATATATGCTATTAAAAAAAAAAAAACAATACTGTGGACGAGGTAAACTAAGTTTGGAACAAGAGTTTTTAATGGTATAGACTTTTTCTAATATTCAACAAAATGATTTACTGATGATGGATCACGTGTTTAATAAATGGCCAACTGCTGCAATCATGATTTTGATCTGATGAAAATTATTTGAAAACGACTGACATTTGTGATTTTATAATCTTAACTGTCAAACTGTCTTTATTTAATGAAAACCACATACTTTGATTACTATACGGCGCAAGAGAAACGTCCGACACGTCCAACATAGGGCGCAGCCATTTTGATACAATTACTACTATGTTAGGCAACAGTTTTTTCCAAAATGTTAAACTGGTAGCCTACATCTTGGTATTTTGAGATTTTAAATGAAGGCAACAAATGTAGAAGAAACGTTTATTTATTTTAAATAATATACAAGAAACTTCTTTGAAGTAAAGTTAGAAAACAACAATAGGAACATAATTAAAGTAGTTACTGTTACTTACAAATGGAAAGATTTAACATAAAATCACCAAGTAAAGCAAGGTTTTCAAGATATTCATTATTTGTTAATGGTTTTATAAAGTGTAGGTTTGTAAATAATATCTTTTAGGGACTGACTTTGGGTAAATATAACATAAGCACTAAAATTGTTGCGCCAAGGTGTAGGCAACACGTAATAAGTGTTCAAAATGGCGGAGTTTTCTATCTCCTTTTAAAAGGCACTCAGAAAGCTGCGCAGAGCGACCATTATCCGTATAGTAAGAGAAAATCGAAGTATGTGAATGAAAACAAACAATTCTAAGACTTTTGATAAGCATAAAAACTAAAAACAAGGTTTGAATCTAGACCTGTAAACCCGTATTTAGTTTCTCTCGATACAGCAAATACAACAAAATTGTGTATTATTGTTTGTATTTTACAATTATTACCAAATTGAACAAGTAAAATATTGTGAGTTCAGATTATTTTAATACTACTTGTATTTATCGACTATCAGTCAATGACTGACAGGGTTCACGGGTGCTGGTCGATATGTAACCAAATTTTTATTATAACGCAAACATTTCTTTATAGTCGGACTACGATCATTATTAGTAAGCATTAATTGAGTTCTAAAACCATACATGTCCAAAATAATAAAAACCGAGAAATAATAAGAACCTTTTATCGAGTTATGAATGTACGGTTTTTCACCTAATTTCACGGGTGTAATCAGCTGTACTACGTTAACGTATAGGTATCTAGTACGGTTTTTAAGCTGAAGAGACAAATTTAAAACAAAATGGCTATTTTACTTTAAAGTGTCAAATTTGGGACCGATTCAATTACTACTAGACCTATTGTTATTTCTGTTTATTACAATTGTTTTGAATTTTTTTGTGTATATATTATAAAACCCAAACTCTTGCTGTAACTTAGCAATAAACGTATTATTATTATTATTATTATTATTATTATTATTATTATTAGACAAGTACGGGCAATACAATAATTGAAAAAATATGTACCTGTCATCATTTGCTTGCTGTATCTAACGCTAACAATCTTATTATAAAAGTTAGCCCACTTATAGGTTGATTTAAAAAAACCCAGTGAGTTTCTTCATTCATATTATAAGGAATTTTAAGCAAACTTTTCCTTATTTGTTTAATAATAATTAATCATTTAAGGTTATGTCACGTGATCCATCGGTGCATCAACATAATCGAGTCGATTGATTTGGTGACAACCATATGAGAATAGGTTGAATTTAAGAACATGATGTATGACTCAACTAAAAAATTTTGATGCATAAAAGAACGGTTTTGATGAAATCTAGATGGCATCGATGAATATTAGAAAACGCCTTATGTCTTTCATAATAAGATATACTCTAGATGTCACCTTCTCATTCACGAAAATAAACAGCTCAAAATGAAAAAGAGAAAAATTCTTGAAATTTTTGAAATTTTCAAAAATATTCTTATTTTTGGAAGTGGCTCATTTTTCATTTTGAATAGTTTGTGGTGTATCGTATTTCGCAATACATTGTATTTTGAATTATTATCCCCTTTAATTTAGTTTAGATAATTTTTGTTGTTAGATAATGAGTTGATAAGACTTGAAATTGTTATTAATAAAATAATTATCCTCGTAATAAGTCTTGGTTGGATAGAATAAATAAATATCGTTATTTATCAAACACCTCTATTGCTCTATCTCTTTTCTTACGATGACAATTCGGTGGCTGTTAGTCGAGAGACATTTTCGATTGTCATTCCTTCCTGAATTTGGAGTCAAAGAGACTAATTGTGAGATGATCCTGTAATTCAGACGTTCCTTTTCTCTTTTAGGAATTAATTATGGTAAGTGCTAGATATCATATTTTTTGGTTTAATAAAATGATTACATTAGATTTACTAGATTTATCTGTATTAATTTTTTTGTAAGTCGAACGGATATATTGGTTTCTGTGAAATAAATATATTTTATTATTCAAAACGTTCGTCTCATCCGTCCTATCTATCCGATTTAATCATTAAAAGGTCGAAATCTTTTTAGCTTGACATCTGAATGGTGTAAATTAGAAGAAAAGTTTGGATGATTTTTTATCATATGAAGAATAATTTAGAAGCTTTTATATTCGAGGATCTAATAAGTTTGGGGACCTTTCATTGTAGATGAGACCTGTTCTACCTCTTGATGAACCCATACCTTGTTGCGATAAGTCAAAATTTATATTATACTGAATACTAATTCAAAATAGATAACTTTAAAAATCAATTTATTATTAGAAATTCTTGTAGTTTGGTTTTACCGTATCTTCTGAAGGCATATTCTTTATATTTAATTAAAATTAAATAGTAATTTGTGTTCTCATATTTTCATCAATTACTTTTATACGTAGAGATATGCGAATTTAAATACAGTGGTGCCCCTTTCCTAATTTCAGGGTATTTGAGATATTATATCCAAAAGCCCCATTCACTACCCTTATTAATGAGCTTTAAACACTTAAAATTGTAAAACCAACATCAGTGGTTACAAATATTGATACTTACATTACAAGTTACATCTCAAAAAGACGGAAATTTTAATAAATATTCTCGATAGTTGCAATGCTTGGTAAAACATCGGGAATTGTCCATAATTTTGAAGTCATAGTAAGCGTTGACATTTAGATTAAAAAAAAATATAACGTGTAAAACTTCAAAACTTCCTCTTAAAAGTGACATATAAATAGCAAAAACCTTACAGAATTCCTTCTACATCAGCTTCATATTCTCCATATTGCTCTGCTTCTCCTTCTCCTTCCATTTCTAATTCGTCCATAGTAGGTCCAAAAGAATCTAAATCCATTAATTCTATGCCTTCATCTATTTGTTGAGGAAGAGGCGGTTCTATCTGAAATTAAGTAAAAATATATATTTAATAGGAAGACATACAATATGTTTACTTTTTAAATTAATTTTTTTTATTTGATAAAATTTACCTGTGTGTCTTCCAAACTTGCCGAATCTAGATCAGCTATATCTTCTCTAGGTATTGGGTGGAAAGCAACACATGGTTTCGAAGGACATTTTTTCATTAAAGCATAAAGCTGATCCATTGCCAAACTCTCAACATTGGACCTAAGCAAACAAAAATATAATTTACTTTTAAAATTTCAATCAGTAGGAAATCTTTCGCAACTTGTTTGTACACAAAAATAAAAATGTAGTATTGTAGATGCCACTTTAATATTTAAATTTGCCGCCACATTTAAGTTGGCAACGTACATTCTGATCTTTGGTAATTTCCTAGTTTTGACAAGGTGATCACCTTTTAGGGTATGGTCCGTTATTAACCGAAATATCGGTTACTTGGTCCAAAACTAACCGCTCTGCTTGACATTCCTGAAAAATCGGTTAATTTAAGGACGCGGTTGCCTGAAAATGGTGACTCAAACGTCAATTCACTGCTATAATTTTACGGTTACTATTAACTCGAATGTCAATCTGTCACAAAAGTGACGTAAATTCTAGTTACTTGGGTTTAGTAGTCGGTTAATAACGAACCATACCCTTAGTTTTGTCGTAGAGTCAGGTGCATGCCAATTAAACAATTTCTTATTATTTTATGAGTTTTATTACGAAAATATGAACGTTACTTAAAAGAAGTAATATCTACAGTATGTTTAATTTTTTGCAGAATAAACTTGTCAATAATTTTTATTTTTGTCATCTATGTTGCATAAACTGTCGAACCAATTTATAGTTTTAATAAGTTTAAATTGTATTCCACTAACCCAATTTCCACAATCGAAGCATGTGGGCTTTCACCTGCCAACAGTCTTCTCATAGCGATCGCTGTATAATCCACAGTGACAGGTTTCTCGGTGGCATTCTTCTTCGATTTCTTCATTTTGAAATTTTTGAAACAATCTAGCGGAAATTCATCCATAGACACATGTTTTGGAAAATGTGTGGATTGTACGGGGTCTCGATGTATCTTGCATACTTTTAAGGCATGAATGTAGAAGATGCTGTCTTTGTCAAAATTACGAACTATAGTTTCAATTAAAGATTCCAAAGTGGAATGCATCGAAACACAAGCACATCCATCCCTGGTTGAATAGGCTTCGTTGTCTCTTGAATAAGGATCAAAGCAATAAAACATATTTCTTTGCTTCCATACTGCTAAGTGACACTTGCCTGCAAGAATAGTTTAAGAAATGAAAAAAAAAATTGTTCAAATTACATTTGAAAACTTAAACAATATTACAATTACGTAATAATACGATCACATAACATTACACCCTCTCAACAACAAAACACATTATTCAAATACATGTACACATAATCTCACCTCTAGACAGAAAAACGCAATCCCATCTCTATTATTTTGTCTATGAACAACGACTACCACAAAGCACATAGAGGTTCCACGTGAATGACCAAGGTCAAAACCGACAACTGACATTTCTTATGCTATTGACTCCAAACTCTAGATGGGGCTACTGGTGAAATTATTATTTCATACTTCATTTTTAGTTTTTATGGGCGAAAAACTTAACCAAAGAATCCAAAGATGTGACGTGTATTTATTTAAGTTTTTGATTAGTCTCATTTTTCCGTCTGATTTTAGTGATTTTTTTTGTTGGCTTTGGCTTTTGGTTTCTGTTTATAGTTTCGTCTTAGTTATTTGCAAAATTGTGATGTTTTGCTTTTCTATTTCCTACTGTGTTTTTCAATAATTTTGGTGAAAACTTCGAGAAAAACTTCATTGATTTACCATGCATCATAAAAAGACAAACGGGTAATCAATTTATCACTGGACTAGATTCCGAAATTATTTTTCACATAAGGGAGTATACCATCTGTATTTGGAAGGAAAATATTTATCAGTGAATGAATAGTTAAAAGGATTCACCTTCCTGGCTCGCGAGCTAGGAGGTGCCTATCATCTTAGGAGGATGAACAATGGGCCTAATGAGACATAAGTGCCGTGGGGGTAACCCACCCTCCACACGTTACAGATACAGAGAGGATTCACCTTTTAATCCAATACCTATATTACATTTAACCTTCAGGTAAAAAGACATTTATAAAATATAACTTTAGTGTTAATAAAATGTTACATCCTAGTTTCTACTTCACAATTCAATATATTGATATTTTAAAGATTTGAGATTGTATACCTATTTGCTCCAAGTAAGTATTCGTTAAATATGTATTATTATTTGTATTTATTTTTATCTAATAATATTTATTTATTTAATAAACATATTTTAAGAATGTTCTATTTTATTATTTATTGATATATCTTCTATTTATTTAATAATAATGTGCAGAACCAACTCTCCATATCAGACCCCTTATAACAAATTAATTCCTCAAATTTCCCTAAATTATTTGGTAAAATAAAAGTTTTGAACTTACTAGTTCCATACTTTATTTTATAAAATAATTTATGTGGAAATCATTTAATAATTAATTTAAACTACTAAAAATTACAATTTGAATTTACCGCTATCTGTCAATTGTCATTTTAGTTCCTGCTCCAAACACAAGGTAGCGCTAATTTGGTTTAAAAGTTTAACATTGGCGTGGGGTCTCTAGAAGATACGTGCTTTGTGGTTGTTACCGGTAAGTACGATTAGATTTTAAGTACTGGTATGTCACATTGACAACTGACATTGCACTCTGAGCGTAAACGGAGTAAAATCACATGAGTACTCCGTTTACGCCTAATTACTCCACTCTACTCTGGAGTGCGCAAACCGAACTCACCTAGAGTAGCATCTCAAGTCTATTGACAAACATTCTACCCCACTCCAGTTCATTGTCGAGAACTGACTGTTGCCCTGTTGCCATTTTATTAACTTGTAAACTAGTCGTATGCCTAACACGAAAAATTAAGCACTGTATATCAAACTTTCAGGACCAAGCCTGATTTAAGAAGATACCGAACGGCATATCGATGGTCTAAAATCAACAGCTTGAAAGTCCGAAATTTCAAATTTTTACTTTTTCCCATCTATACAAATTAATTTAGAACAAAATTTTGAAAATAACAAAATAACTACGTTCATACAATTATTTACTTGTCAACATTATTTATCAAATAATTAATTGGCTTTATTAAGTAATCAAGACAGTTTAATATTCCTCCTCTAAAATGTTCAATTTGGACATACGAAGTATTGATTTGAGACCGTCGATATGCAATAAATAAGACTCGAAATAAGATTGTCTAAAACAAAGCTTTTCTGTACTTCCCAAATAGCTATCATATCGTCATGATTATTTTTAGACCCACCACCTCTTCCTATACAGATGAATGGCGTTGTGTTTTTAAACATAACTATGTACTTTTCTATGTTTATAATAATATTATTTACTACACTATAATATATATTAAATCTTACCAAATTGTAAAATAGCGTTAGTGCATTTCGTAAAGAACGAATCCAGACAAGTCTGCAATTGACAGACGCAAGATCTATATATCACATCGGCAAAAACATTTCCAAAAATGTATATTTCAACAATATATGGTCCAACGGTAAAAATAGCTGGTATATTTTCTAATTTAACTTCCTCTGTGGTGGTACAGCATATACATTCTCTATACAGGAGGTTACCTATAATAAGTATTTTGTCGACAGTTTTTCTGTGCCAGGCGCTTGGTGGAGTTAAGCGAGAATATACCTAAAATAATAGCTTGGATAGAAAACTCCAACTTACAATGATCATATTAACTTTAAAAAACTTAAAAAAATTACAAGTATTAAAAAAGTATAAGTAGGTGTATGGTATCAAGCATTTTGTACCAAAACAAATATTGTGAATTGCCCCGTAGTTCATTTTAGGCTGAAAAATCATACAGTAAGCACGTACTAGTTGTTTCTGTTGAAAAAAATGCTTTTTTCTTTATTTTCTTTGGTTTTATAGTCGTTTCTACTAGTCAGTAATAAAGGTAAGTAATTTGTCATCATTTTACACAATTAGTCATTCCGGAGCAGCTTAAAATCTTATAAAAAGTTTTGTAAATATATATCTTTACAATTTTGAGGTCATGTTTACTTATTTATTTTCTTTTTTTGTTTTTAGGAAAAATGGACGAAAAAGAAGAAAAAAGTCTTCTAAAACTTATGGCTGAAGCAACTCCTTTCAAAGAAAAATCAGTAAATATTCATAGTGATGTACTTGAGCCAGAAACTGCTAGAGGTCTGTTCCAACAACGATCAGCATTGAGATTCTGAGACGACTATCTTCGTTCCACAAAATGCAATTCTTATGTGATGTCTCTCTCTATTTGATTCGTTACGTGTTGAGTTCGCACATAAGAATCCCTGTCCAGAAACCAGTTACTGACACAAGGATTCTGCGCAATATATAATTTGGCCGTCGAAATAATCAACTGCGCAGCATCCTGGTGTCAGTGACTGGTTTCTGATAGGATAGGATAGGATACCAAATTTGTTGTCAGAAACAGAACCAAATATACAAAGCTTATTAGAAGTGGAACAAGATAATAATATACAAGAAACAGGTAATGGGACACAAAAATTGTCGTATGTCAACGAAAATGGAACTGATGACGGGTGGTGTGATACTATTGTAGATATTCCAGGTCATGTTTCTAAAAAGTTTCGCCAGTTTTGCTATTTCCAACATCAAATATGTCCACAGTATAAGGTGGAAAATTGATTTAGGGAAACCAAGAAAACCTAAATCACAATACTGTACAGTAATATGACATTGAGATGGGTTAATTTATCTTATAGATAATGGATATTGAAGTCAAGCAGATCCTAGAGTTCAGCAGTGAATGGGAGTTCTTGAGAGTCAGTCAGAGAGTAATCTTAGATTAGGTTGTGGGAGTTTTCTTTTAGGTTTGAAATATAATGAGGTAGGATTCCCCACTCGACCATTCACTGTTGGGTTCTAATTAACAGTGCTGTTCCTAAAGTGGCGCTGGGAAACAGTAACAAAGCCTACACAGAACACACATGATTGAGAATTTAAACACAAATTTGAGACTGGCATATTAGGTATATACACCTAGGCCATAAATCGAAAAAAAAAAAAAAAAAATATATAATGAGAAGCTCCATGGGCGCCAGAAAGTTGTAGTGCTTGAGCCTTTCAGAGTTTGAGAGGCGTATTGTTTCCTGAGAGTTTCGAAACGAGTGAATATGGGGGCGTTCGAGATGTTTTCGAAAACTTCTCCACTAGGAGAGTGGAAGGGAAGATACTGGCATCATCAGGGTATACGTCTCTTGAGTATGGTGAGTTTGTGGGCAAGATGTACTGGAAGTACGCCATAATGTACCGCTCTGTACTCGGCAACGGGACGAATAAATGAATTTATATGTGAATTAAAGTGTTGTCGAGAGTGCGTTGGACATCAGAGGACCAGTTAAGACAGTACAAAAGAATCGCACTTTTAAAAAGTCAACCTTAGTTTGTTTAGCGAGTCTAACTCCCAGAAGGTTCTCATTAAATTGTGTTTTTGGTGGATTGAGTAAGACCCTCCATCTGCTCCACCAGCGGGAATACTGGTTTAGTATATTTTGGGTTCAAATACCTACTTAGTTGTTCAGAGTTTTTGGCTACAGAGAGCAGTTAAGATGACATTTTGATGACGGGTGGTTTGGAGGTGGCGTGTCGTGAGTGTTTATCAGGTATATGAGAGAGGCCAGGACGGAGCGCTGTGGTATCCCAGCAAATGAAGTGAATGACTCTGATAGAGCGTTGCCTGCTTTGACTGTAATAGTTCTGTCAGTGAGGTATGAGTGCGAGTGAAATATTGAAGGGAAGACCTATATCCATATTTTTTTTTACTAGTCCAGCATGCCAGACTTGGTCAATCGCTTTTTAAACGGCTGAGGAGATTTGAAGAGAGTTTACTGCAGTGACCGCAGTAGTCTGAAGTGTTAAGATTGCGTCTTGAGTGGAGTGATGAGGTCTGAGACCATGTTGGGATTGCAGAATACTGTTTCGCTCTTTACAAAAGTCTCAGATTCTTTCCTTGGGTAGAAGTTAAAGGAGTTTACCTAGTACTGATATAAAGAGAGATAGGTCGATAAGAGTTTACGGATTTGTGGTCCTTGCCTGGTTTCGAAATCAAAATGGTGTTGGACGATTTCCAGACAAGTTAACAGTAGGAGAAGGAGAAGCAGGCGTTCAGGAATAGGGTAAAGATGAGAAACATGGTTTCAGGACGACGTTTCAGCTTTCTGCTATGTATGGTATCAGACCAAAAGGCCGTGTTTTTGCCTGGTTGGCGCGAATTGGATATCTTGGGAGTGAATGGGGCGGTGATTAGATTTTCGACATCCAATGAAGGGACTGGAGCGACAAGCGACTGGAGCGACAAGAGTTTGATGAACATTGAGTTCGGTCTCGTATCGAAAATGGTCGTCAGAGTAGGGGTTGTCAGGTTGTCAATATTGATTTCGATTAAATGTATTGTCAAAGATTATGTAATAAAATAAACTTTTGATTAACGTTAAATATAAGTATAATTTATTAACTTACCAGAGCAATTACAGCCATAGTCAAAGATTGTTTATATCTAGAAAAATCGAAACATTTATCTCCTAAATCGAATGACCCCAGGACGACTGCTTTATTTTCATTCAAAATATTGTATTCGCTTCTAATATCCAGTCCTGTTTGGGAGTCTATTTCTGGTTCGTTTACTGGAATGACTCTATAAACTTTTAACGGATGAATAGCAAATGGCCAATTTCCAAAATTAGATCTGGTAAGAAGAACAGTAGCTAGCGATGGTACGTCATAAAAAATGGCCATTATCGCAGCACCAGTTGGACTAAAAAAATTTAAATATATTTGCTTTTTTTTTAATCAAGATATTGAAACTGTTCTTATTGAGCAAGCCATTATTATCCTTCATTTACACAAAAAATTAAAAACTTCTCGAGTCTTTTTTATTGTGACTATTGTCAAAAGAATACAAAATTGCAACATTGAAATACCCATGAACATTTCATTAAAAAATACCTGCAATATAAATCTTTTGTTCTAGCTTTGGCATCAAACATATACAAATACTTCTGTTTCCAAATACCAATAGAAAGATGTTTAGTTTTTATGATCCCAGAATTATGTCTGTGAAAAAATATACTTAAGGCCTTCGTAATATTATATACAGTTTTATCATCTGATCGTATGTAACCGGCTATATCTGGTTCACCTATGTGAAAACGTAACTTTTTGTCTCCTGAAAAATAAAGAGTTTATCATAAATAAGTAAAATTTTCAGGACTCTAGAGTTTTAAGTACAAACTTCTTTACCACTATGTTTGTTCACTGATATAAAAGAGTTACTTTTAATGTAGCACCTAATATTTACCTATTGTGATATATTTTCGTAATACATTGATATTAACAGGTCTTTTTAAGTTGTGAATGTGTGTTTCATCAAGTGACTGTATCAAAAGGTTATTGCCGTATATCAAAATATCATCAACATTTTCCCTGGTCCACTTGTTTGGATGTTTAATAATGGAGTAACAAAAGGCCGCTACAGGCATACAAACTCCTTGCTTGTCTCTTATTCTATCAGAAAAACTCTCATCTCCTGAAAAGACATGTAACAATGATGTTATAATTAAAATGGTTGATAGTAAGTAGTTAATATTTTTACTGTAAAGGGCAAGTATACAGATATGGCCACTGTTTTACTGATCGTAGGAAATACTACAGATGTAAACAAGTAAAGATGGATGCGTTAAGAATGTTATTTATAGATAAGGAGACTGGAGAGAAAGAGTAAAATCGAAAATTAACAAAATTACCATAAACACGCCTATAACATATTCTGTTCTTACCCTGATGCATGGTACCCTCCTTGGATCCAAAAAAGAAGTCTCTCAACGTTGGTTGACATATATCAGTAAAAGAGTGGCTTTCCAGAGTTCCCCGTTTGAATTTTCTTCTCTGAGGACCGAATCGTTTGATGTCTGATTCCCTTTTAAACTTTTGCAAAATTTTGGCGATGCCCGGTGGAAATTCGGCTTCTTCCAACAGCGGGTAGTCCTTACTGTTGTAAGAAGTGGCTGCAGACATCTAAAGCGAAAAATCGATATGAAAATTAAAAATCAAAATTATTTTCGTAACCTTTACCAAACATTGTAGTATTAAATAGGTTGTGATATTTTAGTTTTAATGAATTTTAATGGATAATAACTAGAAAATTATTAAGTAAAAAGTCACCTATTACTTTTCACTGTATTTTTGCTCATAAATTAATCACTGTATATTATTTGGAAAGAGGAAAAAGCAGATTAATGGCATGTACTAGAGCACGGCATAAATGCCTTTTTTATCAAGTTTTTCTTGGTAAAAGTGGTAAGTGAACCGGTATATGTTAGAAGCACGAATTCATTCTATTCCGTTATCTGACGACTGACTCTTGTAAGAAGTACTAGGTATAATCTGGCTTTGCGGGAAACTGTCTCCTTTTTATGCTTTTTTTCCCTCTCCTGTGGTACACAGACGCTATGCTAACACGGCAAAGCTTGCTTACATCCGAGTTTGTGATTGGTTTTTAAATTGCAACTGTATTTAGAATTCAAATGTTCGTCGCTTGGTACGCGATAGAGATGAATTTAGCGATTTAACAATCTCCGAATTTTTAAATTAATTCAATGCAGGGTTGGCTGAGGTATCAGAGAAATATGTTGGATATATTTCCAACAACACAGGAAAGACACGACTAATAAACAACCGAATTGGTTTTTAATATTGTACAGGATCGCACTAAGCAGTTATAAATATCTAAACCATCTAAATCGTATTTTAATAATATTAATAATATATTTGCACACATTTAGGGTTACACACATTAATTGGTTTTGGGTAGATAGTATAATATGGTCCAAGTGGCCAGATAGTAATCTAATTAATCCTCTGACTAATTTAGGATTCAATGGTCTTCAATTTACCTATGAAACATATTCATAGACTTCAATTAAAATATACCGAATGAAAGGGTACACATAGGTACCAAAATTAAGTGTAATGAACTTTAAAATGAGCGATTTTACTAAAGATTCCTTTTTTGGGCGTGTTAATCAGAACCTCGTTATTTCGTTGCTTGCTTCATTAAAGAAAAGAAGAAAACTTTACTGTACTAACCAACGAAACTTTTCTTCTGAACATCTTTGTTAGATCGGCATCCTCAGGTTCGCCGCCTTTACCTTCCAATTCAAGCTCATCGTCTGTTTGATCTTTCTTTTTCTTCTTTCCCGATTTACGTTTCTGACCACCATCCTCACAGTAACATATATTTTCATCTCTATTTTCTGCACCTCCACCTCCCTTCTTACTCTTTTTGCCTTTCTTTGTACACTCATCTACGGAAGGCCAAGGCCTAAAATGTCAAACGATTGTGTTATAAGAAAAACATCGATCTACGCCAAATCCTTATATTATTGTGATTTTTTTCTTTTCCTATTTTGTGCAGAAGAAGAATACAAATATGAAATTGAACTAATTCAAGCAGTCACTGTAATAGTTACAAATTGAAAAAAGCTATTCCGCTATATCAGCAATGTATTCACCAACCCGTCATATCGTCACCAATAATTATTCTAAACTCCCACAGACATTTGAAGGAAATTATTGGAGGTACTTATAATTCCATCAACACAAGGTGGTAACCACTAATAAAGACAAATATATGAATGAAGCGGCTTCTTTAAATATAACTGATAATTATAAATGACTAGTCTTCAATAATATTAACAACATTTAGTGAATATTTATCATGGATGGAAAATGGAGAACCAAGTTAAGCATTTTCAGAGCAAGTTAAGACAGAATAAAACTGAATGTTTAGGGTTAAGAAAAGGAATTGTCATACAAAGCTGAAGCACGTACCAAGTGTATGGAAGATTGTGGAAGTAATAATTCTGATCGATGATCCTAAAACCTGGGAAAACACCAAGTAAACCTATGTTTCAAAGCGATTAGACGTGACGTGATTGCAAAACACGCCCTTACCCCGCCAATATTCTCCGCTAACGACAACCAGAGCATCAATAACTCTCAATAAAACCACCTCAAAGAAACCATCGCCCTTTCATCCAGTCAACTATACTCGGACAAAATATTGAAGAAGGTAATTCTTCCCTGTTCACGTACAACAATAATACTATACCAGAGCATAATGAATGGAATCACGTGCTTAAAATTGCAGAAATTATCGGTATCACGTGCCAACTAGTCATAAATGTATGTTTATTATTGGCAAATTAAATTCGGTAATAGTAAATAATATTATATGAAAGTAGGTTGGTTATCTATTTTTGTAGTAATAATAATTTGTTTATAATTTTGTTTTGTTTATTGTTAAAATATGTAAATATTATGCCAGTGGCGTAGAAACACTATTGGAAAATTAAATGGGGTATTATACTAGAACAAAATATTGAAGAAGGTACGCCTTAAAACTGCAAAAGGTATTGTTATCATATCAAAATGCTCTCTTCCAGTGTCGCAGAAATACTATATTGGCAAATTAAATGGGTATTTATGAATATTACTAGATGAAAGTAGGTTGTTTATCTATTTTTGTTATAATAATTCATCTATGTTTATAATTGTATTTTGTTTATTATAAAAATATGTAAATTAAGTTTGGTATCACTTACTTGAATTCTAAATCTATGAAGTTTCGTAATCCATTGATTCTGCAGAACTATCACTGGAATCGTCTTTATTGTCGGAACTTAAAGTTATGACTAAAGGTTCAACTACCGTTTCGATCATACCGTCCAAGCGCCATATATTATTCTTCCTTAATTACATGGGAAATAGCATTCTGCCAATCTTCAGGTTTTATACGTTCTATACCGGTTTTTAATAAACTTTGAACATCGGCTATTTTAAAAGTTTTATTTTCTCGAGCTACAAACCCTTTCACTTGCGCCCAAATTAGTTCAATAGGATTGAATTTGCAGTGATAAGGGGAAAGTCTTAGTACCGTAATACCACGATCACGAGCCATTGTGTCGACAACATATTGAATATATTTATGGCGGTGTTCCTTTATTAGGTCCATTAATTCCACTTTAAGCATCTCCTCAGTAAATGTTATTGCTTTATCTTGCAGCCAGGTTTGCATATCCGCTTTCCTACTGGACATTATCGGAATGCGTTCAACTCGTCGACTGTGATAAGAAGCGTTATCTAGTACAATAACTGAATTTCGTTCTACACGCTGTAATACTTCAGTAAACCATTTTTCAAAGCATTCCACATTCATGTCCTCGTGGTAGTCTCCTGTTTTTTTTTTCGATATAAACACAAGAGTGCTATTTTCCAAAAATCCACTGTCACTTCCGATATGGGTAACAATTAGGCGCTGTCCTTTACCTGATAGTGCTTTCAAACCTGTAAATAATCCCTCTATAAAAGCTTGGCGATGACTAGTTACAGAAGTATGTTGCCATATCTTAGATACCGTGTGTTCAGCATTCACACACGTTCGAAATAGTATATCTTTTTTTAGCGGATCTTAAATCTTTAATATTTCGTAAATAACGAATAACACCGTTGCCAGGACGCTATATCTGACCTCTCAATTAAAATTGATTTTTTACACCGTTTGACAAAACGAAATTTTAGGACTCATTAATGGAATTTCTTCGTTTTCTCTTATTTTCGTAAGAACAACTTTAAGTATTGGGGCTTTGTTTTCGAAAAAAAAAAAAAAAAAAAGAATGTACTTCTTCGAATGATTTGTTTTTGGTTATCGTCCAATTTCAACAATTTTCGACCACGGGTATGCGTTTTAGGGGCTTCTAAGGAGCATTTTTTTGTCTTTTCGCGTACAATACGTTCAATTGTTGAAACAGATACTCCAGTTAAAAAAGAACTGCGGTTTACAGCTTCATTTGTAGTAGGTGTCTGTTTCAGCCCATCATACACTTTCCATATAATGTTCTTTTCATCCTTTGATAAGGGCTTTCGCCGACGTAATTGGGTTTCACTTGGACCCGCCCCTGAATCCATTACTATTGTAACAATATAATTCTACTATTAAATTATTTTTATTAAATTTATAAAGACACCAATATTTTACAATTTAATAAACTTTTAAAGTACCTACCTAATATACTACACAATAAATATAACTCCTCGAATATGCACTACCACTACCAAATTGTAAGGCACAAACATGAACACCTACTCGTATATCAGAAAAGAGCACTTATACAAAAAAATGTTTATAAAATATAAAATAATTATCGTAAATAGTTAAAGCGATACAAATCTAACTTCGTCGGAAGTTAGTTTTCAACTGTCTTTGTGCCTGTGCTGACAATATTCAATCTGTAACCCGTCTGTCGTTTATTTACTTGAAACACATTTTAAAACTATTAAACACAGATAACGAAGTCATTAGGGAATAAATATATTCATTTCTTGAAAACTATCAAAAACGTATATTTAATGCATCATCTTTGTTTAAATAAAGATATTGACAAACAAATTTAATAAAGTTTACTACTAAATAACTAATAAATAAATATTTGGTATTTGATACGCCGCCTATGCTAACTCTGTCGGAATTTTCATTCATAGACAACAGTGTTGATCATGCATATGACTCACCTTCTCCAATATTTTGTCCGAGTATAGCCGCCATGTCGCCATATTTAATTTGTAAAAACAAGTATTAAAAATATATTGCACGTGCAAGAATGTGATGAATTCGTATAGTTAGTGATTTATTACAATTGTTGAACGTAATCCACTGTTATACATAAAGATTTTAATGGATATACAATATTAAATGGTGTTAAAGGTTGCAGGTATTTTATTTCTCACCAGCAAAATGATAACTCAGCAATTTTACAGTTTGTTATAGTCGAAAGAATATGTAAGGGGTGAGCACTTTCGATTGAACAACTTGTAATACTCATTAGCATTTTTATAAATTAATGTGAAAAACAAACTTTCCTTTCCCGAGAACATAAATTGAAATCTCCATCAATATATTCAACTCCAGACCATAGAACTGCAAGGAAGCAAGTAATAGCTAATACATCAAAAAGAGGAACAGTGAACTAGCGGAGATCCTTACCTCTTTCCACATTTATTGGGGGTGCCAACAGAAAAAATGGAGAGGTTTGCAGCGAACTACTACTCAATTCCAATGTCTAGAAGAGACACCACAACTGCTAGAGAACTCCACTCAACAGAATAATCAAAACGAAGAAGCCATTCGAATCAAAACGAAGAAGCCATTCGAACAAGTGCTAGGGTTATTATGGATCAATGTACCAGCAAAACATCACACCAATTTACAGTTATCTGCATAAAAAAAAATTAAGCGTGAATTCAGAGATGTTGAATGTTGATTAACCATCTTAGATTAATGTAATACCATGGAAGTCCTTGTACATTTTTTATATCATAAAAATTACTTACGGTCTAGGTTTTTTCTTATATACCAAATCAAAACTATCATAATCTTCAAATTTTTTATCATTTTCTTTCTCATTTAAAAAGAGCCCAGACTTGGGTTTATCGCTTTCTAATTGGTCAGCTGGTTGACATTCAGGATACAAGATGCTGGGACTTGGACAAGTTTTCTTAAAAGGTACTTTTGCACAGCTGGCTTCAGGAGAAGGTACATCGAGCTAAAAAAAAAAGTAAACAGATGTCGCTTTTCAAAAAATAAAATTAGAAATCTATGTTTGGCGGTATACACGATGTTTAATTAATAATGAGCCATATAATAATTGGATAATTACTGGTTTAAAATATATAGATTTAACGTGGATCACTTATATAAAATAAGCTTCTTTGCTGGAAGGGATACAGGTTCAATTTAAAAATAATTTAGTTATCTTAGTACTGCTTAATATTTATTTGTACAATTTTATAATGCATTAAAATGCGAGAAAGACAGAATTCAAGCAATTCTTGAAGATGCGTGAAATGTTGCGCGAACTGCCTTCACTATCAGAAGTTCCTAGCAGTGTGTTTACTGAACTGTGTCTATAAAGTAATCAAATTTTAACTTACTTCAGCATCTATTTTTCTTTTCGGAAGCGGTTTATTGACATTAAGGTTTGGCCAATCACAAAAGTCATCTGTAACGTGAGAAACGTTCTTTTTTTGAAGATATAGAAATTTCTTAGTCGGTGGATATTCGTAAACTCGTTTTTCAAATTTTGTATCATCGTCGCAAGTTCCTGTGTTCACATATTTGATGTCCATGCGACGACTAGAAATAGTTAATACTTACATGAAAATCGCATATAAAAAATAAATAAGTAAAAAGGTCAATTCAATAATAAAATATTTAAAAAAATTAAATGCAACATTTAGATTTTTTTACGAGTTTTGTCTAGAAAGAAAATTTACTTTTAAAATAGCGAACCAACGTAGGTATAGTTGCATTAAACAACACTTAAATTGAAATCCCTCGTATTGAAAAATATTGTCATGGAATTCCTAAGCCGACCCTGTCTAAAGCACCGACCTTCACGTCTGTGGCACCCGACTCATGCTCGAAACGACGGAATATTCTAGGAATGCCGCTGACGATCGATAAACGATTAGGACGGACGGAGCGTACCACATCCCCAACTAGCCATTCATAAAAGTGTATTTGTTGTGAAGTTCTCATCATCATCTATTGTATAGTCCAGGAGACAGTGACGATTTTCGGTATTTATCTTCCCAGTCAGCAAGCACGAATAGAGAATTGTAGGATTAGCAATTCTAAGCAAAATTCATATATATTTAGAGGGGGGATCCGATGGGCTGAGGCCGAAAATGCGTCAAAACATACGAGAACACGGCCTTTTTTTTCCATTGATAAAAATAGTTTTAGTAGTAAGAGATGTACTGAAGTTAAGTAAAAAAATAGTCTGATTAATCTGTATGGATAATATATTTGGCAAGTGCATAAAATATACTTTCAAACGAGTTATGTACACAATTATTTCTACGACCACAATTATTTAAAGAATGTTCCAGGTGTTTTGTATATTAAAGCGTACGCATAGGACACATAAATAAAATTATATATCACAATGTTTCACCTAACCAGTTAGTTTATTTATAGAAATTAAATATAATAACAGAAGAAAATAGGGAAATAAATTACATTTCCTTTTACACTTTTATATAATAATTGTTTTATTTAGAATTCACGAATCACTTATTACTCTACATTAATTATAATTATTGTCAGTTTCGTTATGTCAAATCATTTATACTAGAGGTGTGAGGAAAATACAGTGAACTGTGGAACGCCAATATCGTTGGATGCGCGTGGTAGAAATGGTCCTATAATATTGCTAAAAACATAGCTAAATTTTCATGGAAACACTGTACTTTTGACATTTGCGATACTCCGACGCATATGCATTAGTGATGTAATCTCATGATTTTACAGTAATAGTTTTTGAAATTTTAGTGTGATTTTTAGGTTATTATGGTTATTCATTTTATTTGGTTCTAATCTTTTGCGCTTTTAGAGTATTTGTCTTTTATATAGTTTTTAATTTGAATTTTAATATTGTGGTCTATTTATATTTGATTGCTGCTTTTCGACTAGTGTTTTATTCTTTTTGTGTTAAAATAAGCTTTATAACCATTAAGTACATACTTCTAGTTGATATCTACCTAATCGTCATCGGGTGCTTGCAACAATGGGAAAAAGTGTATGGTTTTTTTGGTGTAAAGTTAGACGCCTTCATTTTTCATATAAGTTATTTGTAGTTATTTTTTACTTAAAAGGATAGCAATACGTCCTGGTTCGGGGTGTGACTTTTGGGTTTTAGCTATCTGAGCCAAATTGTCGGCTGTGTCCTCTTTTAGGGCACCTACAACCGAAAACTATATAGGTATATAATATGTTTTTTTTAATTATTTTTTAATATGTATGCAGCTTGGATGAGGGCTTTAGGAAGAGATCCTAAGACTGAACACTGACTGCTATAAATGCGGTTTTTAGAGCACATTTCATAGTAAGTGATATCATTCTAGCAGCAATGAGGAAACGTTTAAAAAACATGCTGTACCAGCTATTACTTTAAGACCTCGTCTCTTTAAGTTATTATTACTTCATTCTAATGCATATATTAAAATGGTTTTTAACTTATGTCTTTATGATTAAAAGATGTAGGTATTTAGGTTATGTTATAATAGAAATATATGATACTTTGTATTGACTGACCTACTGACCACTGGTCATTCCACTTTTACTCCCTTTTTTCATAAATTATCAAATTATTTAAAAACAAATACATACCTAGCTATTTTCTGTAAATTACAATAAAATTTTAGTATTAATACTTTACTAATAAAACTTTAGTTAATTTATCTTATATATATACACACAACGGAAGAGTTAATTGGATTTTCTCCTTTTTGAGTTTCAAAAATAGTAATTTAACATGATTTAAAAACAAATACATGAAATGGGCAAAATAGACCTGCAAAGGCACTTTGTAAACAATCTCACTTGTATCGATGTGACGTAATGCGCGAATTCAATCTGCTTACTTTTGTTAATAGATTGGCGTTCCATTTTAAATATACAGTTCACCGGGAATAGATTATTTAAATATACACGGACCGGGAAAACAAGTACGAAAAAATTCACTGGCTCCTGGACTAGTACTGTATTGAAGGAATTTTTATGAATGAAACAATATACGACCCTCCACAATTGCGGTTTACTCTACTTCCGCTGTTGTCAGACATTATTTTTTTTTGTACAATTTAAAGACCTAACAGTAATTCAAGCAAACGCAATAACATTACTACAGTTAAAAACATCGCAAACTTGGCATCAATATTTTAATTTTATCCAAATATTGCATTTCTGTCGAGGATCATTCGCGTTGACTTCATAAATTGTGTAATCTGTATTGGTTATATATATCTATAGTTAAAAGCACGTAAACTTGGCATCAATGTTCAATCTGATTATTGAGTTTCTACCGCGGACACCACCGTTCATTCTTCAAAAATTTTGTAAATAATCCTATCTGTCTTGGTTATATATCTATGGAGCGTACCGTTGAGTCAGATGTAATTTTCGGGAGCGTCTGGGTACAGGGTTGGCTTGATATAAATATCTCGTATTTGAAGACGGCAATCAGTTGATTATAGACAGTTTAGTATAGAGTATTGAACTGAACACATAAATTGTAATAAATAAATTAGAATTGTGAGTTAGAACCTAAGTAGTACCTCAAAAATAAATTGTAAATAGTGTTTTAAATAAATAAACTCTAAATAAATTAAACATTGGTGTTAGAAGTGGAACTATAAATAAATAGTGGACAATCATGGCTAAAAAAACTGTGTGATTTAAAAGTAGCCGAATTGCGTCGAGAATTAGAGGATCGTAATCTGAAGACAACAGGGAAGAAAGCAGAGCTGGCTGAGCGGCTTAAAGAAGCAATGGAAAACGAAGGTTTGGATCCGGAAACATTTCTATTTGCGGATGATGCGTCTTCCATAATTTCTTCGTTAGAAAGTCAAATGTCAACTATGAAAACCGATATTTCTTCTGATATTTCTTCATTAGATAGAACATTTTCTTCCATGGAAACTAAAGTTTCTTCTGACATTACATCCTTGGAAACTAAAGTTTCTTCCGATGTTTTCTCTATAAAAAATGATATTACTTCCTTAGAAAGTAAAGTTTCGTCCGATATATCTTCCTTAGAAGAAAAGGTGACTTCTGACATATCTTCTTTAAAAACAGAAATTTCTTCCGATTTGGAAAACAAAATCTGTTCATTGAAGGATGAAATTTCTTCTGATATGTATTCTCTAAAAAATGAAATCTCTACTGATGTGGAAAACAAGATGTCTTCTGTAGAGGAGAAAATAAAACAGATGGAAAAGAAGATAGAAGAACTGGAACATTCATAATCGGTCAAGGACGGTGAAATAAAGTGTCACGAGGTGGAGTCGAAGTTAAAATTGGAAGGAGCTGTAAACTCTGTTCGTGTCAAAGCCCCAACCTTCGACGGAAAGATGTCATGGACCAGCTACCTTAAACAGTTCGAGACAGCTGCGAGGGCAAACGAATGGTCTGAAAGAGAAAAGGCCCTTAAATCTGACAATCACCCTTTGAGGAGATGCTATAGATGTTCTTTAGACTATACCAGTGGAAGATACTGATGATTTTGAACAACTCAAAAAGAGATTGAACATGCGATATGGCCACGAACACTTGGAGCAGGTGTACCGAGTACAGTTGAAGAATCGCAAACAGAAACATGACAAGAGCCTTCAAGAATTCGAATTGGATATTGCGAAGATGGTGCGATTTGCCTACCCATCAGCTCCGGAACATATGATTGAATGTTTGGCTGTTCAAGCATTTGTAAATGGACTTCGTGACCATGAAATGCAAAAAACACTTCGTTTAGCCCACAAAACATTGGTCGATGTCTTGTCCACTGCTCTTGAATATGAAGCGACTACTCTGGCTTCTGGTGGATACAGTGAAGTAAGGACTGTACAAGAAGAAGAAAACAGGGAAGTAAATTGGACCAATTGTTTCACATGATAAAAAACCTTATTAAGAAGCAACCGAAGGCTAGTAGGTGCTGGAATTGCGGTGAAATGGGGAAAGTAAGCAGTTCGCGCAAAGGTCCAAAAACACTACGAATCGAAAAACCGTGCCGGTGGCTGTACAGGAAGGAACGGTTTTACCCGAAAGTAGTGAAACCATACGATTATGGCGGTTGCAAGAAACTGTAGAGAAGGCAACGCCTGTCATGGCGGAACCTTCGAAGCGCAATGGACATCATTCTTGATTGTCAGTTGCTTATCTGTATTTTTAAGGTATTCGATTTTTGCTTATTTGCTTTGGTATCTAAGAACTTGCTATTACCCATACAGCACAAAAACATTTAGAAAATATTTCAAAAATGTTAATTGAATTATTTGTAAATATTACAAAACGTTTCAGAAACATTTTTGAAATGTAAAAATATCCTGTAAATTTAATATTTTACAGTAATATTTCTGAAATAAAATTTTTATCTTTCAGAAATATTACATAGTAATAATTCAGAAATGTACTCTAGTTTTGTTACATAAATATTATAAAACGTTGTAGAAATGTTTCTAAAATATTTCTGGAATATCAATACAAAATGAATGCGATATGACACTCTAATATTTTTATTAGACTTAAAATATACATTTAAAAATATACATGTGTACTTAAAATACACAAAACAAAAACATTGATTCTTAAATAAACAAATAAATAATTTTTAAACATTATTTCATAAAATATAAAAGGCGACGAATGGCTTCATTTCCACCAATTCCTTTAAATGCCCTGACCTGAAACAAATTATATGTAAGTACTTAAAAAAGGATTTAAAATAAATTATTTTATTTAAATTAAATATAATAAAAGAAAATACTTATGCCTAAACAAAATATGATGAGAAGCTACTCTTAGGTGCTTTTCAGTCAGAGCTGTAGAACTAATAAATAAAACTCGCGGACGTATAAATGTAGGTTATATTTAGATAAAAATTACCCTAAAACTGCCTGCAATTTTAAAAAACGAAATGGCGTCACTTGTCACAAAAATGGGATAAAGATAAAGTTAAAATTAACATAATCTAACCTACTTACAAGCTTCATATTTCTGTAGAAAAGTTAACTCAATTTCTAAAGACTTATTATGATTCCCATACAACAGCACAACGCTCAAACAAAAAAAAAACAAATGGCAAAAGGTTGGCTTTAGATTATGGAGGGTAGAGGAAAGGAGAACAATCTCTGTATACAAAAAGTGTCCCTCAAAATGTATACAATTAAGATGGCGCTTCTGTGCCCAGGGGACGTCGACAGTCGATAATTCAGATCACATAATGACACCAATGATGTATATAGTAATAAATATTGCTCAACCATAAAAAACTAAAAACTGCACCGTGAAAAGTGACTGATCGTAGAAGAGTAAGTGTTCTGTGATCGTAGATAAATTTTGACAATACACGACAATAGTCAAATTTTATTGAAAAATAATATAAACAATAAATAATTCTTATATTAAAATGGCATGGAGGTCTCAATTTACTGCTTCCTGTCTGATTTCATTATGAATGAGCAATCTATATGACTATATAGCATTGGATTTTGTCCCCTGGCTACACGAGCGCCATCTTAATTGTATACATTTTGGTGGCCACTTTTTAATATAAAGATCCATATAAGATTGTCCTCCTTTTCTCTACCCTCCATACTTTAGATATAGGAATAAAATAGCTACATAACCTATTTTCTTCTTCTTCTACCTCTACTTCTGCTTCTTTCTCAACTTTTTCTTCTTCCTACAAATGAAAAATTTTTCTTGGCCTTTTACAACATAACCCGTTTTGTAAACTTTCGTGCAACATTTATAATATGTTTCAGAAATATTTTCAGTGTAATATTTAAGTAAAATGTTTTAGAAACTTGTGCTTGAAATGTTATATGTTTGAAACGTTTGAAATAATGTGTGCTGTATGGGTAGAGGTACCTACTGACGAAGCTTACCGCAGCCTGTGAAAACTAATTGAGTATAGATTAAACATACATTAATGCGCTATTTCAGAACTTCACTACTATTCGTTAATTTAGGTTTGACTATTAAGGTAGCATTTGGGAACGCGAGGTACGAGGCAGCGACCGATTACGTGTTGAAAGTGCTGTCGCTGACTCTTGCATCGGTCGCCCGATCCCAAGTGTGCTTCATTTAATTACAAGTGATTCAGACGCAAAGAGGCCGTTTTCGATCGCCTTACGCGGTCGCCTGCCTTTGTCTCGTGCTTTGGTCTCGCGTTCCCAAATGGTATCTTTAATTTATGTTTCGTAAACATTCTTACAGAATTGTTGGACGTACAAATTAAATTAAAGAATTAATTGTTTTAATTTATGGACCAGAACAAACGGTTTTTACCTGACTGTAGGCTCAATGAGGATACTGTCTTTACAAACGCACACACAAGGTATTTTCTCTTTTATCTGATTTTTTTTTCGAAGCTCGCCTACTGGATCCCTATTTCTTTCGTTTGCATCTTTTGCTATTACTGGTCTTGGAAAAGGTTCTTCGTCAGTTTTTATTTCCCTGAAATAAAATAAATCTGTTTGATATGCATTTAAGTACATACCGGGTGTACCAGAAATTCACGCCTTTATTTCTAGGGTAATAGATAAGGTAAAAACAATATTAGTTTTTTATATAAATATTTTTTTACTGAGTTAAAAGAATTGTATTGTATTAATTTATAACAAAAATGTACATATGCTCCTTTTCGCGTTATAAACAAATGTCCATTCCCCTAATGTCAGATATGGACTACGCTCAATGGTTAATGGAACAGGTAAGTTTATCACCAGAACCCTAGAAAAGGTGTTTGTTGCAATTCAATAAAATTAAAGGTCTGGGATAAAATAAACAATTTTACACACTGCCAACTACTAACGACTGCGCCATTTTATATAATAACGCTAGCTTTGTTCGCGTGTAGTCGTGTTTTTAATATAAAAAATTTAGGACTGCCCAGAAAAGGTTTAATAATATGTTTTTAGGGTTCATGGTATTTATATGATAGTATTATAGATTAGAGTTAAGTAAAGTAATCTAATATTTGATTATAGTAATCAAATTATGAATCTCTTTAGGATTATTCCATCTTTCCTTAAATTTCACAAGGGAATGTTCTTTAATTAGATCTCTTACTACCGATGATGTTAGTCCAATAGAGTGGCCAGGTTCCAAAAAATATTTGGTTGGCTGCCTCATTGGCTAGTGAATCAGCAAGAGGGTTAACTTTCGATGTGGAGTGACCTTTGACTCATCTTAAGGTGACCACATTGTTGATGGATACTTCGGCCAAAGCTTCGTGACATTCTAGTACTAACCCTGAGTAAATTCGTGGTCTGTTTAGGGTGAGTAGTGCTTGCCTGCTATCTGTATAGATGAGCATGTTCCTTCCAGTGATATTGTTTCTGGTAACTTCTCTTGTTGCTATGAGAATCCCCGTGAGTTCGGTTGGAACTACACTAGCACTATTGCTCATAGCCTATTTTATGTTTAGGTTCAATGATCTGAAATGTATTCCTTATCCTGTGCCTTGTTTTGTTTTAGAACCATCTATGTGGATATGGGCCATTTGCACCGTAAGTCGATAAGAACTAACGCCCGTATGCACCGTACACGTTTAATCCAGATCAAGGGTCTAATCGCGTTTAGTACCATTTTTAGCTATGGTACTAAACGCGATTAAACCCTTGATCTGGATTAAACTTGTACGGTGCATACGAGCGTAAGCGAAGCTTAAAGTGACATTGATAATGAAAAAATTTCAGTTTAAGCTTGACTTATTTTTTAACGACTACCGGTGCAAATGGACCTATGAATCATACCTGCCACTACCGGCTCTTCTATTTGTTTTGTTAGGTCAGTTGGATTGAATGTGGGAGTAATAATTGAGTGAAAAAATATATAATTATATTAAAGTAACAAATACAAACGAATACAAAATTCACCATTGTAACGAGCAACTGGAGCTTGGTTTAGTTGACTTAAAAGCAATGAGGTTGAATACTATGGAGATGACATGCCAAAAAAAACGACACCCCTTCCCCCTCTCTTAGTGGTCATATCATAGTTGTCAAAGAGCTGTCAGAACTTTGTTCAATTTTAAATATTTCGACATTATTTCTATCTTAATAAGTGTTTTTTTTTTTATTAATTTGTATAAAAATCATGACTAAGTGTGCCAAAATTAATTGTAAAAACTCTTCAGTGAGAGAGCGTAAGAAAATATCTAAGTATAAGGAGTATACTTAGAATTTTTTTTAGAATGCTTAACTTTTTTTTATTATAGGTTTCCAAAAGACCAACAATATCTCAAAATTTGGTTTAAATTTGTGGGAAAAGACCAATTTGAGCCTAAACCGAATAGCATGTTGTGCTCTATTCACTTCAAGGAAGAATTTTTTGATCAGAGTGAGTTTAGGGTCAGATTGAAGAAGAATGCTGTTCCGACAATAAATGAATGTTTAGTTAGTATACACTTTATTTACAATAAAACTTAAATAACTAACTTAATAAAGAACATTGGCTTGACTAACTTTATAATAAAGACAAATAACTATATTAAAACTTAGATAACTATAATAAAACTTAAATAACTAAATTTATAATTAAACTTAAAAACCAACTATAATTAAACTTAAAAACCAACTTATAATTAAACTTAAAAACCAACTTATAATTACACTTAAATGACTAACTTTTTAACTAACATAATTTAGAATAAAATTTCAAGTATTTAAAAGCAGTTTTTATTAGATCCTAATTTCCTATTATTATACCGTTTTGATAATGAATATACTGTATAATAATAAATTCTGGTCAAAACAATTTTCATCATGCACTTTTCTTGGAAATTCACAATGCTTCATTAGGATTAAAAACACCAGTTTCTAGAAACTTTTTCACTATAACACTAACATTACCGATCAGAAAAAGTGGTTAAAGTTTTCTTTTTGTTATCACAAATCGCAACTGAATGCCTATTTTTAAAATAAATTATCTCTATAATTCCATTTGTATAGTTGTATGCTGTGCATCTGTGAGATTTTTGTTTATTATACATAGGTACCAATTATAGAAATCTTTAGTAAGTACTTGCTTGCAATTTTAGTAATATATGTACCTACCCTATATAATTAATTATTTCAAACATAAATAAAACCAACAACTATTATCTGAGTCTTTTTAGTTCCGATTGGTTTTGACAGAGTAGTTTTGATCATGGTTTTCTTCCATCTACTTTTAACCATAAATATAATATAATAATATTAATCTCTTTTATGGTCTTGGCATTGGCTTGGTCGAAAAACGGTCAATAAATAATAGTAAATAGTGTAGAAGTCATATTTGCGCAATGTCATCAAATTAATTTCGAATCGATCATGTTGAAACAAATCTTAGGTAAGTAAGTCATTTAAAAGTTGTAATTCTGCATACGGACTTTAATTATATTTGAATTCGACCCTGCTTAGTCAACCATTTAGGCCACGCCCAGTGGGGTCATTTTTAATAAAACGTATCATATGCAAAACAATTGCCTCATGACATCTCCATTAATATTATACCTCCATGCTTAAAAGTGACCCTTGACGTTTTTGACATAATCAGAATAGCCAATATTGTTTATATGTCAGATTTGCCAACATAAATAAAATATATTAACGTGTTCTAACTTTATATGGATTATGGAAGATATATCTCGGTGAGATGGAGCCAAAAACGACCTCTCGTGTGGAGCCTGTCATTAGAACAACCTTCTTGATATAAATATCAAGGAGAGTGAGACTAAGAATGATTTACATGACTCTGGTTGGTATGGTTTTTATAGTTTCTGTTATGTTGAGACACACTGTTCTTTGAATTTGTTCTACTTTCCAGATAGCTATCAATTTTTGGGTTTTAGGTAACCAGACAATTGCACCGTGTGCATAGAATAGGTCTTATGAGACCTAGGTACCTTACCTCTGTTGCAAAAGTTTAATTTGGTGTTTAGGAGTTTTGGAGGTGTTAGTTCTAGTTTTATCCTTTGGTAAAAGGACCATTTTTGTTTTTTTGGGATTGATAGACAATGAATGGTCTTTGAACCACTGTTTACTCGTATAATTTTGAGAGCAACTTGCATTTTTTTGAAAAGTATGTTCTAAAAATTCCCTGTTTGCAGAATTACCAGCTCATCTGCATAACGGGAAGTATGTTGACAGCAGAAGTTTGATGGTATCTTCGAGGTTTGAAATTTTTATTATGATGGTCACGACTTTAGAGACCATAAACTAAACTACTTCATTATAATATATAGAAGCAAATTTATATCAATTTAACTTACCCATCTGAATCCGGATTCGGGTTTGAGATTTTCGTTACTTTTTCGTCTTCGTCGCACTCACACATTTTGTACAAAAAATTTTAGTAATATAAATTTTACCAAAAAAATATTTTATTTCTTCTACCGAAAATTATAAAATTTCAAAATAATTGTCATCATGACTGACAAATCAATAAACAAAAAATTATTATTTGTCAGATGAATCATATCTAATATTTTATCAAAATTTAAGTGAATTTTTTTCTAGTTTTTCTAAATTATGGGGTAAGTAAAATACATAGAAATACATATTTTATGCTGAAAGAAATCATTATATTCTTTTGCAAAATAATTTTTGCCCAGTGGGAAAGAGATTCAAAATTGTGCCTTCTAACGGGTAGCAATTTCTTAATAGTAGCCCTTTAGTTAACAATAAATAAATTAAAATTACTATCTTAAGCTGCAGTAAAAATATAAAATCTGCTCAGTGGAAAAGATATTCAATATTGGTTTATATTGATATCGTTAGTGCTTTCTAAGAGGTTAGAATTTCTTAACACTTTCATTGCTCGGCTCTCTATATAAGCTTGTGCATGTGTGGTACCCACTGTACTCTTGTTTTCAAAGATACAGATATAGTTTTACTTATTTTACTGGATGGAAATAGGGGTCCGTATAAGTTTAAGAGTGTCGGAACAAAAAAAAAGCAATAAGTTGAAAGTCCATCCTACTATCCGGAGGTACGAATTTTACAAAAAAAATTTAAAAACTCAAAAGGCACTAGTTTCTATAGTACATTTTTGTAAAAAAAATTACGGATGAATCAGCATTTTTCGAAAAAAATTAATCAAAAAAACTCAATTTTATAGGTTTTATTCACAAAATATTCATTCTAAGTGACAGATTGTCTTAAAAATAACAAGTTGTTCATGATATTATAAGTTTCAGGATTATTTTATAATCTATAAATTGCCAGATTATAAAAAACTGAAGTAATCAAAAATCATATATTTATGATTTACTTACGATAATAATCGTACATAAAATGTAAAAATTAAATTTCTGTAAATATTGGGAAGACGCCCTTTTCTTAAAATAGCTGTTTGTGTATTAAAAGCCGCTTGAGACAGAAAGAAGCAACGACAATATTTTTTCTTCGATCACATTATTTTAAGAAATATATAAAAACTAAAAATTTTTCGTAAGTAGTGTTGCCTATATTTACATTCATCATGAAAATAGCAGTTGATATTCAAAGACAATGTTAACTTGGATAATGTAACAAAAAAACATGTAACTTACGTACAAATAACTCATTTATTAAAAAGTTATATCAACATATTTACCTAATTTAAATTAGGCGAGCAACAATGCTGTCAATTTTGTCGCTCAACGAGCGACAAATCTGTCACTTGATGTCATTTCGCGGAAAACGTCAACTTTGCGGTTGAATTTCGAAGCGCAAAAGTCTACTTTTGATAGTGATCGTAGAAAAATCCAATTTTTTTACAAAACTTACATTTTGAGCTTTGGAAAGAGAGTACTATTTAAATATACCACTAGAAACTCCATAAATTAACGGTTTTCTAAAAAAAAATTATATATTAAGGGCTTATGAGGATCATTAAAAGATCATTTATGTAAACTTATTCATTAGAATTATATTTGTTATGTTCCGTTAATACAATTGAGCGATTTTTCCATCTGTCCAATTAAAATCAACGAAAAAGAAATAAAAAAATAACCTACCTTATTTTTTTACATAATATTTCCAAACACTTTAAAAAGCAATACTTCTATTAATTTATTTCCAGCCACATTCGACTATTTTGATTAAATTGTTGTAGTACATAATAATTGAATATTAATATTACATCATACATAAAGTAATAATCAATGTGCTTTTCGAAAACTTTTAAACACAATTACTTTGTGTTATCCAAAAGTTTTTATACGTTTTTGAAACAAGGGAATTTTTTGTTTGACAAATGACGCCAGCCAGCCAAATTTAAGGACTTATCAACTAAACATGATAGCTAAATTAGTTCAATTTATTCTTGGTTTTTTTAAATTACGACGTTTAACATTTTTTATTTTTAAAATAAAAAGCATTTCACCCAGCTAGCACCGGACGTCGTTTCACGTCATAATCACGTTGAATTTTGGTCAAATACGTCGATGTGATTTTTTGACGCAAAAGTAACGTAATAATGACGTCATTTTCGGACCAATTTGACACGTAAACACAGTTGTTGCGAACAAAATAAACCTATTTATGTCATTAATGCACTTCGAGTTTTTGTTATTCATTATTAAATAAATAGAAGGTAATTTATACAACATCGTTTATTTAGCGGTCATTGTGACACCAAAATAAGACGTACTATGACGTTATTTAGGGACTAGTTTGTCACGTTCTGAAATGAAGCGTTAAACTGCGCACGTGTACACGTCCATTCTATAGCTTTATTGTTTTACATTCTATTTATTAATAAAAGTATCTTTAGTGTTTATAATAAATTTATGATTCTCATTTTAAATCTAGGGATTTTTGGGAATTTTCATTTTTATATGAAATTTTATGTCAACACTGTTTAGAAATGTCAGCTGTCATGTCATTGTCCAGGGTTAGCGGTTCACGCCATTTTGTGTTATTTTTGTAACTTGTGTTTGCAATATTCTTTTATTGTATGTGTTTTGAAGGTAAGTAGTTAGGAAGTTTAGTGCGATATTATTTTTTATTTTTAGTATGTTTATAGGAATTCAATACGCCGACAAGCACGGCATCGGAGTATCATTAAACCACTTCAAGTTCCAAGTGGCCGACATTCTAGGAAATGAGGTTCTTATAAACAACAAGAATCTTTTAACAAGAGCTTAAAAAGGGAGAAAATTGGACTCTTTCCTATTTATAGCAATATTTTACCGAAGGTGAGTGATTTTTTATATTTTAAAGGTACCTGTAGCTAGCCTAATTTTAACTATTAACGTAGACATTAATATAAAGAAAAATTTAAGAATTTTAAAACAAAACCGTTCATAAAGATAATTTAAACATACACATTCCTAAGATTTGAGCATTAAGTTGATTTTTATTTATCTTTACTATGTTAATGTTGATGCCTATGTTATTCTGTATAAACAGGTACATTGAAATAAATTGATAACTTTTATGTTGAAACTAAATCAGGCTGACTAAACTCACCTTTAGACAATTAAAACACTAGTCTATGTATTATTACTAAAACCTTTCCCTTTACTGTGGTTTTAATTACATTGTTTTATGGAATTATTTTGCATTATATACCTTGATATTATATTTTTTGAATTTTTGTTGGTTACTGAGACCTATTATAGTTCGTAAAACATCTCTGTGAGCCGTTTTATTTATTTAAAAAAGTATAGTGTATAAAATTATTAATCTGTTTTAGAGAACTACCAAATAGCTAGCTAAAAAGCAACAAAGATTCTTATGACATAGGATATAACAAGTTATGATGAGTTACAACCTCTTCCTCGTAAAAGAAAGCCATTAAGAAGAATATTTTCAAGTGAAGATGATGAATTCGTTATTGATGACGAACCTATTGGTAGGTAAGCACTGCTTTGTCTAGCAAAACTTATTTTTTATTATGAGTAAAATTCATACTTTTGTGACAATGTTACAGTACATTTCTTTTATTCCGAACAACATTTTTTTCTTCAAATGTCAATAATTATTTTTCACAATTATTAAAAATCTCACCTTTACATTCAAAATAGCTTCATTTCATTAATTATAAAAAAGTCAGGTTAACCTGGTTTAAAATTCACAATTTTACATCACTTTAAAAATTAGCATCATAAAATTATTATTAAAATATTAGGTTTTTGACCCATGAAGAAATACTAAATTTTGTGTTAGCTGGGAACATCTAGTACTCTTTAGCCAGGCGCATATTAAATTTTTTCATTGATTTCTCTTGACAGATTTGATTTTATTTATCTTGTTTAGCATATAATAATTTATGAACCATCAAATATATCACTTTTGTGACAGCTTAATGATATAAAACAATTTCTGTCTTTTTCGGTCAATGCTAACTCTATTTTTTGGCTCAAATTTTATTTAAATAATTAAGTTTCTGGTAGTTATAACTATTATATTTTTGTTTTAGTGAAACGAAAATTTAATAAGGATACCATTGAAGCTGCTTCAAGCCTGTATATTCGGAATGATTTGTTGAATATCTATACACTGCTATATAATCTTTTGTAATTTATACATTCTAAGTACATATTCTAAGAAGTAATGTTTATTTAGTAATAGTTCAGGTTAGTATACTTACTATGTTTCAATTTTATGCAGTAACCTATCTTTTTTTATATAAAACATATTTTTATTAAACATTTTTTAAATAAAACGTTTTTTATAAACATTTTTTTTACAAATTAAACATTTTTAAATGAATATTATGGTGTTTTTTTGACGTATAAACACGTTATCTGGTGACGTCTTTTATCTGTGACATATTGCCGTCATAATCACGTCACTAGCACGTCATAAATTGGTGATTTCGACGTAAAATGTGCCGTGTATTTCACGTGAAAATCACGTGTCTGTGCTAGCTGGGCAGATATTCAAAAGATCATTTTGACCTAGAAAGATAATTGCATCTGAAAATTATAGGCGTAAATAAATAGGTAAGTAGTAGGCAGCATGCCTATGTTATCTAAACACTTTTTACACCTACACCATAAGAGCACAGTACGCTAATTCACTCACTTATTAACCACTATAGAAGAGAGCAAGCGAATCGGACGCGCCCTTTGTATACATACACCATAAAAACAGAGTACGCTAACCCACCTACTTACTAATCACTACAGAAAAGAGCGAGCGAAGCGAGCGCGCCCGGCCGACGTTTCAAAATTCGCGCGAATTTCGAAACGTCGGCCTGGGGCGCCCTTTTTACTCCTATGCCATAAGAGGGCACTACGCTCGTTCCACGTGCATCGTTCCACAAGTATAGAAAAGAGCAAGCCTTGGAGCTAGCGAACCGAACGCACCCTTTCTACATCTCTCAGAGCTTCACTCATTAGGTTTTTTTCGTTCGCTGTTAGTGCAGTGTGCACTAGTGTCAATTACACCACCTTATTTACTTAGTTTACTTTCTCTTATTTCTTATAAACATGTCGAGTGTAATTCACTCCTGCTAAATAGCTGGTGGAGGAAATATCCACCAGTGGACACCACATCGCCGACAGGAAGGTGTAGTGGATTTTCTACCGGGCCAAACGAAAGGTATAGTGTTCGTTGGTGTAGTTCATTCCTACACCAGTAGGACGAACGAAAGAACCTATTGTCTTATGTCTTCTGCAGTAGTTAGGAGATGAGTGGGACAAACCGACAACATAAGGTCTTTTCCTTTGCATCGAAAGTGTACCAATGAGCTAAACCACTTCTGAAAATATCGTTCCATCCATACAATTTGTATAAATGAAACGATATTTTTAGAAGTGGTATAGAGATCAGTGCTACACTTTTGATGCAAAGAAAAAGACCTATAGTAATCGTAGTATGATGCTCTTATGGTGTAGATGGAAAAAGAGCGCGCGTTCACCAACTATGTTAGTAATTCTTTTCCGTTGTTTATAAACGTCCACAACATCAAGGATACTTTTAATTTTAATTATTTTTATTATTAGTTATAGAGACAATAATAAATATTTCAATCCACAACTGACAACATAATTATTGCTATTAAATACAAACTTGGACATCAGACACAGTGATTTTAAATTCAACAACGTGGCAACGTTGCAAACTCAAGGACCGATAGACAAATCCATAAATTATTTTGTTTTATGTTTTGTAGAAGGAAATAATCATAAAAGTTAGGTTAAATGGTCAAAATATTGTATTTAATTATAATCTAAATGAAAATAATTTTCCATACATAATTTTACTTAAAATATTATAAAAAGTTAGTTACTTCAATAAACTAGCGCCAAAATTTCGAAATTCGCACCTCCGGATAGTAGGATGAAAACGAAAGGGGTATTTGTACCTACCTTATTCTAAAAAATAAATATATTTTTATGTCTTGGAACAGAGATATTTGATTGCGACTACTTTCTCCTTGGGGTGTAAAAACACCCTATTTGATTTTGCAAGTCGTTCTCTTTTAGATATGTTACGACGCCACTGACAGTTCGGCAATTTTCGGATAATTAGCCGCTAAAAATTGATCGCTAAGTTCACACCTGTTTCGATTTTTTACCTTTAGTGATTTCGAGATCAATCAATTTTACTTTGAATTGTTTCGTCTTGATCATTTATCATTTTCAAACATCTTTCCTTTCAATTATTTTTTAACTTTTGTTTTTTTTCGCCCAACCTCTTGGTTATTGGAGTATTTTGCTCATAATAAGAAATATATTGAATTCAATTTTTATTTAAAACAAGTATCCATCTATCTAGACAAGACATATTTTGTGTTTTGAGATGTTGGTTTTCAAGGAGGAAATTAGTTAAATACCAACTCTAAAATCACTTTTTCTATTATGTTTTAAGTAACCTATATAAATGTAGCAATCCCTTCCCATGTTGCTCAATGTCGGATGGCTTTTTCTTTTAATAAAATAATTAGATTATTATTAAGAACAACAATTATTACAACAATACATTTTTTAAGATGACATGACACGTGACAATACCACCGTTGACAACTCACTAGTATTGCCAAACTATTAGGCATTCCAACGACCTGTCCAAATGGCTACCAGTGGGGACTGACAGTTTAGATATTGCAACCCTGTTGTTAAGTTGTCATTATCAGGGTCAATGATACATATACAGTTATATAGATAGCTCAAAGCTGGTCGTTTGCGAGCGGTCATATTGCCTGACAAATATTTATTAATTTGAATCGGTTTAGCAAAAATGTGTTTTAAAACCAATTTTCAGCCTTTAGATATTTAAAAAATAATAATTGCTTACATTTTTACTTCAAGGCATAAGCTTATATTTATTTTGAAAAATATGGATGATCAATCTACGTAACTATCTATTTCATTGATCTTGTCAAATCACCAGGCCTACAGGGTTGCCATAATTTTGCCATATCATAACCTGTCAAAACCCACTGGTAGCCATTTAGTTTGGAATGCTTAATAATATAAATAAAACAAAATATAATGTGAAATATATAGTTAGGCAACACAATATACATTTAAGCAAATATAATAAACAAAAATCTCTCATAAATCTATTTAATTTTCAGAGTGAAAAAAGAGAAAAAACGCAAATTCAATCCTCGACCTAAAATCGATTATCCTCCTGTACCAACAAAAAAATGGATTCCACCAGATTTAAGGAGAAAAAAGGTGAGACCTCCACCTCAACTGATGTATCAGAAACCGCCTGGAATGGATCAGAAATCGAGACCAACAGCTTTGAGGAAAATTTGGCGCCATTATTTGTTTCACGAGGATACAGCTATTTTGACAGGAACATTTTCCCAAACTCATAAGAGATTTACGTTCAGATCAAATGGATTACAATGTAAGTTATTAAATCAATATAATGTTAAGCAAACATTTATCAATCATGCTAAGAAAATTTTCTGTTTTAAATATCGGAATTCGTGTTTTTATATCATACTCTTTAGATAATACCACTAAAAAAATCTATTAGTGATGGGGAATTTTCAATTGTTAAAAAAAACACAATAAAAAGATAAAGATAATAAAAAGAAAGATAATAAAATGATAATAAAAAGATAATAAAAAGATAATAAAAAGATAATAAAAAGATAATAAAAAGAAATAAAAAGATAATAAAAACAACAGTGTTGTTGAATAAACATTTAATATATTATATTTAAATCAAAGTACAGAACATCAAATATTTAAATCAAAACACAGAACAAAATATATTTGAATTAAATCATAAAAAACCTAAGCCGACTGTGGCACATATAAATTTCTCGAAGATCTTACGTCATTTTCGTCACAGGACAAGTGATTGGTTAGAAACCGAGGCGACGCGGGGATTTTACTGAGTATGGCTTCGCGTACTTTTTTTATCTGCTCTTTTAACTAGGCGTCAGGTCGCCAAGTTGTAATTTTTCTTAACTAAATGTAATTTACTAAGATTGTAAATATGTTTAGTGTTGTTATAAAAAAGTTCCTTAGTATGAATGTGTTAAGAATGTAAGGGGAAGGCACCTATTCCCATCAAGAGTAAAGTATTGAATCATCCATACCTAGATTGTTACTCTGGTACCTTGGCCACCTGTCATGCTTCTATATTTTAACTTGTTCCTTATTTATTGGCGCTAATATATCTTCTGCCTTGTTTTATCATGGATCCGTTTCAATTTACTGTTTTCTTTTAGCTGCCTGCAACTGTGCTTTGGCATGCGTTTTTGCACATATTCTTCCTATGGAAGTATGGGACCAATTTCTCATGGATACCATCCTAATTCTTGGCGACCAATTATTTAGAAAAAGTCTGGAGCAAGATCCCGATAGATGTTGGACAGAAATTTCTACCGACAGGGTATATACTTCCATATACATAGGAAGAAAAAAGGTATCTTTTGAAGTTGATTTTAAGAACAGAATTGATGAAATGTAAGTAACAATGCTTTTGTGAAAATATACAATATGAATATTAACGTAATGTGATTGTAAACTATCTATCGCAGAAAGGTATTTTGTTTTTAATAATCGTCAAGCTGTTTAGGCTATTTAAGCCATCATCGGGACATCATCAAAATTTGTAAACATTTGTAAACATTTGTAAACATTTGTAAACATTTGTAAACATTTGTAAACATTTGTAAACATTTGTAAACATTTGTAAACATTTGTAAACATTTGTAAACATTTGTAAACATTTGTAAACATTTGTAAACATTTGTAAACATTTGTAAACATTTATAAATAACATCAAAGTAAAAAGGTAAAGAACAAACATCTAATTAACTGACAAACAAACAGAAAATGGGTTACAAATTTGATTCTGGAGAGAACCTCCTATTTGAGGGTTGTCAGGAGCACGTGGATGGTAACATTTTGTAGGTTGAAAGTTTCAAATTTGTAATCCATTTGCTGTTTGTTTGGCAGTTAATTAGATGTCGTTTGTTCTTTACTTTTTTATTTTTACCTTAATGTTCTTTACAAATGTTTACAAATTAAAATACCTTTCTGCCTTTTATTTCTAAACTATCAGTGTGTACACACTACAAGCTTTGATTGATTTTATATTTTAGATTGAAAGTCGTGAACGAAGACCGAATTAAAAGAAGATTTCAAGAAGTAATAGAGCAAATTTTTTCGATATATTTTTGTGGACTTTTCACTATGGACGGTTGCAAGAAAGTTTTGGCGTTTTGGTTTAAAGATAGAAAATATTATCTTTTTGATCCAACTGCACATACTTCTTGTGGTATAACTTGGGAAAATTGGCCAGGTAACTTTTGAAATCTACAGGTTACCTACTGCTAAATTTGTTTAATTATTTAATAATTTATTTAATATATTCAATGTCCGAATATTCTAAATATGCGTCTGAAAAGTCTTGAAACTATTATTTTAAATTATTTAGGTATATATTTGTATCAAAAAGTGAAATAAAAAGGGGATTTCTATGATTTTTTTATAGGTATTGAAAGTTTATACAATGATTATATTTTTATATGATTTCTATTACCATACAAATAGAAATATTTTGGATATTTTCTTTTCAGCACTATGAAATAAAGGGGGTAACAGATATGTGCTTTAAAGGCAAACTTATACACTTGTATTATAATATTCACAACTATTTATATAATTAAGTTATTTCTAACACGTTTCGAAGTCGGAAATACGTTCCACCTGGGTTCTAACCTCGCTATATCGGGCCTGGGTTGATTTGTTTTGTTTTCGATAAAAATTAGTTGCTTTCCACCTGGGTTTATATTGTACAAAGTATTTTCTATACCAATTTGAAATGTTTGTAATATGCTCTGTATTACATTTTATATATTTTTAAAATCTAGTTTGTTTGCCTTCTTTGAATTTTTATTTAACTCAATTTAGAAAACACCCTGTATACGGGTATCTCAAAATTTCCGGAGTGGCCATCCTATATAAATTAGTTTTTCTACGTTTTGCGCAAGATAAAAAAAACTATTCAAATTTCTATTACATCGAAGATGTCAATTTTATAATCAAAATACAGGGTGTCCCATTAATTTAAACTATTTATAACTCAGGAATGGAAAAAGTTATCGACGTATAGTTTTTGCTAAACTTTTAACTTTTGCTTCAAGTTTTTATTGCCATAGTTGCCAAGTATATATTTTTTCCCGAAATTTCCGAAAAAAATTACCTTTTTTACATTATTCGGGTAATTTGTTTGTTGCGTATGATAGCTGCGTTGTGTATGACGCACTGAAAGTATACAGATGTTTCAAGTGCAACGAATTTAATCATTCTGCTCAGAGATGCACAAAAAACGTCTCCTGTCCTGTTTGCGGTGAAGCTCACGATCTTAAAGATTGTAAATAAAGCACAAAAAAGTGCTCCAATTGCGTCAATCTAAAAAATACAGCTATTGATATTGACCATGCGGTATGGGAGAGGCAAAAGTGCTCCACTTACATTGAGAATTTGAATAAGCTGAAAGGCAAATTTTTCCCGAAAGTATCGGGAAAAAATATACATTTGGCAACTATGTCAACAAAAACTTGAAGCAAATTTAAGAAGTTTAGCTGCACGACGTTGTCTCTTTTAAATCTGTTACTTTATAGTGTGACACCCTGAATTTATCTTTCAGGTGGTGGAGTATCCATAACATACCGTTGCAATACTATGGAAGACTTCATAAATAGATTGTACGAGAACATTACGTGTCACGGCGATATTATACTGGAGAGCCTAGCGCACTGTCATTGCATGGGAGCGGTTAACTCAAAGCTGACTTCCAAAATTTGCAGGGGCAGATTTTGGGTCGAGCCATTAATGGTCCTTAGAGTAACCGAAATTGACACTACACCGCCAGATAAATACGAAGACGTCAGACCAATTCTTCCACCGCACGAGATTTGCTTCCGAGTGTGCCCGTGCCGGGGGATAAAAGGTTTAGAGGATAAAGTTAACTACAGGGATCAGGTTGTACCAACAGACGAACAATTGGCAGGTCTAAGTAAATATTTCTCGAAAAATATATTACTGTATAGGTGTTAATTGTGTTATATTTTTTAGTGGATCAACCCGTTGATATTTGGGACGCAAGACTAAGAAAATTTCTTGAAGATGAGGAAGCAGACAATGATTGTCATAAATTAGAAATTGAAGAACTTTCTCCTCAAATCGACAAAAAGTTTTCACTAACAAAACGCCCTTCCTGGCTACAGGAAGATTTTGAGAAAAGTGATCATTGCAAATTCCCCATTCCTTATTCTAAAAGGCCGCAAGCAATGAGTTTTTATTTAGGTATTAATTCACTCTAATTAACTTTTTTAATAATATATTTATAATGATATTTATGCTTAATTATTCTATCACCATAACACCAAAGTCAACTATTGCTGTCATCACTTAGCTTTCATTGAGAAATTCAGCCGAAGATGTTATCCTTAATTCCTCTAACCCGTACTTTCCATTTACTTGAAAATCTACCTACAAATTCTTATTGCTGCCAATCTAGGAAACTATCTTAAATACATTAATTTATCAACATCCTAGTTCTAGGTAAACTGCTTGAACTTCTGCTCAATGCTCCAGGAGAAAATTTCCTATTCTTTTGAGGAGAGACACTTCTCAATCCCAGCATTTACCTCCCAACAAATAACTTCAATTCGTTCTTTTCGATATTCACAAAGCTTCTGAATGAGTTTGGCATGCCAGGTTAGTCAAAAAACTAATAAAGATAAGTGTCCCTCTTAATTTCTCTAAATTAATCCACTCGTACCTTACGGATAGCACCATCACAGTTAATGAAGACATTTCTCTCTCCTACCCATTCACTCCAGTAGCTAGAGCACCGTAGAGCTCCATCATAGCCACTCCGCTATAACTTATCTACACTCATGATCTTCTACCTCCAAATCATACATCGTCAAAATGTCTATGTTGATGACTTTGCTTTGACCAACTTTACACCTAAAATAAAACTACTCTCCGACGCAGACCTCCAGGATTTACTAGATTCTGCGCCCCTATCTATCAAATAAACTCACCTACCTTATTACCTATAACCAAAGAAGATTTTCGTGGTTTTCCTAAATTATATTTCTCACTTTATTGGACTTGCTCCAAATATTAAGAAATGCATTATAAAGGTAAGTTATGTAAATTATGATCTACATTTTTGTTCTACCCTGTATAAAAAAGTTTATAATATGTTGTACTATTATGTTTTAATAAAATAATTTTAAAATATTGGTTTTCTTTACTCTGCCTGGCGTCCTCTACTATTTTGCCTACGTCTCGTCATATTTTGTTTCCTCAACTATAGCTACATGTTTCTCTTTAATTATATTAAATTGCCTGGTAGAAAAATCTCCGCATCATTCTCTTAATTCCTTGTTATAATTCATATTTTAATAAAATTCACGGAAATGTAAACAATCCTGTCATGGTCGCCATAAATGTTACCTAATCCAAATGCAACCACATACATATACACTCTTCTTTAATTTGATGGACGCATCTAAAAAAAATTACGCGTGAAAATCTGTTTGGCGGTTTCCATGGTAACGGTGAAAATGCACCGAAAATCGTGTTTTTTGAGCTACGGATCCCTTTTGGGAGAATTGGGTGCATTGGGGAAGGGCGATTAAGTTAGTGGTAGATGCCCTAGATATCAAAGGTGGCCCGAATTGGTATTAAATTTTTCTCCTGTCAACTGTCACTTTTTTATGACGTTTTTAAAATTACTTTTTGTTTTTTCGATAGTTTATTACAAACAAATAATTTTTTTATTATTTTTCCTAAACACCCTTTGCCACTCTCTAACTTGCTACGCACAAAAAAATTTCCTCGGGCGCCATTTTTTTTTCGGCCAAATTTCGTATTAAGGGTTTCCAGGCTACTTTGAAAAATTATATCTCAGTAACGAGTGGAGCGATTTTAACAAAATTTAGCCTGAACGTGTAAACCCACGGGACGCTTCTAAAAAAAATTTCGCGTGAAAATCTGTTTGGCGGTTTCCATGGTAACGGTGAAAATGCACCGAAAATCGTGTTTTTTGAGCTACGGATCCCTTTTGGGAGAACTGGGTGCATTGGGGAAGGGCGATTATGTTAGTGGTAGATGCTCTAGATATCAAAGGTGGCCCGAATCGGTATTAAATTTTTCTCCTGTCAACTGTTACTTTTTTATGACCTTTTTAAAATTTTTTTTTGTTTTTTCGATGGTTTATTACATACTAAATATGGCATGTTCGTCTTATTTCGAGATAATTTAGAGGTCCAATATCAAATTTATTTATTTTAACCATATTAACCAACGGTAGTCTGACATTGAAATATCAGACACGTGCCAATGTTATGTTGGAAATGGGGTGTTAATACACTGCGACCTAAAATATCTATTTTGCCCCCTTCTGTCGCCAATGCACCAAGGAAATGTCTCAAGGAAGTGTAGGATTTGAAGTGGCTTCAAGTTAGGTAAATTTCCCTCTTCTATTTGATATCCTCCTAGTTATAGTGCCCTTGGATTCTGGAGAGCTACACATTCAGTTAGGAGACACGTGCCAATGGACAAAATTGTTTTGTCCATCTCTATCATCAATGTCTTTGTTGACATAACGGTTTTCCTCGTCTATTACGGGTACTTTTAAATAGGTCGTATCTGCAGCTTCGTAGCTTAGCTCAGACATAATTTGTATTACAGGAGCACTGAGAAGTACACCGACAGCCTCTACGGAAATCATTCTAAACCACCCACCCCTTCACCTAGTCACAAAGGAGGAGGCCAGAATGAGTGCATACAGACTGGAAGTCTACAATAACTGGAACCCATTGGGGCATATAAAACATACCAGAATAACACAAGAAGTAGATGATTCTATATTAAACATGGGATCAGATCACATGACACCCCTCTTAACCTTCAACAGACTCTTCCAGGTCAACTGGAACGAGGTAAATAAGGAGATATATAAATACTTGCTTAGCGGTCTCGTATGGTATACGGATGGATCTAAAACTAACAAGGGAACAGGCTCTGGGGTACATGGAGATAAACCCAAATGCGACATCATCGTCTCACTGGGAAATCATACCACTGTATTTCAGGCTGAAATACATGCAATCGAATTGTATGTACGAGAGAATTTAAGAACGAAGTACAAAAAACAAACCATCCTAATTCCCTCAGATAGCCAAGCAGCTTTAAAGGCTCTTGATTCAAACAGAATCAAGTCAAAGTTCATCTGGAACTGCCTTAGAATACTAAATGATCTGGCAACCCACAACAAGGTAAAACTAGCGTGTGTACCAGGGCACAAAGGTATCCAAGGAAATGAAAAGGCTGATGAACTCGCCAAAGAGAGATCAAATCTACCATTCACAGGACCCGCACCTGTATTTGGGACAAGCAAAACCTCTGCTCGACATGCAGTTAACAGATGGATAACCAAAAAACACCAAATTCACTGGCAACAGATAAAAGGGCACACAATCAGTAAGCTCATGCTAAGGGAACCAAACCCACGCATGGCTATTGAGACAATAAAACTCAGCCTCAGATATCCACCATTGCGGGATTACTAACGTAGCACTGCTTGCCGAAACACCTTCATGTGATGGGATTAGACAATGATCTCACTACGTGCATGGAAGAGGAAGAAACCTCATACCATGTGATAATCGAATGCGAAGCTCTAACTAGGCGAAGATTCACTTTTTTCGGCCTAGAACCGGAAAGAACGTCCCAGGAACACTTGGTAAGAAATTTATTAAAACTAACCAAAGACACAGGATTATTCCAAAGATAGTACTTGAATACGGGGAAAGCAGGGGAATACAATAGACCCAAGAGGCCGCAGGGTTCTGGGTCAAACCTAACCCTACCTGCTTATAATCGACAAAGATAAAGATGGTGCCATCTAGGTTTTTTTTTTCAGGAATGTTTTCTTGGATGTGGTGCACGATAGATATCAGAATTTGAATTTTGTTCTCCTTTGTTGCGACGCGTTTCTAGCCTCGTTTTGAGGCAGAAGCAGCGTCCCTAAATTTAGGAGTTAATTGTGCCCTTTGTACAGCAATTTTGCCCTCTTCCTCAGTTTCTCTTCAGTATCGCAGACTCTGATTCAACGATGCTACCTTATGTAAGGTGGACTTTGTTTCAACCTCGTTGAAAGGAGGTGAACGTAGTTGTTCAGCCTCGGGTGCTAGAGGGGAACGTTGTCGTTCAGTCTTTTTGAAATTTTTGATTAGAGTTTGGAATCATTTTGTTCTCACAAGTAGCTAAGAAAAGCAGGAGTCCGCATGCGTCTGCAAAGCTAGATACAAGATGCTGCCGCCAGGTGCTGTCTTTGCGCTTGTGACGACAACTGATCCGTCGACATGTTAACACTTTAGATTGAGGTAGGGGGTAGTTGGTCTGCGGTGGTAGCCTTTGCAAACGATTTAGAGCAAGATGTTTTAGATTCTCACTCTTACGAATATGTCTACCGCCAACCAGATGTTCCTGGCGATCTATTACATTCTTAAAAAATCTGGCACTCTAGTACACTCGAAGTAAATCTAGTACTTTTTCTTTCCATTTGGATTTTAACATCTGCGTTATAATTAGGTATTTGGACAATATAACTCTTTCGCTGAAATAACTTTGTTTTTATTTTTTATTGTTTTATCGTATTTTTATTTTTCCAGCAAAAAACATTTTTAACTGACTTCAAAAAAGGGGAGGTTCTCAATTCTTCGTAATATATTTTTTTTATATATATATATTCAGTCCGATTTCAATGATTCTTTTTTTTTTGTTAGAAAGGAAGTACTTCAGGGGTGGTCCCATATACAGGGTGGCTCACGCTCAACGGGACGGAGCTTTATGGGAAAACGACCAAAGATATAAAAAATTCGTTTGGGAGGAATACGTAGGTTACAGACGGCTACAATTTAAAATTTGTTAGATGTATACAGGATGTCCCACATAAGAAAAAAAAATTAGTTCATTAAAAATTATTCAAACAAGAGTAAATAATTAATTTTTGGGAGACTTTTTTTCCTTAAAAATTCAAATAAATCGAAAACTAATAATAATAGTAATAGGGAACCTTTAGTTAACTGACATTATTTTTGATGTTGTTTTTAATTCTAAAACAAAAAACAGGGTGTTCCATTAAAAATAATATAACTGTATATTTTCTCTTATGTGGGACATCCTGTATACATCTAACAAATTTTAAATTGTAGCCGTATTCCTCCCAAACGAATTTTTTATATCTTTGGTCGTTTTCCCATAAAGCTCCGTCCCGTTGAGCGTGAGCCACCCTGTATATATAATTTGGTTAAGGTGTGGTGATGGCATCTGCACAATTTTGAAGTTGGTTGTTTTAAATGTTTAATTTCTAATACTTGTATTTTTGTTTATTTTTAGAGCGATAGGCTTTTATATTATTTTTTTTATAGATATTGATCCTGGAAATACCTCTATTATGCGGGCCGGTACTCACTCCAGAGATACGAATTTCACAAAATATGGTGGCCGCCAGAGTATGGGAAATGCAATATCTTCTTTGATAATGTTGAAGTTTTGGAAGTCTAAACATTGGGTACCCGCTCTATTAAACAGGATACTAAAATTCGGCGATTTGTTATACAGGGAAGCAATGATATCCATTCCACGTACGCAGAGCTTAAAATTATCGAATTTTCAAAGAAAAAGCGAGTTTATGGGAAAATACTTTTTGCCTGTGGTGAACGATTATGTAGTTGTTGGGCGACTATCTTGCAAGGTAAGAATACTGATGATTTAAGTTGGTCTACAATTGAAAAGAATTTTTTTGTTTTCGACGTTAAAATGTTTATTAAATATCGAATATCAAATATCATGGTCAAAACATTATTTTCTATTTATCAAAAAGATAGTTCTTACATTTATATTCAAATTTGTTGATATTAAAAGCTTTAAATGCTTTAAATGCATCTGGCAAAGAGTTATATAATTTTATAGCATTGTAGGTAAAAGATTTCTGAAAACATGGCTGTACGATATTTAGGTATTATAACGAGTATTTCTACTGTGGATAAAGAAGTGAGGGATTAATTTATTTTTTAAAATTAAATGTTTCGACTGATAGACTATTTTATACACAAAATTTCCTAAATGGAGTTTAAAACGGTTCTCCATATTTACCCATTTACATTCAACAAGTTTATGCGAAATGTGTTCTTTTCTTTTAATAAAAAATATGAATCTTCAACAAGAATTTTGTAAAACCTGGACGATAAGAAGAAATCTAGCTTCATCCGAAAAAATAACTTTTAAAAAAATATTGTTTTAGGAATTCGAAGTTTTAGACCTGTTTGTAGCTCTAGAAACCTTTTTAATAGAAAATCAATGCTGCGTTATTATTGGGCCAATTACTTTGTCAGTTTGGGTAGAAGATGGTTATTACTATATGTTTGATCCCAATGAAAGGTGAGGATTTTTGATCATCATTGAAAATATTTATTCATTATAAATATTTATTGGTAAAGATTGGTTAAAAATTAAACCAAACTTCTGTAGCTTAAATGGTAAAACATTTAAAAAAATTTTAGTTAAATTAAATGGGAAAATGTGGGAGGTCCCTCGGATTCAGGTAGAACATTAAAAAATAAGATGATAACAAGTTCCCATACATTTTTTTCTTTTCTTTAGCTTAATGTTCAAGGTATCGAAATTTATTTTTTTCACTCTTTATCATACAGGGTTTTAAAAATATAGCATTAAAACGTACAACCTAGTCCGCCCCGGTAAACTAAACAAGCTAATTATGTTTATAGGGCAGTATTTTAAGAGGCTCTTACTACTGTTTCTCATATTAAATTTTCATTAAATTATATTACGTAGTTTGAAAGTTATTCAAGAAAAATTGATTTCCAGTGGCATCATTTTGGAGGCCGTATCTCCGTAGGGAGGGCCGCTAGGAAAAAATATGGGAACTTGTCATCTTATTTTTTAATGTTCTATCTAAATCCGAGAGACCTCCCACATTTTCCCGGACACTCTGTATATGGAGTCCCATGATTTGATTGGCTTGTCCTAAGTGCGTATTTCTTAGTTAATTTTAAGTTAAAAATGTCTATATAGTACACTTTTGTCCAAAACTCTATGATTAAGGAGTTACGGGCGATATTAAATTTAACAGTAAAATAAATCTGGTACGCCTTGTAATTGTTTTTTCCTTTGTTTTTGTTTCGTCGCATTAATTCTTTCATGTTGTTTATGGATACTATTGGAAGAGTAAGAATGTATTGTATGGCAGCGGGAAGACATTTTGAATATTACCTTAATTAAAGTTGTGGTAAAAAGTTAATTACATTACTTTATTTCGCATACTCTTGTCTTTATTCTCCACTTATTTAATATTATCAAAAATTGGTGCTTATTTTTTTTGCACAAGTAAATTTTGAGTTAGACATTCATCTTGACTTTTTTATTGATGATTTAGGTAGGCCACATACATTTCTGTAATAAGGTTTAATATAATAACTTTTTTTCTAAACTTAACATTATCGGGTCGATGGTGTAGCGGTCTAACGCGCTTATATTCATTTATAGGCAAGTTTATGAGTCCGAGACTGCTGGGCTTCGAATCCCAGACCAGACCATGTGGATTTTTAATTAAATTGCATGGTTCGGTTTAGAATTTGATGTGTGTCGTATTAATAGAAAATTCAATTTCTATTGATATGACATGCAGAATATAAAATCGCCATACATTATCGTCTCGATGATGGTGGGTGAGGTTTTCCGGGTTTTCCTCACCTGTAAGTCAAATGGCACCATCAATCATCCTTAAGTCGCCCCGGAGCGCCACGGCAAATAATAATAATAATAGCCGTCCCTTCCCCTACACAAGTCGTTCAGTCGACTTCAGGGGTTGAAATTCACTCGTAAGGGGGTGAATTAGGGAGAGTATTATTATTATTATTATTATTAATATTATTATTATTATTACTTTTCAGGGATACCAAAGGTAGAACATTAGGTGAGCGCGACGAGCCAATAAAGGAGCTAGACTGCATTTCTCCGTCAGGTAAAGCGTGTCTCATGAGATTCAAAGAACTAAAAGATCTCGTTGAATTGTACATGAATAATTTGGAAAGATGTTTTAAAGAAGCTCCGTTTTATCTTAGCAAAGTTGAAATTATGGATTGGGTCGATATTCCAGAAACTTGGTATAATTTCAGAGGTAAACATGATATAATATTGAATGTGTAGCTTTAGATAATTTAATTTTATTGTTGCCATCTAATTTTCTCATCTAACAAAGCAGTTGAGACATAAAAATATTAATTTTTTTCTTACTCTCTCGCACATGCACGCGGACAAAGAAAGAACATTTTTGGGGTAGACAAATTTTCCAAATATTTTAAAATATTCTTTAATATCTATTCGCCTTTAAAATGAACAATGGGCATACATTTTAGACTCCTGTAAGGCCTTTCATGCATCTACAGTATATATGCCTTAGATTTTAGCTTCCTGGATGTTAATCTATAAATAAATAACAGTCAAAAAATGCTTATAACTCAAACTATGTTATTCTTAATATGCGTTATGTTTAAGGTCTTGCTCCAGGAAAATGGATACTAAGGGGTATATTTCACCAAGGCGATAGAAAATATGAACCACAAACTAGAAACTTTCAGAGCCCAGCTATTTCAATGGTCGTGATGGCCATGAAGCAATTGAAACCTATAAAAGAGTGGACTGAATGCGATATTAATGAACTGTTAGATCTAGGTGACAGGTAAGAAAAATTATGTTTACGCTTACAACTCAACTTATAAACGATCGAACAGTTTATTCACGATCAAAGAGAAGAAGTTAATCATTTTCTCAGGATTTAGAATTAATAACAAAATTGTTATAGAGGTCTTGTAGGTCTTAAGCAAGTTAAATATAATTCATATCACTCGAATTGTAGTAACACCTATTCTATTATGTCATATGTCAGTTGTCGATCTCGATATCTTGTAAAAATTAATGTTACAAGTGTAATTCACTTTCTACGAAAACTTATTAAGAGAAAACCGAGCTTAACATAAAATTGTATTTATATGCGCGCTACTGGGAATACTTCGCGATGTTATGTGTCTCGAGAATATTGAAAGCTTTAAATTTGTGCAACGATAAGGGAGGGAACGGATTAGGTAATCGCGGTTTCGTCGCATCGCGGGCTGTGCTAGTCTCGGTCGCATGACGGAATTTATGCATCTATTTTTAGACCTCCATAGATTCTTCTAGAAATCTTTCCCTTGAGTCTCACCAATTTTTCATGAAGCATTTTTTACAGGCTCCATATTTCACTCCCATATTATTTAATTCTTAATATACTATTTTTTGACGTATTTTTCAATTGCATCGTTTGTAGCTTTTCATATTTTTTGTTTTCTTTGTTTATTTCGGATTTCATTTTCTGCGTAACTAACCTATAATTAACATGCTTTGATATCTTTAGACTTTTCTTAGAGTACGTAGGATATTCATATTACCTTTCTGGTAAAATGAATCATATCTATTTAACGTTATTTTAATTGTTAAAAAAATAAAGGTTCTGCCGTTAAACTGCCAAAGACATCCTTCATACTCTTGTATCAAATATTCATACTTGAAGACATAAGTGGATAAAGGTGTCATGTCACAGTTTTTCAAAAAATGATTTTTATGGCCTAATATACTTAAAATATACTATATTTTTTGTTTGTAAAAGTTCTGGTTTCCAATTTTGATAAATAACGGCTATTCATCAGTTAGGAAGTTATCATGAGCCATATATCATAATGCAGTTGTAAAACTTTAAACTTGTTTCTCTCGAAATAATCTTTTTGTGACATGACACCTTTATCCACTCATCTCTTCACTTGTTAATGTATTTTAATTAATTTTGTATTTTATGTAGCCTTTGGACCTCGTTTGTCATTATTTGATTACTAAGACTTTGCTTAATGACGTACTCTATCGAAATATCACTTAACCTATTATCAATCAGCTTTACTATTTAGACTTTTCTTAGATTTCTTTAATAAAATCAATGTACCTTCCTAAATTTATCATACTCGCTCTATTAACCTACGCTGCTGTATCACAGCCTACGCAGAAAAATTATAATATCCTAATTTACTGTTTAGTTATAAAAATACAATTTTAGATTGAATCTAAATGACTGTTTAAAAATCGTAATTCACCATTGCTTTTTGATATGAAGGATACCGTCACAACATTAGTGGATGCGTTTTTACTCTAATATTTCTTGCAATATAAATATTCCTTCAAATCTAAATGTTTTATTCTCTTGAATCAAATATTGACACCTTAATAACATTATTTTTTAATAAATGTTGAGGATTCTGACGTATCTACCATTTTATGTAAATTAAACTCATCATAATTTTGCTACAAAATCATCTTTTGTAGCTATTTAACATTAAAATTTATCAAATGTTGAAAACTCTGAATCATCTCGTTTTTCCTAGCCATTGGAATTCGTTTGTCATTAATTAGTTGATTTCCAAAAGACTTTTAACCAGCTTTGATAGCTTTAGACATTTTCTTAGATTGCGTATTGCATTTGATAAAATCAACGTACCTGGTCTTTTATTCATACGTACATATTCTTCTACTTTATTAAATTGATCTATTTCCAATTCTTATTTAGGTCATATTTGAGTTGGAATTATTTTCTTTTTTTTTATTAATTTGCCCGCCTGTCTTTTGGTTTTACCTAGTTTTTAAACTGGATACTTTTGCGAGCTCCTTAGTAAGCAAAATCAAAATTATAGTATTAAAACTAGATTTCTATCTCTGCTGTCTTTATTTTGGATTTATTTCAATACCTGTTGGGATATTTGGCAAAAAATAGTTGTTTTGGTCATTTGTATTTTCTGTGTAATTATCTAATCCCTTCACTCATATTTGGCTACCCTCATCTTTAATTATTTTTTTTTGTATATTTGACTATATTAAAATCGTTTATTAATTAGAGAACCATACATTAATCTTTTCCTAAAAATAATAAAATTATTGTTTTTACTATTTTAACAGGTTTTATAAGGAAACGATCGATGCACTCAAAGAAAAAAATGTCTACAACAATAAAATGTTATTGTTGGCCGATATTAACAGGGAATTTAGATTCTGGCAAAAACTGGTAGAATTTTCTTTAGAAGAATGTGTCCAAAATGGAATTTTTACAGCTAGAAACTGTAACGACGTTATGAATCTCTACAAAGCATTATGTTTTTATTTTATATCCTACGATCTTGGAATTGTCACGTGTAGAAATATGTCCGTTGCAGTTTGGAAATTCGATGACATGTTCTTCTATTGTGACAGTCATTCTAGAGATGACAAAGGTCTTACTACACGTAAGTATATTTATTCTGGATTAAATTGTTGTATTGTCTAGTCTCTTTGTAATAATCCTAATTATTATTTATTTATATTTAGAAATAAAACACTTTTGTTTCCTTTAGTACCGCACGCTTGTCCATGCCATGTATGACTGACTGTTTCTACCCCGTGAGTCAACTGTTACGTCAGGGCAGGGGCAAGCGTACCTACATTTATTTATATACTTAAGATAATTCACATACACTACAATTGTCTTGGATTTTTATTTATTATTATCAATTTTACAATTTTAGCTTTCGGTACTGCCTGCATTGTCAGAACATGCTCTCTTGAAGATATAGCTGAAATGATAATGTGCAACTTTGTTCCTAACCCAGAAGATTATTTCAATATAACCAACGTCAAAATGACATTTTACGATTTGGATGCTGAAGGTTTTATCCGTCCAGTTATTTTGTACTACAGGAAACTTACTCGATATAAATTCATATTGAGATCGCTGTACAGCGAAACTCATAATAGATATGAGTTAAATGTCGGCAAACAGACGATTCCTATGATGGTGATGGGGATTTGTTATAATAAATTGAAACCTGCCATAGAATGGAACCAAGCGGTAATTAATAGTTTTGTTTAGTTTTTTATAGTAGGTACTTAATGGATTGATCGACTTACCTGTAAGGATAATCAATCCGAATTATTCGAGCTGTTGCCTGTAATAATTATTACACCCTGTAGTATACATGACTCATACTGATCAGTACAAAAAACTTCCAAGATAAAACAATTTCTATATAACCAACTGCGGTATGTGAGTGATTCATTGCATTATTTGATTTATTTGTGATAGAAATCACCCAATATACAAATGAATAATTATTGGAATAAATAAAATATTAATGTATAAACTTGTTCGAGTCTAATGCGCATGATCGAATTACGTAATACATGTAAGCATTCTAATATTTTACAGTGTGTTTGCCAAGTTATAATGTGTATACAGTGCTTCCCAAAAGTCCCCTCCCCGCTCTTTTCTTTTGAACGGTGATACTTAGATTGATGAAATTTGGAGGGTGAAAATGAACTATTGTAAGCTTCTCTACTAGTGGTAACAGGTGACGTAATAGGCATCGGTGACGTCACCAGGCAACTGAAACCAATAATATTAAATGGGACCTTATATCAAGTGATACCTCATTTAAAAGGTATTTAGAATACCTATTCAATCATACAATTTTAAAATATTTTAATAATATTTTAAAATAAAGTCCCATTTAATATTATTGGTTTCAGTTGCCTGGTGACGGCACCGATGCCTATTACGTCACCTATTACCACTAGTAGAAAAGCTTACAATAGTTTATTTTCACCCTCCAAATTTCATCAGTCTAAGTATCACCATTCAAAAGAGAAGAGGGGGAGGGGACTTTTGAGAAGCACTGTATATCTATACCTATATAATAAGATACTGCAAGAGTTCGAGAACAAGCCCCTTGTTAAATCCCATAAGAAATCGCTAAGGTTAAAAGTAGCAAAAATTGTAATTATCAAGGTTACGCGTCGAGAATCGAAGTCCGGTTTATCAGTAAATATGATAACGTTAGCTCGCGGTTAAATAACGTCGGGAATCCAAGATGGCGGCAATTGTTGACGTAAACAATTAAAAATATACGAGGTAAACGAAAAAACAAAGCCAGAAGGGCCTTAGCGTGTTTTTCGGATATTACTGGTCCGATTTAAACGGGAAAAACGGCATTATATAGATAACTCGGTATAGATTCACTTTTGGCATCCTTAAACACTAAAAATTTTGTTAAACGCCACTGATCAGTACAAATAATGCAGTGAATCACTCACATACCGCAGTTGGTTATATAGAAATTGTTTTATCTTGGAAGTTTTTTGTACTGAACAGAGTCCATACTACAGGGTGTAATAATCATGTAGGACAACAGCGAAGAATAATGAATTTTTTCTACACCTGCAAGTATATCTATTTTTTAAATAGACCACAGTAGGAATAATTAGGCCATATCAGATATAATTTTATATCTATTCTATTAAGAACTTTGCACTGTACGAATATGAAAACAGCCAATTATAGTTCACATATTGACACCCGGCTGCTAATATTTTTTTTAATTTAAAGTAACACAGAACGAATAAGTAAGCCATATCAGTCTTCTAAACGGATATAATTTTACATCCATTTTATTAAGGACATTGCACTGTACGGTTATAAAAACAGCTAATTATAGTTCATATTTACTCACCCGGCTACTATTAAATACTGTAAATGCCCGTTCTGTGTCTGATTCACCTACACGCTCTCGCCGTCGTGGTCTAAGTCTGACTGCCTGCAATCCTCGCATCAATCGTCGAGCTGCTGTCTTATATTTCTATACGTCACATCTCTCTTTTCATTTAGTTTTAATATTTATCATTAGGAAACAAAGAAAACACAAATATGACATTTTAATCAAAGTATATGTATAATTTAGTTTATAATACGAACAGCGGGTTGCAACAACGATCGTTAAATATCTAATGACTCGTTAAACCCAAATCTTTTACTAAAGGTGTAGTACGGGTTGCATTCTTCTGTTAATTTGTAACGACGACGTGAACTGGCAACGTCGCTTCCTATGTCAGCTCTGCTCGTCATTTACTTTGACAGATTGAATAATATTTTAGAATTTTTCAATTTTCCAGCCAATTTATGTGAGTGTCGAGAGGTACTTTGAATATATATTATAAAAGTTCAATTTGAGTTCGTTTAGTTGAAGTATTATAATGGTTGACAAAAAAAATCGCAAGCAATTTACTGCTACAGATAGAAGAAAAACCACTTGGTAAGTAAATTAATAATAAGTACATAAAATTCCTTCAAAAACATTCACTTTATTACATACTTAATTTGTATTTCCAACTACATTTTTGGGGTTAAAATTTTAGGTAAATTGCTAAGAAGTTGTATTGGCCAAAATACTAATTAGGAATAACTAGCTTTTATTAAATATAAAACTGATACAAGGAAATCTAAAAGTGAGATACAACAGAAAGAAAACTAAACTTTACAAGAGGTTAAATAGAAGGAGAGACAGGACAAGGTTCGTATTTTTTTGTCTCATTCAAAGGACACTTATTATACATAACATATTTGTACACCCACCCTTCTGGGACAGTAACATTAATATACTTACCTTCTATATAGTATAGAATATTGTGCCTTCTTAGTAATAAAAGAAAACATTTATTTGAAATCAAATTAAAAATTTATGCAGTAATATATTTAAAGTTAATTTTCTAAGCAAAGTACCTATAATAATAATAATAATAATAATAATGTTATTTAACAGAAATTTTATATTTTAAAAGATTAATTTATAGGATTTTAATTTAAACAGAAATTAAATCACTTTTATATATACAATATAAAACTTCTTTTGTATGTGTTATTATTTATACAATTTTAGCAATATCTGTCTTTTCCCATTTTAAAGATTATTCAAACTACTAAAGTTAAAAAAAAAATAAAATTGGAAATAACTAACGTTTAGTATTAATTTTGTTTATTTAAATTCTTTCCTTATTTGTTTAAGGGTGAAAAACGAGAAGGAGACATGGTTAATCTTCAACTTGATGAGATAGGCTCAAATTAAAGCATTTTTTTATAATCAAATAGAGTCCCCATTGATTCAACTGCTGCATTCTTTGGTAAGAAAGTATTTTATTTATTTTATTTAAACTTAGCTGTTTTATTATACATGGTGGTCAAAATTCGACGCTTTTACATGATACAACTAGATATCGAAACCTTATAACCCACCATTCTTAACTTTTTTGAGAAATAAAACATGGAATGCTTAGTTATGTTATAAATCCATTTTAGAAGCTATAGGGTGATTTTCTAATTTTATCATAATTTATTATCTCAAATAAATATCTTATTTTCAAAAACAATTTAATAATTTGACATAGTTACATATGTAAAATCCATTGTCATACTCTTATTATTTTTTCAAGGGGTACAAATTTTCAAGATAATACCATTTACCATTTTTTATTTGAACACCCAAACAAAATAATGATATTTTAAAAATCACGCTTACATTTTACTTAGGGGAGGAATTTATAACGGGATATAAAATAACATGTTTAGTTTAAAAAAAAGGTGAGATCAAATGTGCTTTATCCCCTGCTAATTTAGTAATATCTTATAAACATGTCAAATTTGGACCATCCTGTATAATTATCACAAATACTTTGTATGTTGGTAATTAGTGCAATATGAAGACAAATTTGGAATTGAAGGGAACTTTTACATATTTTAGTAAAGTATAACTGTAGGTTTAATTAGGTTCTTGCATTGCAATAAATAATTACATGAGTCCTAGTTAACTGCAGCTAAATATGATCGTTGAATCTCTATGTAGGTTCGAGTTATAACTTCTTCAATGATGAATTTCCTATAAATTTTGTTATATCATTATATTTCGGAACATACTTTTAAGAGCTCTAGAATAATATGTATTTATTTATTATTCTGTAGGTGCACGAATCAATAATTGATATTATGCCTCTTTTCAGTGGAGTCTCCGTAGCTGCTTCTCCTAGTAGTCTCTTCACTCCCAAGGAATCTACTAAACCCTTGCCTGGTCCAAGTAGACTCTTCTAATCCCCCTGCACAGACTCTCAAGCAAAACCATACAGTTAAAAAAGGAAAACTTTGTAACACAACAAAATTAAAAATATTGTTGTATGGACCACTAATCTTGAAACAAGACAGGCTTGGCTCACAAATAAAACTTTAAAATATCTATACTGCCCCAGTAACTACACAAACTATAGAATGAAGATATATGCAATAAAATAAATTTATTAGTGCCAGTATTTTGATATGTGTTACCAATATAGCTGCTTTTGTTGAATTAAAGACAAGTTTTGAATAATGTTAACTAGTTATATAAATAAGTGTGATTTAATGTTTTGGGTTGATTTTTGATAAGAATTCTCTAGAAAAATGTTAGTTACATTGTAGAATCAAGTTGACTTTTTAGGATACAGAATCAAAATTGCTGGTATTTTGTTTACTTTTTAAAAAGAAAATTGGGTTAGTATCAGAATGGTCAAATAACCTCAAATATTTGTAATTTGTCAGTTATGGGGGTTTGGCTTATGACGGAGGTATAGCCTTGTAGCAATATATTTTTATTTTTAAATAGGCATTACTTTGTAGTAATATAGGTGTTTGCTAAGTATTTTAAAATATTTCATGAGATGATAGCATGAATAATTTTAAGTCATATAACTGTGGAGCTTGGTATCTCTACTTATATTGTTAAAAACTTTTTAATTCGTATAAATGTTATGTATTTATACATTCTCATTCTCAACCATATTTAATATTATTTTATAGTTTTTTCCTGCCTATTTTCAGAAAAAGTAAATATTTAGCAGTAAACTACTATCAGTAATAACATTTTTATTGTTTGTACCTATGTTGAAATAATCCATTTCTTTTTATACATTTATTAAATATGTGGAACTGGCTAAGTAGACATATCCAATACGTTAGGCAAACTGTAAATTTTAACACAAAATTACTAGTAAACTTGAAACCTGTCATAACCAAAAAGAAATCCTGAATTGAATGTTTATTTTCTAGAATTAGAATTCTTATTAAGGATGGGCAAATTAAATGTATTTTTATTTATTGTAGATTTATTATATTTTTTTATTATGTTATGTATTTTGTGTATATTAATTTAATCCTAAAAAATAAAATTTTAAAATGAATTTGGTGTTTTATTTATGACCTACAAATCTGTAAATTATAAATGTGAAAGCAAATATATTAAGGTAAATAAGTGTAATTTACATAGCAATTATTTAATATTTTAAATTTCAACTATTACACAACCTATAAAAGCTAATTATCATATAATAATTATTTAATTTTCTCAACAATCTAGAAATGCCAATATTGTACAAATAGAAAGTTGTTCTTAAATAAAAAATATATTCTAGCATTAGTTTATTAGCAAAGAAATATAGCATCCAAATTGAAGGGATTAAAGGAACTGTATATGATTTTCAAGAATAGGTCTAATGTGAATTTATTTCTCATACCAGAGATTTTACCATCTCTCCTCCAGTTTTCATTTTCTAACTAAAAAATAGATACTGAACTTTAGAAATTTCCCAATTTAAACAGTTTTTTACTTTGATTCATTGAAAAATGTATAAGTTACAAAATTAATTTAAAAAAACTGACGACTACAAAATACGAAGAGTGATTATTTTCTCATGAATCCCATCATCAGATCTTTACCAAATTTATATATGAAACCATCTCTGAGGAGCCCCCTTTCTAACAAAAAAATTATCAGAAATCGGACAACATCGTAAAGAATTGTCGCTGAATATCCATAAAAAAATATATTCCAATGAATTGAGAACCTACCTAGGTACTTCTTTTTTGAAGTCTGTTAAAAATAGAAAATACATTGGAAATATTACCACAGTAAATGGGGTTTGCACACATGATAAAAACTAAACATGTTTTTAATTATGTACTTCTATTTGAAAAAATAATGTACATTAGAAAGAAATGTGCTTTTCCATGACAAACGGGAAGAGAAAATGTAAAGTAAGTACAAGAAAAAATAGTTTTAGTTTATATAAAAGGGACAAACTATATTTAAATACTGTTGCTTTAAACCACAAATCACAGATTTTTAATCGGGCACTACTAGAAGGGCAGTTAAATGAGTATTTTCCTCTTTTTCCAGTGACTTCTTGGAACCTTTTCTTCATTTAAGCCATTCTATTTATTTTAAGAAATTATATTCATGTGTAAAACATTTTTTCTCTGAACCGACTGTCCTTGCTTCTGTATATTAAAAAATATGAGCCGATGTCGAAAAAAGATAGGGATAGTGTTAACATTTAACCATAGCCGTAAAGGTTGAGCCTCAATTTCATTTTTTACTTTATTTGTAATTAGTTTTCGAAAAAATATTACCAAATTAACTTCATTAATATACAAATCTCCCGTGATCAGCTGTGAAGCGACAGACTGTCAGTTGGAAAAGCGCCGTTGCCAGTTTTAATCTCAGTTAGTTATTTGTTCTTTAGCTAACGAGAGATTTTAACAATCGTTCTTGCAACCGGCTGTAAGTCTTTAACCGCTGCATTTCTGCTTTATTTTTGATTTGATATGTTGTCCTCAATATTTTTATTTTCTGTGTTGCACACTTTCCATTCTCCTTCAATTTTTTTTTAGATGAACTATATTCCGCCAATACTCCTTTCCCGTAGTATCGTCTTTTACAATTATATCCCCCCCAGTTCTTTTAATTACGGTGTAGGGTGTGTCATCAAAGTTTGGTGTAACTTTATTTGTAAAAACGATATATCTATTTCTTCTATGGCTCTTCTTTTACGATCTTCTCTTTCTTTTGATTTTTCTTTTTGAACCGGATCTTTATCCATCATTTCTTCATCATGTACATTTTTATTATCTAATGAGCTAGGTATTTTATCTCTGAACTGCCGTCGGAAAAACAGTTCGCTAGGAGTTTTGCCTGTAGTTGTGTTAGTAGTAATATTGTACATAGTCCACAAGTTCCTGTTGCTAGTTCTTTTTAAGTGCGTGGCTAATTTTTTTGTTTTTTAAAATGTCTGTTTTATCTTTCCACTTCGCCGTTCATTTGGAGCCAATAGGGAATTGTGTGAAATAGTCTAATGCCATTTGCATGGCAAAACGACTCCATTTCCTGGCTTATAATTTGTCTTCCATTATCAGCAGTAATGGAGGCAGGTAAACCTAATCTAGAAAAAAGTTCTTTTAGAATGGAGATGGTATTTGTGGCTTTAATAGATTTCATTACTTTTATCTCTTTATATCAACTAAAATAGTCTACTATTACAAAAAGATTTTCCCCACTTGGTAAAGGTCACATAAAATCCACTGCAACATCAATCCAGGGATCATCTAGAATTTGCCTTCTTTTCATGAGATACGGATTTGTTGGAGCTGAAACTAGGGTACAACCTTTACATGATTTTACTATGCTTCCTGCGGAATTATCCATTTTGGGCCACCAAACTTTAGTTCTTATTCTCGCCTTCATAGCTATGATTCTCGGATGCCCTTCGTGAGCCGTATGCAGAACTCTTTGTCGCAGTTTTATAGTTATAACTATTTTTGTACGTCTTAGCAAAATGTTATCAAATACACAAAATTCTTCCTCGAAAATTTGACAATGTTTTATCGGATCTTGCCAGTCGTTTCTCTCAAAACCAGCTCTAATTTTCTGAATTTCGTCATCTGTTTCTTTTATTTCCTTAAGTGTAACGGCTATTGGTCGAGAATATTCAACAATACTTTGAACATAGTCGTGGTTTTCGAAAGATTTTGCTTTGGAAGGATTTATTTCACACAACCTTGGCAAAGGATCAGCAATATTGCTTTTTCCAGGACAGTTAATAATATTATAATTAAAAGATTGTAGTCGAAGTACCCACCTTTCAATACGTGCGCATGGACGAGACTTTATTCCAAAAATAACCTCTAGGGGTTTATGGTCAGTGACGAGATCGAATTCTTTTCCGTACAGATAGATTTTAAAGTGTTCCACTGCCCAATATGCCATATGCAATAAGGCGTGGCCCATTTTGGTCGGACTGTATTAGGACAGCTCCGAGGGCTACCGGACTGGCATCTGCTACCACTTGAGTTTTGTCAGATGGGTCGTAATATCCAAGGGTTGGGATATTAGATAAAGATTCTTTTAGCCAAATAAAAGCCTCTTGTACCTATACCTTTACATATTATAAAAGTAGTAATGTATCTCGATTCTTCCGAAATCTCCACTTGATGAAAAGCATCCTTAATATAAATATGTTTAGCGGGCGTAAATTGCTCTTTTATCGCCCTCGGACTACCGCCCGTCAAGTTACGGTCCATAAACGTCTCTTTTACGGCCTTGATACATAAAAACTATAAATGTTTGTGGTATTTAAAAATAAGGTATTGTCTCGTGAATACTCTTGACCTAAATTTGTTTTATTGCTAGGATATAGACGAAATCATGAACAAAGGTGACAACTTGTACGTCCAATCCATGCTCGACATACTTCAAAAGGAAGAAACTCAATTTATATCGCTCACGATGAATCACGAAGTGGATCCTGCTGGTGGCGCTAGGAAGGCGAGAGATAGCCATAGTATGTCATCAGAGAAAGGTTCAGAAATGACTAGAGCAACAGGTTCTGATAATAGAAGTTCAGAAATCGGTAAGATTAAATCCTTATTATTAATTACCGTGCGAAGCCTATTTCCTATTTTTATGTACCAGAATAAGTGAAAAAAAAAATTAATTTTTTTGTAGTAAAAATAATTTGAATTATAGAAAAATACGTATATTTATATTGTTTATTATGTTTAATTCAGATGGAGGCGGTGATGCAAAAGTAGAAGACGAGGCTTCATCTATGGAGGAAATTGAAATTAATTTAAACAATATGAAGAAAGAGTTCAATATAGGATTAAACAAGTTTACCTTTATTGTTGAAGACGTCGGATCAGGTAAAAAATAATAGCGAATAGTACAAGTAATTAGTCGAGAATTGAGTTTTTATACATTATAGTCCGTGTATTTAATCTAATTATTTTTTATTTTTATTTTATTTTTTTAATTTAATTTGAATCAATCTGCAAGTGACCAGTTGAAACAAGTCCCATAATACTTTGACAAGTGTAGCAAAAATGTATAAAAGTGTGAATCATATATTGAAAACTGTGAGGTATTTTATTTTAATTATTTCTTTTATCACAGACAGTTCGTTAGGATTATTTTAGGGTTAACAAATATCAAACAAAAATGGTAAATTTTCAAAATTTGTATTTGACAAAAGTTGTTTGATTTGATGCGCTAGAAATGAAATCTTGAATCCAAAATGATGTTTTAAGAACTTTTATTTTACTTAAATACAATTATTATAGATATTACTAGCTTGAATATTAACTAGGAACTTACTTTTAACTGCATAAACTACTTTTATATAAAAAATGCTAACTATGCAAAATCGTATCTTCTATACAGTGAGCATCATAAGTCTTACCCCCTATCTAACTTGTTACTGGAGTCTTGTTAAGAAAATCGCTGAGACACGTCGATTTTTGATTTCTACAATGTACATTTTTGTATGAATAATTTACCCTTAATTGTATCGCTTACTGGAGGGGAGCGACCCTTTCGAAAAATTTAAATGACATGGGGTGGTGAATGATAGCTCATTTGAAAGGGGGGTTTATTATATATTCAACCGTGTAAAAAATTTTGAAATTTGCTTCATTACGTGATGGTTTATTAATGTTTTAAAATAACAAAACAACAGGAAAGCAACTAAACTAACAGTGACCTTATCTGTTATTACAATAAATGTTCAAAATATTCCCCGTTGACCTCCTCGAAAAAAATAAAGTGTTTTCAGTTTCAGCCCTGACGCTTTGCAAAGTTTCTCGAGTAATTGTTGCACACACTTCCCTAATCCGCGCTCGCAACTCCTGAATAGAGTGACGCTTTTGATTTTAGGTTACCCCAAAGAAAAAAAGTCTAAAGGGGTTATATCTGTTGATCTTGGAGGCCATTCCACAGATCATCGGCGTCCGATCCATCGTCCTGCATAAACAATATTCAAATAATTCCTCACAGCAACTGCAAAATGAGGAGGAGCTCCATCTTGTTGCAAAATAACTTCCATGTCAAATTTGTCTACATTATTTTCGACAGTTGGATCAGTGGATCTATCACTGTTTCCAGCATTTCCAAATAACGAGCACCAGTCAAATTTTCCTCAATAAATAACGGACCTATAATGTTGTCACCTAGTATTCCGGTCCACACAATAACTTTTTGTGGAAACTGAGTATGAGTTTCACGAGAAAGTCATGGATTTTCATCAGACCAGTACCTCACATTTTGTCTATGCACGTGACCGTTTAAAAAAAAGTAGCCTCATCACTAAAATAAATATGTTTTAAATAGCTGGGATTTTCCAAAATATTATTAGATATAATTTCACAATATTCTAGACGTCTGTATCATCCTCCGTCAGTTCATGAACCATCTTTATTTTATAGGGTTGATTTTTTTTTCAGAACTCTCAATACAGTCATCTGCTAAACTTCACAATTCAAGGCAACAGTCCTACTCGATGAGGACGCATTATTCACAAATTCGGCCATAATGCCCACTTATTTATCTTCCCCAGTAGTTGATCGCCCAGAACGTTTTTTATTTTGCACATTGCCGTTTTCATAAAATTTTTCCACTAACTGTTTGAAATAATGTCTATCAATATGGTGATCTGGAAAACGTTTATTGAACATTCGTACAGAGCATCATGATAATTGCGATGATGTTCACCAAAAATAACAATCGCGTTAAATTTCTCATTTAACTCACCTAGTCCAACCATTATATGGAGATGAATAGCAATCAGAACTTAAAGCTAGAATACACTGACTCGCACTCTCATTGATATCAGTTTATTGTTTTGACCATTTATCTTTAAAACACTGCAAAAAGATCAACAAAAACGTGCAGTTAATATCCAAGCATAATGGCAAAAAGTCTTACTTCACGTCTAAAAAAAAAAAACCGATATCATGCAAGGCCGAATTTAAATTCTAAGGATGAGTGCAGTACGTTAATTTTCGTTATTCTGAAACAATAATTAGTCGAGAATTAATGGAGCAAATTTCAACTCCTTTACACGGTTGAATAGAGAATAAAACCCTCTTTCAAATGAGATATCACTCACCACCCCATGCTATTTAAATTTTTCGAAAGGGTTGCTCCCCTCCAGTAAGGGATGAAAAAAGGGGTAAACTATTCATACAAAAATGTACATCGCAGTGCCATTAAAAAAAAAGCACTCATACTATCCAGTTTTTTGCACAAAATGCACTCGCTAACCATGTTGTTAGCTATACACTAAAACTATAAGCCGAAGTATAAAAATCAACAAAAAAAAGTTTTAGCTTTGGAAAACCACTTATACCTATCTAATTATTAGAGAATGATAGTAATGATGCTGACGCGGCTGTTCTGTTATTTTTCTTTATGATACAGCAATTACTTCTTCTTTATTTTTCTTCCATTTTTTTGGAATAACCCAAAAAATGTTACTGCCTACAGGACTCGTTGACCCAGATCTTCGACCAGCAATACAAGACTATTTTGAAAAAATCACGACCGCAGAGCTAGACGACACACATGTTGAAAAGTCTGAAACTAGTAGTGGTGGAAAGCCTTTATCAGAAGGTGTTTCAGAAGGTGGTGGAGAAACAGAATCAGCATCGGCCTCAAAAGGAGGAATAGTGCCGCCTTTTGTTGATAACTCAAATATGGAAATTATACTTCTGCTTAAACCATACACTGTCATTCTTTGGAAAGATACCAAGATGTATTATCTTTTCGATTGTCATTCTAGAGATATAGAAGGTAATGTGTTTGGTGCATCGCAATGGAGTGAAGTTATGTTATGTCCTGCCAGAAAGAAAAAGGTACAACAAATGTTTTGTAATTCAATAATCATTGAAAACAAGGTTTTAAAGTATAAAAAATACCATAATTTTGAGATTGTGGCATTTATAGTATTTCTGTACATCACAATCTTCTCTACGCGTTTAAATTTTAAGATTACTTCATTTTTGTAAGCTTTAGATCCTGTTTTTAAACAATATTTTAAGTATTTATACGCATGAAAGAATGTCTTTACTTCTTAGCCTTCAGAAGACGTTAAAAGTACCGCTCCGTCAGTAGCTGCTGCATCGACTTACACTGAGGGGGCCAAATCAGAGGGCGGAGGGACCGAAGGAGGAGGTGGAGATAAAATTGAAGATGCGGAAAAAAAGGGCGATGAACAAATAACAGAATACGATTTGTTTCAAGAAGGAGAAGGAGCCGGAATGGAACAAGAACAAGAAGAAATAAGTGGATTTGGAGAATAGTAAGTTCAAATAATTTGCGAAATGCGTAGGGATAGTGTAATTAATTTAAAAAGTAGTTTAAATGAAGTGGGAATATGACTAATATCTTTCATCAAACGAATGGAAACGAGCTTTATTTTCGTTTTGTTGTCGATATTTTTGACCACCTTCAAAAGGATTGTTATGTCGATGAAAGCAACACGTGGTTGTATGTATCTATGAAGATAACTTAGGTTTGTAACACTTTCTAGAACCATCCAGATGTTTCTTGACACGGAATGACATTTCTAGACTATTCTCTCTTCACTTATGACGACCGCAGCATACTGTAGGGTGATGGGTAACGTAACACTTCATTTTTATTCCACAGAATATATAAGTCGATTTCATCATAAAGATTTAAAATTAAAAGCATCTGCAAAAAGGAGGAGTAGTAGAACAAAGGGAGAACTAGATCAGTGAGTGGTGGCAATGAGAATTCTGGGTCATACAGTCGTAGGCTATGCAATAGCAATGAGATTTTTCAATCAAGGTACTGTGTTGAGAGTTCTAGATTATTAAATAGCAATGAGAGATCTCGGTCATGGAACTGTATTGAAACTTTTGGGCCAAGCAGTCTAGGCTATGTAATAGCAAGATAGTTCTCGGCCAAAGAACCGTATGAGACTTCTAGACCATGCAATAGCAATGAGAGTTCTTGGAGATGTATACAAAGCGGAGACACGACAAATTGGGTGTTTGGGGCCAAGAATCTGTTTTGGGGAGTTCTGGACCACGTATACAAGAATCTGGGTGACGTTTTCTGCAATCAAGAGACCATTTTTAAGTCCGTTTGTGTGTGTGTGTGTGTGTGTGTGTGTGTGTGTGTGTGTGTGTGTGTGTGTGTGTGTGTGTGTGTGTGTGTGTGTGTGTGTGTGTGTGTGTGTGTGTGTGTGCCTATTCTACAATCAATAATCCGTTAGCAATAAAATGAATCTAGATTGGGGGACAAAAAGTTTCTTGTACGTATAGGATCTTGGACACCAATGCTTTTAAATGAAAAACGTGTAGTTCACTCTAGACAGTAGAGTGCTGGTGTAAAGATAGGACAAATATTGCTAATAATTTAAATGGGGGAAAGTTATTTGTAATAGGGTTAAGTCAACATTGGGCAATGAAAATAAAATATATTTTGTTTCAAAATTATATTTTTAAAGTAACAGTATTAAGTATTTACAGTAACTCAATAAGTTTCAAAATTGTCTCTCTTTGAAGCTCAGCTTTTTTATTTAGGCCCATTTTCAGTAAACTTGTAATTAGTTTCTTTTTCTTAATTTGTTTTTCTTTGTAATTTTTTTTGTGTCATCGGCATCAACTACTAAGGTTATTAGCCTCGTGCTCTGTGTAGGCTTTGTTACTGTTTCCCAGCGCCACTTTAGGAACAGCACTGTTAATAGAACCCAACAGTGAATGGTCGAATGGGAAATCCTACCAAAGCATCAGAATATTCCTAATTTCCATTCCCCGTTCTGTTTTGTAAAATTATATCTTAATTTCTCGTTAGCTTCTTCCCTCCGCCTTATTCCTTCGGCACCTCTATCACATCTACATCTGGATTTATCATGAAGTTCTTTTTCCGATGTGTATTTTTCTTTAACACCTTTAAATGCTAATTCTGAAATTCCTGTGAGTACTACGCAAAACTGTTTTCCTCGGGAATATAACCAATCTTGGTTGAATACTCTTCTATCGTAATGAGAATGAGGTGTATCTCTAAGACCATCTCCATCCCTTCTAAGCGGTTTTTGTCCATCAGCACAGGTGATGTATCTGAAGACACCAACATCATGATCTAAGCAAGTAAATGAAAGTCCTTTTCCTTGCCATTTCCTGTGGCGACAAAGCGTTAATTTCATTTAGATTCAAAAGAGTCAATGAAGACATTTTATGTCTTTAATGTCTCAATACTTTAAACAAATAATTAATTTCTTACACCACCAAGATTTTGCGCATGCGCAGTAGTACATACGGTATACGTTCACGTGAACGAAGGTTAGGTTAGGAGGGCATACGAGAAGTTCGCCTTGTTTCATCATTTTCTTATTTTTCATCTTTTCGGTAAATTGCTTTAGAACTTCTCGTATGCTCTCCAAACCTAACCTTCGTTTACGTGAACGCATGTTGCAACGACGATTACATCATGTACGTATGTGTCCATATGTGTGCAAGATCCAATAATGGTTTAGTTAATTAGCGTATTTAATTTATTGCTATGTTAAAATAGATAAAAAATATTATCAAAATTCTTGAGCGTAGCTTCTATCATTGAGATCCAGAATATCCAAAAACAGTCTCCTGATTGCAGAAAACGTCACCCAGATTCTTGTATACGTGGTCCAGAACTCCCCTAAACAGATTCTTGACCCAAAACACCCAATTTGTCGTGTCCCCGCTTTGTATACATGACCGAGAACTCTCATTGCTATTGCATGGTCTAGAAGTCTCATACGGTTTCTTGGCCGAGAACTCTCATTGCTATTACATAGCCTAGACTGCATGACCCAAAAGTCTCAATACAGTTCCATAACCGATATCTCTCATTGCTATTTTGTGATCTAGAACTCTCAATACATAGCCTAGACTGCATGGCCCAAAAGTCTTATTACAGTTCCATGACCGAGATCTCTCATTGCTATTTTATGATCTAGAACTCTCAACACAGTACCTTGATTGAAAACTCTCATTGCTATTGCATAGCCTAGACTGCATGACCCAGAATTCTCATTGCCACTCCTCACTGATCCAGTTCTCCCTTTGTTCTACTACTAGGAGGCAATTTTTGTAAAAACTTTTGTTTCATACGTTAATACTAGAGTACTTCAAAATAATATTTGGGTTTACATCGTTTACATTGTTGCATAGTTACAGAAGCGGGTCAAACTGACACGATTTGCAACTACGCAAGAAGTTTGAGATTACCCAACCTCAATTATTTTACGCGAAATGCTAATGAGACCAACGAAAGACTAAAATCAACAAATAAGTTTCATCAAACACTTAAAAACTACTACATAACGTTTTATTATACAGTGATTTCCATTTTATAGTGAAGCCACTGTAGAAGGAATCTTATTCCCCAAAGGGATAGTCAGAAGTGCGTCGTATTGGGCAGAAATGATGAAATCGGGCAGAGCGTGTACTTTGGCCTTCGTCAAACTCGAGGAACTCTTAGATCACATTATCAAAAATATTCCTCCGAAAATAAGAACAGAGGAACCTTACCAACTGAAAACAATTAGAGTCACTAATAATCCTGAACGAAAAGACATCATGAGACCAGACGATCTAAGAAATGACGTTTACGAGGGTCAATGGTATGATTTCAAAGAAGTCGATCGCGGGATTTGGATCTTAAGAGGTAATACCACGTCTCGTAATACAGAGTGTTTCTAATTTCATGCGACAAAATTCAGGAGGTGATGGCTCGTATGAAATTAAGATGGGTCTTTCCTATAACAAAATTTCCTCAGCCCACCCCTTTCTGAAATATCACCCTTAAAAGATGGTGACTAAAATTGACTTTTTATTTTTTTCTTAAATTTCAGTAAAGCTAGAAACTTGAAATTCTGTAATTTTCGTGCACTCGCAAAGGACTAACCACGGGTATTTTTTCATACCTCAAGTAAAGTATCTAAATAGTAATTCTTGTTATTAGGAACTCTGAGTCTACACCATGAATTGTTCCCCCAGTATAACCGAGGCAGACAACAAGTAATGACGGCAGTCTGTGCTTTGGGCATAGTATATACATTTGGTGTGTTGTGCTTCACCAAATTTACTGTTGATACAATCTTAAAATATGGTTAGTACAAAAATTTACTAATATTTATTTAAAATAAAGATGAGACGCTTAATTATATTTGGACATGAGAGCGATAGAGTAGGTAATATTGGTTTAATTACGCCCCTCCGATGACAAGCTCGATTTCTCTCTATTTAATAGCATTGTGTTTCTATACCATTCTTCTGGAATCGGGAAGGAAAAGTTAATTTAATGTAATACAACTTCAATCTCAATCCCAACCTTTTATATTTTTTAGTTAATTCATTTTTGCAATTGTGGCGGTTAGAGGGTTAAAAAGAATATTCGATGGCTCAAACAGACTCATCTGTGTTTATCTGTAGAAGGATCGGGAATCGGCCGTTCAGGGTGTTCATACACGCGATTCTTTGGCAGTATATCTAGTACTAATGATTATAAGCGACTGCTTGCTGGGCAATGTGTACCTCGTACACTATACAGGGCCGGCATGAGCATTTATACGCAAAAAAGGATTATACTAATTAATAATTATTGCATTATTGCCGCAACAGCAATACCTATGTTAAAATTAATAAAATAATAAAATAACACCGAAATAATTTGAAAAGGTATAATTTAGTATTTATTTTTTAATTTAAAGTATATGTAATAGAAACCTGGTGGTATGATCCATATCGAATATGTCTTGAGCTTCCATCAGGTAGTTAGACCATCAACTGCCTCCTAATTTAAAATGTAGAGAATTATTTAGAAGATTTCTAAATAATACTAAAAAAAAAAAATTATAAAGTCCTCTACAAGATAATAAAAGAATTTTTTAATTAGGTGACAGGCTATTGACGTTTGTGAAGAAGGTGAGAAAGAGACAAATGCTTGAATACGATCCAGATAAACTTTGCGATGACGAAATCGATTGGATTCTTCAACACGAAGAGTTTGGCATTAGAGAAGTTCCGAAAAAAATATGTATTTGGAAATTCATGATCCACGTTGAAACTCAACCGGAATTGGTCGTCGGCGATATTAGAGCTGAACCGTTCGAACAGCTTACCGACGTAAAAAGAGGAGTCGACAAGTTTTTCGAAGAAAATAGACTCGGGATATTAGAATCGAAAGGTATGTAGGTATTAATACAAAGTATGCTGTTGTGGTGACCGTATAGGTACATACTTAGCATACTGAAAAAAATAGGATTACAAAGTGCAGTATTTGATCAACATTTTTAATTTGATATGCGGAATATAATATATCAATTACTGTGATTATTCGTTTTTGTTAAATGGTGAAGAGTTTCGTTCTTTTTTTAATTTTTTTAGTTCATTTGTACGTTGCATCTAACATTAAAGTAATAATGAGCAAACACTCATACCAGATGCGATTCATTTCATGATACTACTTCTTTTCTTGTTTTTTGTATGTAGTACTAATTGTTTCGTGTTAGGCATACGACTGGTATATAAGTTAATACAACGACAACAGCGTCAAATAGTTGCCACATGTTGGCTGTGAAAGCACGGCTATGCCTAATACAAATTAATAAGTACTGTATAACATGAATTATTTCTTGCTGTTTGGGTGGGATTTTTCGCAGCACCTTGGCAAGTAATAATATATGTCCTTTGTAGAACTCCTGACATTATGACGTCACCTTTGCATCAACCTTGATACCTGAACCTGGGATAGGTAGCTTTGATGTAATGGTGACGGACGAGGGCACTTTTTGGGATAGCTATCAGAGTTTGGTATACACATGATATTATTGTCATCTAATTTATGTAATAAATAGCTTTAGCATCCTTCCCTGGCACAAATTCTTCTTTTAGAGCTAAACGGCTAAATAGAAAAAATATTATTATTATTCTCAAAAAACGTAAATGCATTGACAATAATTAACTACTTAATTTAATTTTCAGATTATGCTGTTGCAATATGGAAGGGATGTAGACTGTATTACATGTGCGATGGTCTAAGTAGAGGTCCGAATGGTTTGACAGCTTCATGCGGTACTGGTTGCGTTACCAGATACCTGAAAACTGAAAATTTGGTGAAAACGTTTTTGTCGAATATGACAAGATTGGGTAAAAACAATTTTTATATTCATGGCATTAAATTTGGCAGAGATATTTGTCCGAGAGTTAGAACACCAAAGGTTTACATTCCACCCAAACTACAATGTGTCGCAAATGTTTGTAGAGAAATATTCCCAGGTTAGATTTTCACTTTGTTATTTTTTTAGAACATGTCTAGAATTCTGAATAACAGCTTAAATATTAATAATTATTACTGTTCTAATATGAACGGAAAATAATTTTTTTACCATTACTACAACTACTATTATAGTTTGAGAAAAAGATATAGTGTGACTTTAAACCTTTGAAGCCAGCCGACAACATACAAAAAAAAAACTAAGGAAACTGATACCCCTGATACATCGCAATAAAAAATAGTAGAGGAGCATTCAAGAGATTGAGTATACTTATTTTATTTGTACTTTCCTCGATAAAAGGGAAGTTTTGTAATCGTGAAAAAGTCACCCTACGAGAATATTTTAGATTTTCACGTGTTCGGATCCCTAGAATACGAAAAACATGTTTTCCCCATTCAGTAGGTCTATGTGCCGTCCGGCGTCTGTTGTCTGCCGTCTGTCTGTTGGCGCGATAGCTCAAAAACGGCTTAGGAAAAAAACTTTTTGTATGCCGATATATACAGGGTGAGCAGTTAAAAAAACATCTATTTTAAAAGTCAGTAGATTTCGACTAAAATTGGTATCTGATCTAAGATAACAGACATAAATTACTTTTCAAAAATTCAAAATGGCTTCCCTGTTTTTACAATTTATACAGGGTATTTTTGAATGATATGCTCATATTATAGGGTGTGATTCCTCAGGTTATTTTATGAAGAAAAGTTCATATGAACATTTGTTTTTTAAAATCTCTGAAAATAGTTTAGATATAATTTTTAATTTTAGCATGTGAATAGGATATAAAACCTATTAACACATATCTACCAAAATTGAAAATAATAAAAGTAGATCGAAAAATGTATGCAGTTGCGGACTATGTTCATATTATGAACTTTATAAAATGACCTGAGGGACCATACTCTGAAATATTAGCACGTCATAATATAGAGGGAAGTTCTGTGTAAAAACTTCTCAAACTGGAATGAAGATTAAAGAAGTTCTTAAATTGATAAATATTAAACAACAGCATGGTGGTTTTATAAAAAATAAATGAATGAGAAATGAATGAAATATGGATTTAAAATAATGTAGAGGCACTCAATTTCGCAAGCAACAATTTGTAAAAATGTGCACTTTTTGATATTAATTAGAGTAGGTATCTAAGGTATCTATCTAACTTGTAGTAGGTAATTAATAAATAAAGATTTCTGTTGACTATTATGGGGGTAAATTTTGGAGAGATAATTGTTATTATATCCACCCAATTATGAAATTCTCATTACAAATTATTACTCCTCAGCGAGGACCACGAGAAGGTAAGAGCACTTTCCTCGCCGGGATGGGAATGGGTAATTGGGACTACGGACAAAGGGTAAAATTAAAAATAAAAAAATATATATTCTATAAAACTAAAACATTAATTCCATAATATGGATAGATGTGGGTTTTGAAAGGTAGGAATTTAAAGGTAAAACAATATATAAAATAAATAAAAAGTTATTTTTTCAATGCTCAGTTCTTACGGTAACGGTTAAATATCAATAACACGACAATACACTTAATTAAAAAACATTAATTTTCTTCTAATTCCAGTTCTTCTATTACTCCTTGCATATCCTCTAATTCACTATCACTATCTTCATTCAAATCAATAATAAATTTATTTCCACCATTAATATGAAAATGTGCAATCTTCATATAATCCTCTTCAAATTTGATCACCTTTTTAATCCTTTTCTGCAAATCTTCTTTGGTAATATTCGATACTTCTTCTTTAATTAAATCAATTACCTTCGTGTCGAATTTTGGAAATGTATTTTTACGTCTAACGTTTTGCTTCAGCTGCGCCCAAATTAGCTCGATGGGATTGTTGAATGTACTCCTAAGAAGATGTTCGTTTGACTAAATTGTCTATACGAAGTGAGTATAAATAGCCATAAAAACGTAAAACTGGACTGGCTCCAGGCGGAGGCGTGCAATGCAACAATATAAATGAAAAATGATTATTTTATTTAGGTACATTTCTTATAGAACCTACATAAAATACATCATATTATTATATTATAACGCTTGATTGCGATCGTAATAGTGTTTAAAACGCACTTTGTTATGTGAGTATTATATAAAATGGTAATAACAAAAATAATAATACCTACCAGGTGGGTGGGTGGCTCAGTGATAGAGCCCAATTTTTACATCTCGATTGAAATGAGATGTGAATGAGATGTTCGTTCCATGCCAAAAAGTAGGCGTTCTGTGAAGCCAAGTTTATCGATTTAGCCTTTGTTTATCAATGCATGAATATAAAAGTGATTTGTTTGTTTAATTTTTGTTTAGATTTCATTTTATCACGTGACCAATAAAGTCTAGAGCTTTTGTTTATTACATCTACTAGTGTTGGGAGAATCGGATGTTTTTCAGAATCGAACATTTTGAATTCGATTACTTTTGAGAATCGAGCAATTATTCGAATACAAAAGAATCGAATTATTTACGTTTCGTTTCGAGGTCAGCGTCAGCGACATGAAAATAAACGCAAGCACAAGCGATTCAGCCTCTCGACTCGAGTTCCCTAGTGCTCTCGGCAGTCTCAGTTCTTGTCTCAGGTGCCGCCTACCGATTTGTTCTATCCAATAATATATGGATTATTATTGAATAAATAATAACCATTTTTTTATAGGTCGGTGTCGGCAAATATGTATCGCCGTGACTGCCACTTTTTTTTCATTGATTAAGTTATGACTTGTTCATAAAATAATAAATCCCAAAATTCATATACTTCTAAAAATATTTACGTAATATGCCGCAATCAGAACTACTAAAGTACTATGTTAAATTAAAATTAGTAAATTACGCTTCCTTTGTAATTTTAGTCGGGTCGAATGCACGCTAGAATCGAATACTTTTATAATTTGTATTCGAATAGTCCCATCACTAACATCTACATTTAGATCTAATCCTTTACAACGTGACAAAAAATTCACAACATCTCAGATGCATCCGATGTGGATATTATTCAAACGCGGCATTTATTTCGAAATTCTAAAACTTTCGATGTTACGACACTGGGTCGTGCCACATGTCACAATTCAATTTCTTGCACATTTCTGAATACAGTATTCAAGAATTTGACCAATAATAATTTGGAAGCGACCAATTACATGCGCCGTATTAAACGTGGGAGGTAACATTTGCTGACAGGTAGATGTCCAGTCCATGTGGACCATTCAAATAAGCATACAGGGAGCGATCAACACAAATTTTATTATTTTATTTCAGTGTGTTATGCAGTAAATTAATCGTGCCTCGTATTTATCTACTATTTTTAAAGGTGATGTATCAGTCTCCTTAGTTTTTTTTTGTATGTTTGCCGGCTGGCTTTAAAGGTTTAAATCACACTATATCTTTTTCTCCAACATACCATTAATCATTATTGACGAGCTATTCTCGTATTCGAATTCCCAAGACTGTGTTTCACCTTGACTGTCATTAGTATGAATTGCATTATTAATACGTATTTCATTATTAATTTGTACTGCATTTAATTGTACTTCATCATTATTCTGAATTTTATTATTAATATGAATATCATCATTAACCTGCAATTCATTAGCATCTACATTTACCTCAAAAGGTCTCCAGAAAGCCATCTCTTACAACACAAATAAAAATTTAACAGAAACGCAGAAAAATAAAAACAAGTTTAACAAACGCTTTGAGAAAATTTTTCAAACCGTGCACACTATTGAACAAAAATAGAACAATTGAAGCAGCCAAGCGTGCCAGCAATTCTGGCTTTACATTAACTGTATGTGCGTTGATGTTTATAACTTAAGTCTGCCACATTGGATTAAGTCTAGAAACACTATATATAATCAAATTATTTCAGTAATTAATCTTTTTAGTAATATTATTACCAGCTCAATTAATCCAAGAATGAGATAATCGTACATTCAGAAATCTAGCCATTACACTTTCATACCAGTAAAATTGTATAAAAGCTCAATAAATATTAATAACTTCTTAGGTAAAACAATCGTACGTGGTTCAATCAATCAAGACGATCCCAAATTCGGTAAACATCCCAGCGCGTTAAGTTTGCCTATAGCTTTCATAGCGCTCACTATGACCCTTATTCATAAAACTCAAATTTGGTCCAAACCCATTCTCGACGACATAATCGAAATCGGCAACGAATTATATGACATATCTGTGGACAGCTTGGGTTTCGATTTCAATCCTTGGGAAGACAAATTGAACGTATGCCAGGTGAAACATGACTTTTTCGTTGGGGTACTAAGAGCAAACTTGGAAGTCAGAACTATGGATCAAAAGGGGGTCATAGAACCACCAGATCCTTGCACATTTAATTTACGAATGGGTAAGTATTTTAAATATTTTTTTTTTATTTGTAAGTCATTAAAAACAGTGTGATACATTTAATTTCTTTTATTATGTATCTTCGGGATATTTCATATTTCTAACTACAAGGTTTTATTACAAGCGATGGTGGGTCCCCTTACAGAAACTGAGGTAGGAATCTTTATCGAGTCTATCTATGAACTTGCGATACAAGGGGAGGCAAGATTAGGTAATTACAGAATAGGGAATACACTGGGAAATCTTGACATTAGGCCAGGTCACATGAGTATCTCAAGGTTAGTGACAGGAGACGTGCTAGACATGAGATCAGACCACATAACCAAGAGGTACTCTTTTATTACTCCATTTGAGGTTTTAATACAGGAAAGAGCGGAGATCACCATAAGGGAGCCCAATGCCCAACGACAGGAACAAACCTGTTATACAGTCGGGTCTAAGACTGCGGAAGGCACTGGTGCGGGAGTATTCTCCAAAAACCCTTATACTAACCATAGCAATGCTATAGGAATACATTCCTCGGTATTTCAGGCCGAGGTATTTGCAATTTTGCAATGTGCAAAAACGAACAATGAAATAGCTGTCGAAAATCAGCATATTCAAATAATGTCAGACAGCTAAGCGGCACTTAAGGCCATATCGAGTCAGAAAGTTACGTCGAGGCTGGTATGGGAATACATCGAAGAACTAAGAACACTGGCAGACCGAAATAGAGTAAAACTATTTTGGTTGCCAGGTCACCAAGGGATCGAATGCAACGAAAAGGCTGCCGAACTTGCAAAAAGACGGCCAGATGAAACACCGGAACCAGACACAAACCCAGAAGTACCAAAAAGTACAGTCCGGGGTTTCATAAACGACTGGATTCGGGAACAACATATTAACTATTGGGGAAGCACCCCAAAACAGGCACATAGAAAAGCCTTCATAGACAGACCATGTCCCAAAAGAACTGGAGAGTTACTCTTTATGAATAGGAACCAGTTAAAAGTGATAACAGGGTTCATGACTAGGCACGCTCTAGTAAAGGGACACTTGAACAAAATTGGTATGTACAATGGGGAACTCTTGTGCCGACTATGTCACAAGAAACCAGAAGCGGTCAAACACATACTGTGCGAATACGAAGCTCTAGATCGCAAAAGACAGGCACCTCTTGAAAAACCCTAGGTTGATCCAACAACATATAGAACCCACTCACCCAAGGAACTGTACAAACTTGTACAAGGTACAAAGGTAACAGAGTGGGTGCTATGAACTAACATGGGGTTAAACACAATAAGCCAATAGGCTTCAGTGTTATTCGGAGATATAGTCAGACGAGCCCAGGAGAAAAAAAAATGCGACAATTTTACGTCGCCTCCGAAAGAGGTCGATCACTGTTGACCGACAGATGTTGGGTTATATTTGTAGTTTTTCCGTTCGGCACTGCTGAACTTCCTCCGAATATACATATTCGGTTTAATTTTTTCTCGGGTATGCAAAACTATAAGGAGCAACAGAAAAAAGAATATTCATATGAAGCAAGAAAGAGAGAGAGAAAGCAGAAAGTGGGATTGACAATCCCAGGATGCCAACCGATCTCATCCGTCGAGCAAACAGAGGGATTTAAGGCGTGCTTGCTTTTAATAAAGCTATCACTGTTTCTTATAAAGCTGAATCTGTATATAATAAATTTTAGGAATTCAAAAATTTTTCGATCAAAATACACATGGTGTAGTAATTACCGAACACTTAATTGTTGCAATTTGGGAAGAAGAAATAGAAAATGCCGACCCTCAAATTTATATTTATGATCCCAATTCGAGAGGTCCCACTGGATTACCAGCCTACAATGGTGTTTGTTGTTTAATCAGTTGTAACGATCCCAGAATGGCAGCAGCTCACATATGCAGTTGTATTTTGGATCCGGAACAGAAGCAGGGTAAGTACCTACCTACCTACCTACCCATCAATTGCAAAACTATTATTTTGGCGACACTGAACTGACTATAGTCTTAGAACACATATAAAACCATTAGGAAGAATAAATGATTTTGTTAGGCTTTTAGTTAGCCCCTGGTTATACTAAATAATTAAAAAGTTAAACCGAATTAAATTTTGAAAATAATTAATTATTTCAGGCCCATACAGAATAGTGCCCGTTGAAATTGTAGTAGGTAGCAAGAGAACTCGTAAGAAGTTAAGAAGAGTTGATACCGGAAGTAGTTTAAATATATTGCCTAGATGTACACAAGATGAACTAAATAAAGAAAAGAGATTAATCAGGAAACTGGTAAGTTTTTGTTTTATTTTCAAGAGTATACGATAATTTAATTTAAAGCCAGCGCGAACAGGCCGAAATTTATTGGTGTTATTAATAGTTATGTTTAAAAAAAGGTAATAGTAATTGATCTTGAAATAGTTATTTTTGTATTTATTGTGCGAAATACTACTTTTTTGACGAGGAGTAGATCACTGAACTGTAACTGTTACTGGAACGCTAGTAACAATACATGCGTGAGAAAATTTTAGGCCACCCATGCAGCGTCGAATAAAGGATATTTATTTTGAAGGTTCGTGCGCTTGCGTATGACTTACATGGCAGTCATGACGTTGATCGGTGTGAACAGCGCCACGTTTAAACCAAAGCACTCCTGTTTAGTGAAAATTGTCCTTTTTGTTTGTTTAGTTTGGTTTAGTTGTTTCTACTGTGTTGAAATTTGCTGGATTTGAAATTATTCAAAAGTTGCGCATGAGTAGACATTCTACAGTATTGATTTCAGTATTATTTAACACAACATCTGAAGATACAAAGTTTTATCACCCTACGAATTATAAAGATCATCCTCAAACCCCAAAGGTAAAAGGTTGTAAGGTTGTTTTGTATTTGTTATGAAATTTTGTTATACAAATTTGTAAAATAGGTTTTGACCAGTAAATAAATATATAAAATTAATTGTGTAATTATTTAAATATATGATTATTTATCATCTTATCCCAATCACGATGGTGGAAGAGACTGTTTATTAGTATTCAAGCAAAATTTGACAAAACTCAGGACATTTTTCAAATTTAACTTATATGTTCTCACTGTTATATCATCAGAGCTGGGTAATTCCTAGTTAAAAAGTAAATAATAATTACAATTACTTTTTTTATGTAATTTGTAATTGCATTTAAGTACTTTTTTTCAAATTTGAAATTGTAATTTCAACAAAATCTGTGGAGGAATTGTACTTTGTAATTATATTAATTTATATTATTTAAATTTTTTTACAATTACTTTTCCAATTATAATTACTTTTCCAATTATAATTACTTTTTCAATTACAATTACTTTTCCAATTACAATTATTATTTTCTAATTACAATTATAAGTACAATTACATTTTTTAATTACAATTACTTTTAAATGCGTGTTTATGAGATGCATGTGATATAAAAACAAAAACATTCTTGTTCGAACCGGTCACTAGAGCTCGGACTCGCATCCATATCAATTGTTTGAATGTATTTGAGGAAAGCGTTGTGCCGTGAAGCAGTAAAATTGTTCAACCCAAAATAATAACAGTAATGGGCAAGTAGATGCAGATATCCTTATTTCTAAGACATTTTGTATTTATATCATTATAAACCTAATTTATGTTGCATAAACATTATAAACTAAGGAAATATAGTATGAAGTGGTGAAAATAGCAGTTTTCATGGGGTAAATACTAAAAACTACTTATTTACATTGCGTAGGTATTTCTAGTTATTATTCCAGTTTTCTACATTGAAATTTGGGCGTAGAAAAAACATTTTTCTACACCTACAGGGGTATTAGCTTATCTACGCACAGATTAAAAAAAGGAAAAGTAAGCTATTGCGTTCAACTGAAGAATAAATTTCATATCTATTCTAAGTAGTGAAAACACTGCAAAAAAATGAAATCCACCAATCACAGTTCATATTTTGGATACCGAACTACTATTATTTTTAAAATTTTAAATAAGTGACAATTATTCTGTCAAACTAATTGCCAGTATATTTTTTAGTTATTGAGATTATATATACACTAAATAAGTTATTTTTTTAGAATCGATAAATAATAACATTTTTATTTTTATTTGGGCACAAATTTGAAAAAAAATTAAATTTTAATTAAACTATATGAAACTAGTTTAATTACGAGTATTAAAACCAAAATCATAAAGGTGGCGGTGGAGCTGAGGACCGAGAATCTGCCTTCCATGCGAATAGCCCGGGTTTACATTCGGACAAGAAACTAATTTTCTTTTATTTTATGAATTAGTAAAAATCATAAATTATTTTAAAATTAGTTATTTTGTCTTAATAACCTAAAATATTATAGATTTTCGTTAGTGGGTCGTAAAAAAATATACTGTACAACTCCATATCCACTCTTGTTACACAAACTACTATTTCAGTTTCAGTAAATTTGTCTAATAATATCACACATTATATAGGATAATTTACCACGCCTCTGACGTTTATAGCGAATCGATAGTTTTAATATGGCTCCTGGTTTTTAAGTATATATGACTAGGAAAGCCACCTTTTTAAAATTATTTTAAAATATATACTTATTATGTCCCAAAAAAATGTGTATCAAAGTTTTGTGACACACCCTGTATTTTATTAAATTTTTAGATTCTCCCTGAATAACTAATTTCATTAATCTATCAGACTTGATTTGTTAAAAAATAGAGATGTTTGAATTTTGAATTTTTTTTCTGTCAAAACTATTCATAATTGATCAAAATGGCTAACTTATTCCTTCATATCCTATTTCTTTTATTTACAACCTCATAATATTTAATTAATTAAAACAAATAAAATATAAAAGAATCTAGGCGTAGGTACACGAACTTTTGTATTTTTGTTGAAAATCAATAAACTTTTAAAAGTTCACATTTTATTATTTACTTACCTGTTCCATTTTTTTATACTACTTATCGATTTTGTCTTTTCCCTTAAGTTAAGAAGATCTTAAATGGTACAGAAAACAATACATTTAGGGATGGTTGTATAAAGCTTACTTAAAATTAAGTACAGTTTTAGGTGAAACATGTCAATTTCCGATGAATATGTGCAGTCTAGTGTTTGGAGAAACAAGCCCTAAGTGCTAAATGGTGTTTAGACTGTACGTATGCCATATAAATTTGTCATGTGTCTCCTCAAACCGAATTTAACTTTAAGATATCTTTAACTTTAAGATATCTTTAAGAAAGTCGTTTCAAACGGCTGTTAGATTGTCACTTTGAATTACATATTTAAAAATTTTATTTGTACCGGTCCGGTTGGTTCATGGTTTCTCAATTCTATCATAATTTGTTGTTTTATCGGCAAACTAATTAGAAAAGTAATTATAAAAGTAATTGCTAATTCCTTTTTTCATGTAATTGTAATTAAATCAATATAATTCCTATTTTTACAACGTGTACTTTGTACTTGTAATTAATTCCTTTTTTGAAAAAGTACTTTGTAATTGTAATTATTTTTAAAGTACATGTAATTACGTAGCTCTGATATGAAACGTCGCTATTAAATCCCTCAAAAAATATTCAGATTTGAAACGGTTATCTATTTTCAAAAACTTAATTTTAGATGTACATCAAAGCTGGCACTGACCATAACGTAATTGTACTGCTACTCGGCTATGACAGCTATTTACTGCGCATGAGTATTAACCTTAAAGTGACGTAATGCGCGGAATCAAAATGCCTCACTTTTTGGTATTAGGAATAGCGTTCCATGGATAGACACACATCCAAGTACTAACTGTGACCGGCCTTCCTTGATTGCAGATATCGATACACAATAGTGAACATGCTATATGCCAAGCCGCTGTCCCTTTTTAACGTTAAAATTGTAAATAATAATTGAAATAACTTTAAAAAATCATACTGTTTTTAATAATAGGTATTTATGAAACCAGTTATGAAATGCCTCATTTTATGTAACGAGTGAAAATTTTCGGGACGAGCAGTGAGGTTCGTTATTTCTTTTTTTTTTTCTTCTTCCATGTTGTGAATAATTTGTAATAATGCTGCTGTTATGTAAGGAAACGGTGTTTCAAAAAACGATAAAATATAATTTTTATAAACAAATAAAACGTCTGGTAGTATCGGTCGATTATATTTTTATCTCAGCACTACACAGGGTTGTTCTTGTCATTACTTTCTTAATACATCTATTAGTTTTTTGGTTTAAATGTTACGTTATTACGTTTTTCTAAAATCTATTGCTATTCATTAAAAAAATGCCTTAGTAAATTATCCCTCATGCACAATTTCTACATTTCCAGTGAGCACAATTTAAAAATATTACTATCTTTAAATTTTTAAACATGCGCATGTGCCGAAATGTAAAGGAATCCGATCTTAAAATGACATCTAGTACCTTTCACTGAAATCTATTACATTTTACTGAAATTTATTTTAGTGCGCCTGTCTATTACCATTAGACATGGGTAACGCACTAAAATTCTTTGCGTTGATACACTAACTCCGGCGCACTCTATTGCGTTAACTGCCTGCGCCGAATGAAGTCGATGCACCTCGGTTAGACATGGGTTACGCACTAAAATTCTTTGCGTTGATACACTAACTCCGGCGCACTCTATTGCGTTAACTGCCTGCGCCGAATGAAGTCGATGCACCTCGGTTAGACATGGGTAACGCACTAAAATTCTTTGCGTTGATACACTAACTCCGGCGCACTCTATTGCGCCAACTCATTGCGTTAACGCAATTGCGTTATTGCGTCACACCACTGCCTGCGCCGAATGAAGTCGATGCACCTCGGTGTATCGCATGATACCGGTGTTATACAGCGCGGGCTGTCTTTTGTTCAAGGCAATAACGCAATTGGGAATTTAACTAAATTTTTTTTTATTATATGTTTAAAAATAAACGAAAATATAACAGTGTAATGCACTCATTTTTTTATTTCATTGTGTTCGGATTTTACAAAAAATACAAAAAATTCCAATTTATATAAAAAGAATATAAATTTTGTATACTAGTAGCCAATCAAATTGAAAAGAACTAAAAATTGACAGTGTACAAGATTAAAATCCACAAAATTCGACCTACAATCCTACAAAAAATGATGTGACATGTTGCAAAGAACATAATTACTTGATAGATTTTGGGTAATCTGCATTACGAGTTGCATCAATTACGTAAATTAAAATTCTCAACTCGTCACGGAAAACGGAAGCAGTGCCTGGCGCATGGCGCACCAACAACTCGCGATCCTTTCGACTCAGTATCGAAAATTGCGTTGCGCTGATACAATAACAACTGGTGTATCAACGCTCGTAACGCATACAACTGCGTTAACGCAATAACGCAACGCAGCGCTGCGTTACCCATGTCTAACCTCGGTGTATCGCATGATACCGACCGGTGTTATTCAGCGCGGGCTGTCCTTTTATAAGGGTCAAACCGTGTTCAAGGCAATAACGCAATTGATAATTTAACTAAATTATATGTTTAAAAATAAACGAAAATATAACAGTGTAATGCACCCATTTTTTTATTTCATTGTGTTCGGATTTTACAAAGAATACAAAAATTTCAATTTATATAAAAAGGATATAACTTTTGTATACTAGTAGCCAATCAAAATGGGAAGAACTAAAAACTGACAGTGTACAAGGTTAAAATCCACAAAATTCGACCTACAATCCTACAAAAAATGATGTGACATGTTGCAAAGAACATAATTACTTGATAGATTTTGGGTAATCTACATTACGAGTTGTATCAATTACGTAAATTAAAATTCTCAACTCGTCACGGAAAACGCAATCAGTGCCTGGCGCATGGCGCACCAACAACTCGCGATCCTTTCGACTCAATCGAAAATTGCGTTGCGCTGATACAGTAACAGCTGGTGTATCAACGCTCATAACGCATACAAATGCGTTAACGCAATAACGCAACGCAGCGCTGCGTTACCCATGTCTAATTACCATTTTTGGCCCAAGAACAACACTAGCACTACATGTTTTCCGAATTCAAATCCCTAAAATCTTCTGGCGCAGTCACAGTTTTGTTTAAATTTAAAAAAAAACATTTAGGCACATAACAAACCATTTAAAATCATAAAAATATAATCGATCGATATTAATTTGTTTATAAATATTTTTCATCTGTCAAATTAGTCAAATGCCTATATTGTGATTTCAGTCTACAAAAAAGCTCGCGATCATAACGAATCATTAAGTTTTACAACTACACATAACTAAAATGTACCTTAAATATATGTTGATACATACCTGAATTTCAAAAGTACTGTTATTCTATTGCACAATAATTAAAATCGGTAAAACAAAGCTGTTTTTGTTTATGTTAAATCACTTATAATACACATAAAACTAACTCACATCAACACTCAATTTTTAACCATTAAACATCATTTTTTGAATACCTAAATAATTCTATAATAACTAAAATTAAATAGATCAAGTTTAATACACATAAATCACTAAAGAATTTTAAAATTTGGCAAATGTCAAATAATCTTTATATCGCAGCGGATATGCGCATGATCGGCTCTTACAACTGTTGATGTAATGCGTCGTTGCCATATCTACTTTTTTTTAGACTAATAAAGGAAATTTTATTACTATAATTTTAATAAAGGAGGGTATGCTTTTTTGGGTCCCATGCTCCCGGTCATAAGATTTTGCACACTTATAGATATATAAAATAGGAACATTTTTCGAAAATTTTAACATTCAAACCATTCCGGAACATAAAAGTTTTTATGGCGGAGTTTTTGAAGACAAAATAATGATAATATAAACATTTTGGCAACAAAGCTTATGTGCGTATCCAGGGTTTCGATATCAAATGACAATTTTCAAAAATAGAAGCAAATTATAGAAGTTTAAAAAATGTCAAAATTCTAGTGAACTAGAAACTAACAAAACAATTTTCCCAATTTTCACATATTTTCTGCTAAGTTAAAATGGATTCAACAAAATTAAATAAAACGGTAAGGCATAAATCCTTATTCTGAAATCACCCTTTCTGAATCTGGTAGTAGGTACCAATACTGGCTCATTCCACCCTCAAGTGTTATGTATAAGTTTTGTTACAATTTTATGTGCCATTGATAAGACCCAAATCAACCAAGCGCTTTCTAAGGATTTTTGATAGATTGATTCTTATCAATTTTAAAAATAATTTGAACAAAAAGAATTATAAAATTATAAATGAGAATAGTTATGTAAGAATTTACTGTTTCGTAATTATATTATTTTACAGTGTTCATAACTATATAATTCAAACATAGATAAGTAGAAACACGCCTAACTTTAAACTTAGGTTTTAATCCATCCTGCGATGAGCCGAAATGTATGACCGGGTTTAAAGGTAAATAGAGGAGCTTTGGACGTTATGTTATGTTGATAATGGTGTGTTAATACACTGCGACCTAAAAGATCTATTGTGCCCCCTTCTGTCGCCACTGCACTAAGGAAATGTCTCAATGCCTATAGCGACCCTTCCAATCCTATTTTCTCAAGGAAGTGTAGGATTTGAAGTGGCTTCAAGTTAGGTAAGTCTCCCTCTTCTATTTGATATCCTCCTAGATATAGTGCCCTTGGATTCTGGAGTGCTACACATTCAGTTAGGATGTGAATGGAGGTTTCGTCCTCCTCCTCACAGAATCTGCACTTACTATCCTCTACTACTCTCAGTTTACTTAGGTGTCCTTTTAGTCGGCAGTGCCCGGTAAGGATCCCTGTTACAATACTAAACTAGTTCTGTTACTCCAGGCTATAGCCCCGTAAGTGATGATTGGTCTCACTATTGCAGTATACATCCATCGCAGTATGTTTGGGTTACATCCCCATCGTTTACCCGCCATGTTTCTGCATACCATTAGGGCTTTTGTGGCCTTATTTACTACTTCCTTCTCATGTGTGTTCCAGAGAAGTTTGTTGTCCAGGGTTAGACCTAGATATTTGACTTCATTTTTCCATTCTATATCTATCCCGTCTAATTTAACGGTTTTGAGATTAAGTTTTCTTTTCCTTGAAAAGGCTACTAGTGTTGTTTTTGTAGGGTTTATACTAAGTCCCACTTCACGGCACCATCTTTTGGTATGTTTTAGTCCTCTTTGGACTATATCACACAGGATATTACTAAACTTGCCACTAGCAAATATGACTATGTCGTCGGCATAACCTTGACAGGGTATGCCGAGGTCAGTCAATCTGCATAGAAGTTCGTCTACGATTAGGCTCCACATTAGTGGGGATAGAACTCCTCCTTGTGGACATCCTCTGGTTGTGCAGATGGAGATGGTGTCCTGCCCTATCTGTGTCTCTGCAGTTCTCGAAGATAACAGCTGAGCCATCCATCTGGATGTGATGTTATCTACTCCTCTGTATGCAAGTGCTCTTTTTACAGATTCGTGTGGCGTGTTGTCAAAAGCTCCTTCTATGTCTAGAAAGGCACACACGACCGTTTCTTTGTTTGTCAGTGCATCCTGGATTACATCAGTCAACTGTACCAGGGCAGTTTCTGTAGATCTTCCTGCTCGGTACGCGTGTTGGCTGTGGTGGAGTGGCACCCTCTCCAGGACTTCTGTTCTGATATAGTTATCAACAGCCTTCTCCATTGTTTTTAATACAAAGGATGTGAGGCTGATTGAACGGAAAGATTTAGGATGTGTGGTATCCTTTTTCCCTACATTTGGAATAAAGGTGACCCTGGCCCTTCTCCATGCTTCTGGTATATATCCCAGCTCCAGACTGCTCCGGGATAGCCGGATTATGTGTGGTAGTAATTCCTCCTGTGCCTGCTGAAGCAGAGCAGGAAATATTCCATTCACACCTGGAGACTTAAACGGTTTAAAAGTGTTTACGGCCCACCTTAACCGATTTCTGCTGCATATATGCTTGGCCACTACAGCGGCCTCTCTTGGGGGTCTGCTTACCTTAGTTGTGTCCCTTATTAGAAAAGGTGTGCTTCCAGGAAAGTGAGTTTCGAGTAAGAGGCGAGCTTTGGATAGTATATGGACTTCGTATAACGACCGATGCCGCTTCTGGATTAAATCCAAACTGTAATTTAAAAATTAAAAGACTTTGGGAAAAAAATTGTCAACGTACAAGTGGTTAAGAGAAATCGATGGAAATTATTTTCAAGTTTCTAAGTTCTCAGGTAGATTGCTAATATGATTTTGATATGTTCGATATAACTTTATTAGATTTTTTTTAAAAGAGTTTTTGTCATTGATAATGAGCATTATTTTTCCTCTAGCAGTGAAGTTAGGCACTTAAAAATAATATCCAGCGAGATCTAAGAACGATTTTTCTTAAAAATAAATAACAGTTAATGTTCAATTGTTATTTCTATGATAATATTAGCTAAAATAATCCAATGTTATTTTTGTTTCAGGCTGAATATGAAAGAAAAAAGAAACAATTCAGAGCACTCCAGTTGATTGGCCGTAAAGCTTGGTACATACTTAAAAATGGTGATTCCATTATCAGAGGGTACAAAAGTACTAATTCGCCATGTTATCCCGAAAGCGCTAGAAACAATCAAGATTTACCCATGTGCATAGTATCACTAGTCATGCATATCCTCTTTTCAATAGAAAACTGGACTTACAAGAATATAGATCTAGTTTTAGATACTGGAAATCAGCTCTACTTAGACTCGTATATAGCCTACGGTCCCAAGGACCTTAAACTTGGTCCAGAAAATATTATAAGAAAGTTTTTCTTACGACATTTAACAATAAAAGTCATTGTATACAAGCCGATCATTACTGAAGAATTTAACTGTACTATTTTAAATAGAGTATTAAACATATACTTTTCGCAAGAACCATTTTGTATGTTAAGCCATTTCAATCAGTGGGTGTCGTTAATAGCTAAAAGTGGTCATTTTTATATGTTTGATCCTCACGAAAGGGATATCGAAGGAAATGTGATGGATGATAGTAATAAGGGAGAATACGCAACTGCTGTAGTCATTAAATGTGGTAGTGTGGAAAGTCTTGTCGAAAGATTAATTACAAATTTGTCTTACGTGCCACCTACTATCGAACCATCAAATCAAAATGTTGGGAAGGATAACGAATCGCATGTAGATAATGAAACAGTCGAAGAGAATTTGTTTACGTTATGGCTTATTTCTGTAGACATCAGGTGATTTTGTATATAATTTTGTCCAATTGCATTTCAGTTTTTGTAATGTTTAACGTGTAACTGTAACAATAAAAATTTTGGATTAAGGTTTTTGTATTAGTCCTGTGTAATGTTCAAGGCCCAGTCAAAAAAATAATAAATGTTTTTACTTCCTTCGATAATTTTTACAAATGAATAATAATTTTTCGGTTTACAAAAGTCTGTGGCAACAAAAACTACGTTTAGATGCCAATTCTAAAAAAAAAAACATTAACAAGGTGTAAACAAGCGTAGGTGAACCCGAACAATGATCTGTAAAACTATTTACTGGATAATGTGTCGAAGTCACTAAATTGCCCTTTAGTTTATTTATAAAAATATCATTTTCGCCTTTAAAGATACTTCAACAAGACCTAAACTAGTTAGAGGAATCCATGAAGGATGTTTAGCATTGTATAAAAAGCGCAAAATATAAGTCAATATCCGATGAATAAGATTAAAAGCCAAATGCAATTCGAGTAGTCGATCAAGAAAGTTTTATTTATGTTCTACAGCGAGTAAATTTATGTTTTTCCTCAGTAGGTGCAACAAAAAGCGAAGTGGATATATCGGAAAATTAATCAGCGTTTCATATAGAAACTTTAAGTCTCTTTAACCATTCCAATTCTGAGGGCAAAACACCCCTAGAAGCGATATTTGCACCGTTATTTTTGGTGTCCACATAATACCAACATTTTGACGGAATTTTTTCTTAAAAATAGGCAATACGATGCAACCAGTGTTTTATACCGAGAATACCGATCAAGGAGAAGCGACAACTTGGTGTTTTCAGTGTACCGTTACCGTTTTGTAACGCGCATGTGCGAAAATAAGTTGTGTATCACTCAAAATGATGTTATCTGTCAAAGTCAGTCCAAGTTGTGTTTAGTACGTGAGCAATGTTAAGTGATATTTTTTGGTGTTTGTTCTGTGTATTAAGATGAAAATTTTTTACACACTTAATTATGTATTCTAATACAGATATAAAATGTACCAAAACATTTATTACGAAACTAAGAATTTTATCACATGCATAAATATTAAGTATAATGATTTAATCGTTTTTGACATTTTATTTTTCATGTAGGTATTGGATTTTGTGAAATATATGTTTCTCTTCTTTTAAATAAATTTAATAAACAATGAACTGCAGATTTTGTTTATTTTATTTTGAAATTATATTTAAAAAAATGTAAATCCACGTGTTTCAATTGGGATTGGTCAAAGTGGGCGAAATCCCTTTATTATGGCTAAATTGTAAGTTACAATTATGTCAATATAAAGATGTTTTGCCCATTCATATTTACATTTATTGAATATGAATCATACTGGAGTTGATTTTGGAAATATTGGTATATACTTAAATAAGTACTATTTCTAAAAATTTGTCTATACCCAGATAGCACACATAGTCCAATGGACGTTCACTTTAGATATATTTAAGGGTCAGGACGGCCATATCCGGGCATCCAGTGTACGTCCGTTTATGCTAATTAATTTGACAACTAAATATCGATACCCAGAGAATGTCTGTATTTTGACTTAATTCTAAGTTTAGTAGTATTTTGACGTCCAGTGGACGTCCATCTTAGGTCATTATTTATTAAGCGTACCGGATATAATACCCATCTAGATACACTTTTTTTTTAATATAACTGGTCATTAAAAATTGACAAATTGAATCTATTGCATTTCATTCTATTATATGAAGTTTGAAATCTTATTCAATTATAACTATATCTAGTAAAAAGTTTTCAAGTGGTTTCTTGGTCGAGCTCGTCTAGCGATTGAAAGCGTAAAACGATAATGGATGTGTGGTGAGTTCGATTCCTGCTCAGATCAAGCGATCTTTAATTTAAAAAAATAATAATAATAATAAATGGTGTATAGCGGTTTGCGTAAATAATAAACAAATTATTAATAATATAAAATAGTGTGTGGTGAGTTGCGGTTCTGTAAAAAAATTGGGAATGTGGTCTCAATGGAAATATAATCCTAGACGTTTTTGAATGTCCAGTATTCGATGTTCAAATATATTCCAGGATTGGACGTCCTCTGAATAGTCAAAAGTGTGCCATTTGTATACTTCACTGGACGTCCATTGGATGTCGGAAGTCCAGAAAAAGTTCATTTTTGGACGTCTAGACATCCAAAATTGTATATCGAATGGATGTCCAATGGACCTATTTGTATATTGTCTGGGTGATAGCCAGGCCAGGTATAAATGACATCTGGCTTATCTTTGCGAAAAAACACTTGTTTCTACAGAAATGAGTAATAAACTTGAAAGTCCTTTTAATATAATATAAATCCAGAAATTCTAAAAATATGTAAGTACTTTTTAAACCTAAGAGCTTTGAAAATATATGCACATTACAAATATTTAGTTAAACCTTTCAAACTAAATGTCTTTTTGTTACCTAAATTTTTTTGATACACTTAATTTTATTTACCTTATTTTTACTTAAGGAAAAGGTAATTTAATTTAAATATGGGGCTTTTATTACATTTTTAACAATAAATAAACCAAATATTGAACAAATTTTATAAATAAATTATAAAATAATAAACGTCTTTTACTTTTATAACAAATATTACATAATGAATTATATTTTGGTGCTGAAATTTCACCATTGCTATTAATCCTAACTACTTCAATATAATTAAATCACATATAATTTGCCAAACTATTTCGCTTAGTGTAGAAAATAAGCATGTTTTCTCAGCGTATTAAGTTGTCTATTAATCAAAGTCATGCTGTGAAAAAGATCCATCCGATATCAAAGGCACCGACAGCTACTGTCGCTTCTCCTTGATCGGTATTCTCGGGTTTTATATTTATGAGGAGAACTCTTAGATAAAAGAAACAAGAAGAACTGCAGATCCAATGCAAAGCTATTTGCAAATTTGAGCAAGCATACCCAGCTAGCACTTTTAATGTAACCTTAATATCCCTGCAATCGTCGAATGTCCAAAACGGCAATAGAACATCTGACAGAGGTTACAAAGAGAAGTTCAGAAAACATTGTTATTTAGACCAATCAGATATGTCTAAATAACAATCTATCATAAACGTTCATGTTGGTTTATGCCGCGATAAATACCTTTAAAGTTTGCAAGGTTCTACGGTGACTTCACAAATTGACATCAGGCAATAGCGCATTTCACATACAGATTTGAAACACTAGTCTATCTTGTGTAATAATGTGTTCCTTGATAATCTGTCATTTGTCAGATACTGACATACCGCGTCATGTTGTTGGGTTATGTTATTTTTGATTTTTAAATTTATTTTGAACATGAACATGAGGTGCGTTTTATTCGTCCATTCTCTAGTAGGAAAAGTTTGAACAGAATTTGCAAACGCAATAAAACGATAAAATTGTCATCTGTCAAGAATGTCAAATTTAAAATTATCCTTGATTTATCCATTATCCCGCCAACAGATATAGTTATTTAAATAATATAGTTTATTTAAAAATGGAAATATTATTACAGAGATATTTCGAAATATTGCAACGTAATAATCATTTGCTATTACCTGCACCAAGGATTCCAGTTGATATTATTAGATTAATTATCGATAAGTATGAACTATAAAATTATTTTGTAATATTTTTAATAATTTAAAATATTTACTTCTAGTATGACCAATGATGTTATAGCGAAAAGTAAAGAGTATTACGAGAGTGTAATACCTAATCAAAATATATCTACTTTTAAATCAAATTTTAGATTGAACTTGGATACTTTCATTTACGTTGTAGATAAAATTAGTCCTAACAATCTCTTTTTAAAAAGGGATAGACTTCTTGGGGGACGGGACCAAGTAACACCTGAGAAGTCATTATTAATATTTTTATGGACATTAGGTACCCCAGAATCCTATCGAGCTATTGGTGATAGATTTGATGTTGGTAAATCAACAGTTTATGCCTGTATGAAGGTTGTTACTGAAGTAATTCTTCAAGAATTGGTCTTTGTTATACAGTGGCCTACTGAAGATAGAAAAAACAGAATATCAGAAAATTTTTCCAGATATGGTTTGACCAATGTTATAGGTGCTATAGACGGGTGTCACATACCTATTAAAAAGCCAAACATAGATGGTGAGGAATATTTTAACAGAAAAAAATTTTATTCTATGGTTCTCCAAGCAGTATGCACCAATGATTATAAATTTACTGATTGTGACATAAGATGGCCAGGAAGTGTCCACGATGCTAGGGTATTAAGAACTTCAGATCTCTATCCTGTAGCTCAAGAACTATGTGGGGAACAGTACTACATAATAGGGGACTCTGCATATCCTATTAAAAAGTGGCTAATAACACCATATAGAAATGATGGCCATTTATTACCCTATCAATTATATTTTAATAAAATAATATCAAAAACCAGGGTGGTTATTGAGAATGCCTTTTCTTTATTAAAAGGCAGATTTAGAAGGTTAAGAGATACATTAGACAAAAATGTAATGGAAGATATTCCAAAAACTATTATGGTAGCTTGTATACTGCATAATATTTGCATTATTAATGGGGAAGAGGACATTCAAAATTATATAGAAGAAGGACGTAATCAAGAAATACATATTCAAATGATCAGAAATGATAATGACAATAATGATAATCAAGGGATACAACGTAGAGAGTTATTATCCCAAGATATCTGGAATAATCGTGAAAACTTTTAAAATGCTCTTATTTCCCTTATCAATATAATTGTATAACCATAGATTTATTGTAATACTTAGAAAATTATTTTAGTATAAAATACATGTAATTAGGGGACCTACTTTCAAACTATGGCAGTATTAATTATCTCAAGAGAAATGTATGTTTGTATATATGTAAAGTTTAAAAATAAGTCACCTGATCTATATATCTAGGGGGTGACTAGGAAGACCGCGCATATAATAGACAATATTATTCATAGTAAATAAACACATTTAAAAAAAAATCATTTTATTTCACAGACAAAAACCAATGTTATACTATGTGTCCCAAAGGTATTGAAAAATAGACATCTTTTTAATACTGATAGGTATCTACGCAAAAACTAAAATATTTTGAAAACAAAAATATACTCTATAAAGAAAA